AGACCTCTTTTCCGTGCCTCCTGATTATTCGCTCGCTCATTGTGTGGCCCGAGATTTACGGATGTCCAGAGGAATCGCTGCGACGTTCAATGAGAAGTTTGGGCGTGTCGGAGAACTACGCCGACAGGATCCAGAGGTTGGGAGCGTCTTGAGGCTAACCGACAATGAACATGGTCAAGCAAGACACATTTTCTACCTAGTCACCAAGGAATGGTCCCCGAGTAAGCCGACTTATCTCAATCTATGGAAGACCCTGATTGAACTGAGAGAAGCCCTGCTAAACAACAACATTGCACGATTAGCCATTCCGAAGCTGGCGTGTGGACTCGATGGTTTGAGTTGGCGTACAATTCGAAACATGATTGAAGTCTTGTTCAGATTTACGGGAATCGAGATCCTCGTTTGCTGCTACAACCCAAAGCTGAGATTGGGAGAAAAAACTGTAGACTGCTATTTCTACCAGACTTCGCAAGGGGCTAGGGGCTAGGGGCTAGGGGGCTTCGCAAGGGGCCAGCTTTGCAAATACCTTCATTCACCGTATACATCTCGGGACGAGCATGTGCCTAAGAAGACTCGACCTAACCTCACAATATGGCCCGCCCTCGGATGACCTTAACATCGCATAGACACCGCAATGATTCATTCGTTCGAGAAGAATCGAGACCCACTAGAATGGACTAGTACATACGAGAACATTCGAAAACCTTCTCTATGCGTCTAACGATCTATGGACTATTCTAGATTTCTTTACCTGTCGGTATAAAAGCCGGCGGCGGTGGCCTACAGGGGGCAGTTATAAATATACAGTTGACGCGCTAAAATTCAAAATAAATTCTTAGTTATAAATCGTTTGTAAATAGTTCTATAAGTCTTTTATCGTTATTATTTTTGTTAATTAGTGTTAAATAAATAGTGTTTAGATAAATTGTGACTTTCTATCCACACGAAACCGACGAAAAACGTAACAATATTTTAGGAGAATCAAATGCACAATTTAATTGTCTATCAAATTGCCATTATACCATTTTTTACCTATCCCTTCAAGTTTTCGTAGAAAATGCATTTTCGTATAATTTAGACCTCATTTATCAATATACCCATGGAATATTTACATTTTAGTTTGTTTTTAAAGCAACAAATATACAAAATGTACAGGTGCTAAAAACGACAATATTACTAGCCCATTTGTATACAAAAAGAAAACTATTTAAATCTTTTATAAAAGAGTATACCGTTAATTAAATATACCACCAATATTTCCGCCCAAATATTATTTAATTACATACTTTATTGTGGTAGTTAATAAATTATTCTAAATAAATGTGGATTTTAATCAGAAATCAATACAATAATAAGTTATGAAAATAATCTATAAATAAGCATTCGTCAAAAAACGAAATAAAATTTTTAAGGTGTTACTTTTTATCACACTGTCTAATACACATACAAAATTAAGTTTTTTGATATTTCGAGCAATTATTATTAATCAACGCAAACAGTCAATTAATGTAGTTTGAATACTGGAATCATATTAATTGGTCCTCTTTAACACATATTTAAACAGTTTTTTTTAAAGAAATAAAAGAACTATATCGACAATATTAGTATCTGTACTCTTTAAAAATGTGTTACATCTTTAAAAAATAATCTAAAATGTCAATATTCCATGGGTATACATACAATGATGTCTAAATTATAAGAAAATGCATTTTCTACGAAAACTTTAAAAGATAGGTAAAAAATGGTATAATACAATTTGATAGACAATTAAATTGTGCATCTGATTCTCCTAAAATATATAGGGTGTTCTATTTAAATTAAACGTTATTGCCGTTTTAATTAAAATAATTTTTTAGACACTCCGAATGAGATATTATTAATTTAATTATTACAACACAATATCAGATCAATAAATAAACTTCAGTAAATACTTAGTATTAAAAACTTTGATACCCTTGGAGAAATGAAGCCTTAAAATTTTTACTGCAATTTCATAAAATTGAAAATATTTCAAAAACGGTAAAAAAAAATGTACCTAATAATAAAAAAAAATGAAAAAATGAAACTAAAAATGTAATAATATACAGAGTGTTCCGTTTAAAAAAATAAAACTTTGATATTGTTTATTTATTTAGGACACTCTGTATCTTTTAAAAATATTTTTAAATTGTAGCTCTAATAGTCCTTCAACGAATCCAAAACTTACAATTTACAAAAATCTAATCGTTTAGCTACAATACTCCGCGTCGTATGTGGTGAACAACCCTGTATACTCGGCCAAGAAAAATAGCTGGAAATTATTTTTAAGTTCGAAAAATATCCGCTAGGGAGCGCATTTATAATGGCCAATCACAAAAAGAGATTTATCTCAAAATGTGCACGTGAAGAGGTACCTACCTCCGAGGTACACTGAACAATATTTAGAAAGTACTTACCGGGTGATGCAAAAAGAAGATACACTGTTTTGTTTGGATTACTTCTAGCTGCACTTTCCACAGCACAGGCTTCTCGACTATCAATATAAAGCTTTTCATGATAATACGAATTACAGGAAGTTTCCAAAAAGAAAATTGAAGAATCTTTTATTATTTCATTATCTAGAAAGTTATGATTATTAAAACCTTTTCAAAAATATTTTTTTTTATATCTTACCAATTACTTTATGTAGTGTATCAAAAACGTCAATCGAGTGACAATGTAATTCGTTTTTTGGAGTGAAAAACTTGTGGTACTGTTTATAAAACTTCACGGATTTCATATATAAAAAACAATAAAATATCGAACAAATTAATATAGAGGTAACTGATATTTTTATAAAGAGTCTCATGTTTAATCGGTTGTATTATATTAAATTTTGTCATGCTTAAAAAAATTGACACTATTTTTTTGCGTTTAGGATTATTATTATCTAAAGATTAACTCTTAGTAATCTTCGCTATTAAGGGCGTATCTATTAGATTTATTAACTTAATATGTTTACCAGCAATAGAAAAAATTGGCGCCGGGAGGCACGTATAGCCGCCCATACTAAAATAAGTTAATAAAAAGTTGGTAGGTAGTTCTTTTAGTTTCAATTATCTCGAAAACTGCGACTTTGACTGATTTTGATGTTATTACAAATTTTGTTGCAAATATTATTCCTAATCTAAAATTGAAAACCGCGTTTCGCTAGCTACTGTAATTTTGGAGTTACGATTTTTTAAAATTTTTAACCCCCTCCCATACCCCCTTACCAACACCCCACCCCCACCAAAAACTAATGGCCAGATTCTCGGGTGCCACAGTTTTTTTGTGCCAAATTTGGTTAAAATCGGTTTAGCGGTTTTTGAGTTGTCAGTGGATCGGGAGGATTTTATGGAACAACACAATTTGGGACAATTTAACAACAAACACTGTATATTATTGCATTTTTGGCTTCTTTTCAGATCACTTTACAAAATCCTAAAATATGAGGAAATATATTTGGATAGTTTGAGATATTAATAAATAAATAAAAAATATATGTTTTTCAACCTTTCTTAAAAAAAATTATTAAAAATACAAGAACTGTTCTGAAATCAAAACTATATTAAGTATTTACTTTAGATGGTCTGTACTTACTTTGCTATAAATGTGGTAATCGTATACCATACAGGGTGTTCAAAATTTTACACCAAACTTTCTAAAATTGAAAATATTTATTCTTCGTTTTTTTTAAATGGAACACCCTGTATTTTATTTTTTTCATAGATGGAGAATTAAAAAATGAGCATTTTTTGTATTCAGAGTATTTCAAAATTTTTAACGGTTTCGCAGATATTCGCAGTTTTATATTTCAAATGGCATTTTCCATAGTAATTTTTTTTTAAAGCCACCCAATGATTTTCCTCTCGTATTATTTTACCGTATTTTTGTATCTGCGAAACCATTAATAATTTTGAAATGCTTTAAATTCAAAAAATGTTCATTTTTTAATTATCCATCTAATAAAACAACAAGAAAAATTACTTTACATTTTAGAAAGTTTGGCGTAGAATTTTGAACATCCTGTATGATTTAAAATTACGATATTTATAGCAAAGTTAAGTACAGACCATCTAAGGTAATTACCTAATATAGTTTTGATTTCAGGACAGTTCTTGCATTTGTAATACTTTTTTTTAATGAAGGTTGGAAAATATAATTTTTTTATTTATTTATTAATATCTCTAAAACTATCGAAATATATTTATTGATATCTTAGGATTATGTAAAGTGATCTGAAAGGAAGCGAAAAATGTAATAATATACAGGGTGTTCAATTTAAAAAAAATCATCCCGATCCACTCACATTTTTTTGAGCCACCCTATAGAAGTTAAAATATTTTCCTGAAATACATCCTTGTACATACTTTAGGTTTACACTTAAACAAAATTCCCAAGTTTTTATTCTAGGAGCTACAGATGCCCGATACACTATTGCCGCACCCTGTATAATAGTATTAAATTACTCATAAATTAAAAAAAAAACTTTCAAAGTAATGTTTCTAGACCAGTTGTTATTAATAAATTAACAGCTAATTGCGAAAAAATACTCATTTATCTGTAGGTTTGCGTGACACAGTGTGCCTTCTAAAGATAATTTTAATAAGAGCGATTTCTACTGACAAGCCTATACAAGGAGCTACTTTCGAATTATATTGCAATAGAAATCAAAAGTATATTTTTGTGTAATTATTCGATCCTTAGAAATTATTAGAAATTTTAATTTTTAAAATAATTTATAGTACTATGTGGGAAATAATTATAGAGCTTTCCTTTTCTCGGAACGTCGGGTTTTGAATAAAAATATTGACTAAGAATATCGATGGATTTTAAAATGACCGATCCGTGTATTTAGTTTTATTGTTAATACACTTTTATCATGTATTTAGTTTTATTGTTAATACACTTTTATCATAGCATAAAGAAACTAGTAGCTTTACTCCTTGTCAAATCCTTTGTTCTTTTTCTGCCACTTTGACACATGACCTTGTTCTCGCGTCCCGTGACCCCTGAAACATCTCTGAAAACCCTGTACATACGTAGACTTATAATGTATCCTTAAAAGAAAGTAAACGAAATGCATTTTGTGCATACACCGTATAATTTTTGCATCCCCATCTTTCAGAGAAAACGCGCATTTATACAAATGCAGAAATGGTTGTTCTTTCATATTTAGTAAACGCGTTATGGGAGTATAGACCGAGTTTAGTACAATTAGTAAATAATTATATATTGTTTGTAACATAAATATATTATGTTTGGTGATAAATTATTCTTCATAAAGACAGTGTTTTTATTGTGTTGTTTAAGTGTGTCCGTATCAGAAAGTTCACGAAGTAAAAAAGATGTCCATCATATGATTATATTAGATGGAAAGAAAACTAGTCCAAGGTACTGTATACAATGGGAGAGTAATCTATACTAATATATAAAATCCTTAAGTGACTGACTCACTGATTAATCACGCGATCCTGCTCAAACCACTCAACGTAGGAAGCTCAATTTTAGCATACAGGTTGATTCTAGGGTGTAGAGGTTCGATATGAAGGGATTTTTCGAAATTCCTGTTCCAAAGGGGTGAAACCGCCCCTCAAATATTACAATATTTTTTTATTTAAAAAACGGTCAAGTTTCCGAAAAATTGCTTAAACAAGTATATTTTATTTTGACACGTATATATTTTTTTTACATATTTTAAGATTTTTTAAAAATGTATACAGGGTGTTTCGAAAACTCTGGTCATTGATTAATCACCATCTTGCCTAAAACGCTTGACGTAAAAAGCTGATTTTTGGAAAACGGATTGACTTTAGGGTGTAGAGTGTAGAGGTTCGATAAGAAGGGATTTTTCGAAACTCGAATTCTAAGGGGGTGAAACCACCGCTAAAATATTAGAATATTTTTTATTTAGAAACCGGTGAGTTTTTCGGAAAAACTCTTAAACACGTATTTTTTATTTTATTGTTTTACATATTTTAAGGTTTTTTAAAAATTTATACAGGGTGTTTCATAAAATATGACCATTGAGTAATCATGATTCTGCTTAAACTGCTTGACGTTTAAAGCTGATTTTTGGCAACCGAGGTGACTGTGTGGTGTAGAGGTTCGATAAGGATAGGTTTCTCGAATCTCAAATTCTAAGAGGGTGAAAACGCCCCTCAAATATCACAATATATATTATTTAAAAAACGGTTAGTCTTTCGGGAAAACGCTTGGACACGCATAATTTATTTTGATTTTTTTACATATTTTGAAATTTTTTAAAAAATCATACAGGGTGTTCCAAAAAGTTGAGTAATTGATTAACCACGATTCTACTTAACTCCTTGACGTAAAAAGCTTATTTTTGGCAAACGAATTTTTCCAGTTTGTATATTAATGGAAATCCTTGCTTTGCTTTATCATCACCAATACAAATGATTAATTCGACGCGAATAAAGTCGCGGGTACACGCTAATTTAATTATAAATATAAAAATATTGTCAATCTAAGAGTTCGATATACTAGATCTGTTATTCGAAAATAAATCTTGTCTTGACCACAACTTAAAAGTAATTTACTTTAAAACCCGCTTTTGTTACTTTTATTAATTTCAATATAACCCAAGAATAACTTAAGATTCTTTTTTTGTTTATACATATCCGTATGATAAAAAAAACAGCGTCACACACGGCGCGGCGGGGGAATGACAATCGATATTAATTTTGGCGAGGTCAATCTCTAAACGTCACTTACTAAAAATTGACATAATACTTTTCAAAAATTAACACCAATAATTATAGAAAGACTAAAAAAAGATAGAACGTTTCCTGACACACACAAATCTATTTCCAAAAAAATATTTTTTCTCCAATTTTTCTTTTTATTATGTTTTAATTTTGTTTTATAATTATTTTACTAGTTAAAAAAAACTACGGCTAATAGCAAAAAATCGTTTTTATAATCACTTTATTTCTAATATTTTCTTAAATTACTTTTAGGTACACAAAATATGTTCGTCACAATCTTGCCAAAACGAAATCTGCGAGGAGACCAAGTATAATAGATGAAGATAATATTACCTCAGCAACCAGCTTTGAACACGATATATCTCAAGAGCTAATATCTAAGAAAGTGAGTATAGATTATTAATCCAATAAAATTGTCATTTGAAAAAAAAATTACGGGCAAGCTGATTTTTTCAGAGTTTGTCAGCGACTGTCTTCTGAGTGTAAAATAAACAAAATCGGAAATTTTCCCCTTGCGGTTTTTGAGCAAAGGGGTGCTTTTTTTTAAACTGTACTACAACAAAATAATTAGACGCAAATTGTACATAAGAACATTCTCTATAAGTTCGCATTCGTTAATGAATTTTTTTTATAAGTTTATTATTTCCGGACTTAGCGGCCGTTTCATGAGCCCTTTGGGGTGGTTTTCAAAAAGTTTGTTTTACAGCAAATTGACCCGTATGAAAGTTGTTAATAATAAATGGACAAGCAACTTTTCCTCATGATTTTTTTTGTAGCTTGATTATTTTTGGAGATAGCGTCCAGTTCATGAACAAATTGGGGTAGTTTCATAATTTTTGTTTAGTTCTACAAATTTACCAATTTTAAGGTGTTCATATTAAAATTACATGCAAACTTCCCTGAAATATGGAATTCATCAAGTGAATGAATATATTTTTTTTTTATTTGTATCGTCTTCTTTACTGATGCTTCCAAAACCAATACGGGAACAGGGATCGGAGTGTTTGGGCCGAGAGCTAAATACTCCGAACCAATGGGCACTTACCCTAGTATCGTACAGGCAGAAATCTACGCTATCGAAAGATGCGTACAACTTATCTTAGATAGGAACTATCGGCAACAAGAAATAGCCATCTTTTCTGATAGACAAGCAGCGTTAAAAGCGATCAACTCAGTATCAATCAATTCGAAATCGGTCAAAGAATGCATAGAGAAGCTGAATAAATTAGGCAAAGAAAACAAAGTCCTCCTACTCTGGGTGCCTGCTCACCAAGGGACAGAAGGCAATGAAAAAGCAAATAATCTAGCTAGGAAAGGAGCGAACACTCCACTAACTGGACCAGAACCGTTCTGCTTTCCAAGTGGTAACCAACTCAAGGCGGAACTCAAGAACTTGGAAGATTCCATCCGCAACCTGGAATGGAAATCTTGCAACGGTCTAAGACACTGAAGAAGTTTCTGAGGGCTTATGATCAAGAAAAATCTTCCTGGGTTTAAGTAAGAACAATCTTCGGATTGTCACGGGGTTTTTAACAGGACACTGTCTCCTCAATGAACACCTCAGTAGATTGAAACTAAGAAGAAACGGCGAATGCAGATTCTGTGGGGAAGATGGGGAAACACCAGTACACCTCATCACTGAGTGCGCCGAGACGACAACCATTCGTGCCATGAATTTTGGTACGACTGATATTGGAGATGGAGAACTACCCTCTATAAAACCGTCCCAGATACTGGCTTTTGTCAAAGCCCTGGGACTGTATGATGAGTTATGGCTCAAGAAAGGGGGACACAATGGATCTGTGAGGTCGCAGTGATTAACCCCCGTCCCATTCATTCTAAATTCTAATTCTAATCGTCTTCTTTTGTATGATGGACCTGGCGTTGGCTCCTCAGATTTATTGTTGTTTTTTTTGTTGCTTCGTATGAAGTAAAGTCGTCGTCTAGCCTAGTAAAGTTTCCTAGGGTGAATTTGCTGAAAAAAGAGTAGGGGAGACTGGGGCACGTTCGGCCATGGGGCACAATCAGCCGTCAGTTATAAAAATTTGAATTTTAAAGTTTTCGCGCCGATTTTGTTCTTAAAAGTTGGCAACAAACCGCCGCCAGATAAAATATTCGTCTCATGTGTTTAGTTGAAGGTCAAGAGGTTTTTATTCAGAAAACGGAGATTTTGGCAGAAAAAGGTAAGTTTCGCTAATATTCTTATTTATGGCATATTACCTGTTTATATTCATCTCAGTTTTTCCAAAATCGAGTTATATTAGCTTTGGTATATGTAGTTTAACTGTTTATATTAGCATAACCTATAATTTATCCCATTTCAGTGCTAAATAAATTTTTATTTTAAAAAACTGGTTGGGGCACTTTCAGCTCTGTTAGTGGGGTACCATCGGCCGGTGGCCGAAAGTACCCCACATCCTAAATGTATTGTACAATTTTATAGATGGTTCGCAATTATAAGCCCAAAACAAATAGGGCTAATATAAATGAAGATACAATGCGGCAGGCCTTGAGAGAAGTTTTATCCAAAAACATGTCTCAAAGAGAAGCTGTTCGAGTTTATGGCATTAAAAGGCAAACTTTGCAGTCCCGAATAAAACAGATATTAAGAACTATGACCGTCGAAGAGTATTTGCAAAGAACTGATGATGATGGCTATGAAAGTGAATCGGATTTGCAAGAGAAAGGTAAACAAAAATAATTACTTTTAATTAATTTTTTTGATTGCCAGAATGCAATAGGAACTTATTTTCTTGTTCTAGGTAAATACGCTACTAGAAAAGTTTTTTCGACAACGCAAGAAGAAAAGCTGGTAAATTATTTGAAGCAATGTTCAAATATGAATTATGGCTTAACTTATGAGCAAGTAAGGGTCATGGTTTATGACTACGCAAGAATTCTGCCAAGTTGCAAATACCCAAAAAACTGGAATACCTATAAGAAAGCAGGAGTTGACTGGCTGTATGGTTTTATGAGGCGAAATCGCACGTTGTCGTTATGAAAACCAGAGAGAACAAGTTTGGCAAGAGGATTGGGTTTTAATAGGAACCGAGTAAATGGATTTTTTAATAATTACAAGAACGTGTTATATTCGTGTTCTCATAGATGAGACCGGTGTGACTACGGTATTGAACCCACCAAAGGTCATAGCTACAAAAGAGAATTAGTAACTGTAGTAGGAATTATCAACGCAACAGGAACTGCACTTCCTCCTGTACACATTTTCCCGAGAGTGAGAAATATAGAAGAGTATCTGGAAGGTAGTCCTGAATTAAGTGCCGCTTTTGGAAATAAATCAGGATGGATGACCGGGGAATTGTTTGTGAAGACACTAGAACACATTGTAAAACATACAAAATGCAACAGAGAAAATAAAATTCTCCTTCTTATGGATAATCACGAATCCCATACAACTTTAGATGCGATACTTTATGCAAGGGAAAATGGAGTAGTTCTTCTTTCATTTCCACCGCATACATCGCATAAACTCCAACCACTCGATATTGGAGTTTTTGGGCCGTTTAAAAGCAAATGTTCAGTTTCTTTAAATGAATGGTTGTCAAGTAATCCTGGAAAAACAGTCACCGTTAAACTTATACCAAAACTCACTAAAATCCCATTTTTAGAAGCATTTACACCACGTAACATAACCAGTTCTTTTGAAAAACCAGGAATATGGTCAGTTAGCTCCTTAGTTTTTGCAGACCAAGATTTCGAAGCCACTTTGGTGTTTAATGACAACGAACCTACAGGAAATCCGTTAGCTGAGAAACAGGATGGAGGAACCGAAAATGACCTTATTGAACGAGAAGATTTTAGAAACCAACCGTCTACCTCTAAAGAAGCCGTGATATTGCCTGTTCTTGATGAAGTCGAAAGTGAGAGTTCTGTAAAAACTAATACAGGAATCGAAATGTTAACTCCTGAATTGGTTCGACCCGTCCCAAAAGTTTTTAGACCCAAAACTATGCCAAGAAAGCCTAAAGCTAATCAGGGGAAGTCAAGAATTTACACTGAAACACCCGAGAAAAAGAGAATAGAGGAAATAGAAGAAAACAAGAAAACAAAGCAAAAGAATAGAATTGAAAAAGAAAAGGCAAAGTTGAAGAGACCTTACACAGATAATGAATCAGTCAAAAATAAAAAAAATAAAACAGGTCAAAAAGAAGGTATTTTCAAGCTCTAGTAGTGAATCATCGGGGTCTGGTTTGGACTATGATAGTGAGACAGAGGAAAACCTAAGTTTCGGATCACTACAAGAGAAAGATAAAATAGCATTAAATAACTTTATTCTAGTAAAATTTTCAGTGAAAAATACCACAATACATTATATCGGTTATGTGTAAAATATTATTTCAGATAATACATACCAGGTGAAGTATCTTAGACGCAGAGCAAACACCAATAAATTCCATTTTCCCCAAGTGGATGATATAGAAATGTGTACACGAAATGATGTGTATGCCATATTGACAAATCCTATTAAGTCCAGAAGAGATTCGAGTTTAACTTTTTGTTATAATTTTGATAATATTAATGTAAAATAGGAAACCACTATTTTTCTAAGAAAGTTTTAGAATTTAGAATTTATTTGTTATGGTTCAAGTTTAAAGATTTGTGTTTGTTTTATAGTTTTGACAACTTGAACTTTTAATCTTTAAAATTTAGTTGTTTTCAATTACAAAATGTTTAATATAATAAAAACAAGTTTCTTTTAAAAGTGGTTGCATTATTTTAACAGTTTTAACAATAAACGTCAATGTGCCGAAACTGCCCCAATAACTGGCTCTATAGGGGGCACAATCAGCCAATATGCAGACATATTGTTATGACTAAATATTTTTTTTTGTAAAACGTTATAAAACATTAGTCATATAAAATAGGTGTGTAAAGAATGTGTCAATTGTCAGTGATTCTTTATTAGAACCTAAAATCGTCTGGAACATTTTTGTAGTAAAAAATCGATTATAGGGCCGAATGTGCCCCAGTCTCCCCTAACATTGAAAACTACCCTAATTTGTTCATGAACTGGACGCTATCTCCAAAAGTAATCAAGCTACAAAAAAAATTCATGAGGAAAAGTTGCTGGTCCATTTATTATGAACAACTTTCATACGGTTCAATTTGTTGTAAAACAAACTTTTTGAAAACCACCCCAAAGGGCTCACGAAACGGCCGCTAAGTCCGGAAATAATAAACTTATAAAAAATAGAGAATGTTCTTATGTACAATTTGCGTCTAATGATTTTGTTGTAGTACAGTTTTAAAAAAACCACCCCGATTGCTCAAAAACCGCAAGGGAAAAATTTCCGATTTTGATAATTTTACGCTCAGACGACAGTCGCTGACAAACTCTGAAAACATCAGTTTGCCCGTAATTTTTTTTCACTCTCTATAGGGCGATACAATTTTACTGGATAATATATGTTTAGATCTCAAATATTACCATTTTTTCATCATCGTAAACGATATTTTTACGGTAATAAAATATTTGTTTTGTGCGATATTTTTACGGTAATATTTTTTTGTGCACCCTCATGTTTCAATGTTTCTGGTCTTGTTTTTGTTAAAAAACTTAAGCGTACTTCCACACTTAAAAATAGTTTTATGTCATACTGTTTGGCTTTGTCTGATTTTTTCTAACGTTCCTTTTATACAGAATCGGCAAGGGAGGGTCTTGAGTCGGTATTTATATGTCTGGGAGTGAATTACTATGAGAATCTTGTAAGTGGGAGAATCTCTTACTTACTCCCTCTCCCAAAATGTATTAGACTTGAAAAATATTAATATTGCGTTTATTTTTTGCAGAAAAAACAAAGATATCGTCATCTAAAAACCCACCAACAGAAAAATAAGAAGTATAAGAAAGAAAATCAAAATAAATTCAACCACCTTAATTCAGAAAGTTTAGAATTTACATCAAATCAAAACATGTACAGCGCTCCACACGGCAAATGGATACCGGTTGATTCTCAAGAAATAATATATAACATGGATAACATTCAAAACACGGCAAACAGTTACATAAGTGGCAGGATAATATATCCTGACCAAATCGACATAACAACGTTAAGACCTGTTTATTTTAACATGCATGATGACAACCTATATCCATCATTTAATAGAAATTACTATCCATATAACATAAATCAGAATCAGCAGATATACACTACTCAGCAACCTGCTAAGAACACGTATACAACAAATCAACATTTGTATCAATACACAACGAAGGAGAAATACGAAACAGCAAAGAATATACAACCAATCCGAGGACATCATCAGCTGTCTCCAAGTAATATTGTTACTATTAAGTATGATATTATTAATCAAGAAGACAAAATAAAGCAATCTGATAAAAATGAACTTGATATAAATACTACCGAAAGTCCACAACTAAAGAATGATTACAGCAATCAAAATATATCGAAACAGTTGCCATTTGGTGCAAGAACACGGATCAAAATAAAAAATTAACATTCACTACATTATTTATATACCTACTTACTTATTAAAGCTTATTTATATTAATTTTATTGTTTTCTGGCCTCTGTAAATTCTGTACATAGAGATAAATATATTAAATAATTTTAATTACAGATCTAGACTCAACATTTTTTTTGTTATTTAATTTTTATGCTACATTTTAGTTTTCTTTTTTGTATCTTTTAGATTTTCAATTGATTTTTTTTTATATTATAGGTACGATTATATGCTGTTACTTGGATATTAAATAAATATACTATTATTATTATTTATATTGAGTAGAAATTATTTTTAAATGGTATAGTTTAAAATTCCAGAAAACATATTTTTTTGGAAATATATTTGTATCTAGAAACGTTGGTCCTTTTTTAATATTTCTATAATTAGTGTTAATTTTTTATTGTCATGCCCCAGCCGTTTTGACGTCGTTTTTTTCGATCGTACGATATACAAGCTGAGTTCGGCATTCCGCTCTGAGGAATCTAGATAAACAATGAACAATAAATATAATGCATTCCAGGGAAAAGAGAGGAAAAAGCTGTATCGTCTCTGATATCTGTCAGGGTATTGTTGAAAGTGTCATCTTTTTGCTCGAAGTTTTCAGGTCGATCAAAAAGACATTTACAACAATACTGTGCCGTAACTTTGACAAATATCAGAGAGAGTACAGGTTTTTCCCATGGTACAAAGAAAACAAGGTATGATCGATAGCGGCCCCAATTTCGTTAAGTTTGCGCATAACACCTGTGACGTCATACGCCATACAAAAAAATATCCATATTGTGCAATTGCCACTAATAAAAAAAGACCTAAAATAGGGAAGAATTAGGACATAACCCTAAAAGTTATGTCAAATCATCGTGCTTGACATTTGAAAAATTATTTTGACATTTATTGTGTCATCTGTTTGACAATTTGAAATTGGCGCGCGGAACTTGCCGACCAATGGTGCCGTTTATCACCTGTGACGTAGTGACCAACCTGCGCAATATCATACCTTGTATTCTTTGTATCATGGGTTTTTCCTCTCTTTTCCTCTGGGACGCTTTATATCTGTTGTTCTTTGTTTATTTAGATTTCTCAGAGCATAATGCCGAACACGACTACAGAGTGGTCCGAACTGTATTACAGAAACTTCGGCGGCATTTTCTGCAGATAAAAATAAGTAAAAAAACTTCGTATAAATGTATGTCCTAAAATGCTGATAATATTTGAACGAAAATTGGTGTCTGGGAGTTTTTTTACATGAAAAATTTGATTTTGATTTCAATATGACTCCTGTTTGTAGGGGGCGCTATATCTACATGTATTTTACCTGTTTTGAAGAGTAATAACTTTTGCTCCGTACCTGTATAACCCCCCCCCACTGAGTGAAAAATTATACATTTCCGTTTTTTACGTAAAAAAAAACGTCTCTTGGTAAAAATTGAGAGCAACCGTTCTCAATATATTCAGAATGGAAATACGTAGTCAATACGTGTCATTATTGGCAACAAATAAACATGTTGGGTAGATAGTTATTTGACTGAAATCTTACTGACTGAAATGGATAAATTTGGGAACTTTTTATATTTTTAAATTAATCACAATTTTTTCTTTTTTCCAAACCAAACCAAAAATGACGATAAAACAGTTTATGTCAATTATAACAGGTATTGATAATTTCGATTCCAAATATCCCGAGAACCATTACCCGTAGTAATTTTTACCAAAAAGACCTTTCTTACGTAAAAAACGTCGTAAATGTTTACTTTTTTACTCAGTAGCTTTATACAGGTACGGACGAAAAGTTATTACACTTCAAACCAGTTAAAAAATATGTAGGTGGCGCGCTTTACAAGTAGGAGCCATATTGCTTATTTTTATCTGCAAAATATGCTGCCGAAGTTTCCGGAATACAGTTCGGACCACCCTGTATAAGATGAAAACTATTAAAGCGCGTTTTCATGCGTCAAATTAACTCATGAACTTGCTCGATTTCGTTTCGCATGAACGTAATATAACCGTCTAAACTCAACAAACCATATCAATTATTGTTCAGATGATTTTAAAATGGCGTCAAGTATGTGGTCAAAAGAAAAGTTTATTAGTTTGTACTAACAGTCATTCTTGAGACCGTGCTCTAGTCTCCATGAACTGAATTAAAATGAATGTTCGCTATCAATTTGACTAGTTCCTATTTGAGCATTATTAGCATTTATTTAATGTTACCATTGTGTGTGTGTCTTAAGGTGCGTATTCACTAGAGCATTTTGGTCCGAACGAACCAAGCGAGCCGAGCGCACACGAACAAACTCAATAAAGAAAAGATCGCGATATTCAGAGTGCTTGTTGCGTTCGCTGTGTTCCCACGTTAGTTGTATTTAATTTTTATTCGCGCTTTGAATCTCTAGGTCACCGTTCTGCATCGAGTGTGTTAATGGACCTGGAAGATATGCTATTATCGCTGCTGGTGCTTTTTTCGTTATACAAAACATCACCAATAGGAAAAAGAAGAAAACATCAAGAAAATTATGGGCAAGAAGTTTGTTTTTACGCCGTCAAAATGGAAGGCTACTGAGAGATAAGCCTGTTTTTTTTAAATAAAAATTTGACATTTTTCACGTGATTGCTTTTTTACAGCTAGGTTAGAAATCATGTGACATTTGCCAAATCTTTCCATTAAAAAAACAAGCTTTATTGTTATATTCGTTATAATTTGTGTAAATGTAGCTTTTCCCGTTCCAATACTTTTTTTCCTTTCGCCTTCTCCCTTCTGAAACTTGCCAGAAGACTTTCAATTTTTTTCTTTGCTTCTCCAGAAGCACATCCCATGATCTCACCTATCTGCCTCCACACATCAAACTTCTTAACTTTATTATTAGTATTTAGAATAAGTGGGAGGGGGGTTAATCTCTGCGACCTTAGAGATCTATTGTGTCCCCCTTTCTTGAGTTATAACTCATCATACTGTCCCAGGACTTCCTACGGAGACCCGTGTCCCTCACAGTCGAGGAGCTACGACCCAGGCCGGGTAGACGAAACGGTAGCTTGTGTCGCCTGTTGGGTTTAGAGGTAGGAGGTAGGCTCCCGACCCTTGGAGGAGGTGGTAGCTTGTATGCCACTTGCGGAGGATGGTTTCACGCAAGTGTCAGCCACCAATCCTGTAGTTCTCTTTGGGTTTGGCCCCTTGGAACTTTCATTGTTACTGTTCCCAGTATCGATAGGGGGTTTCCCCACAGATTCACCGGTGATGTTTTATTACTATTATTACCAGATCTCATAGAGTTCCTATGAGTCGCTAGGGACAGTCGGTCCACTTCTACAGAGCCCCGCAGGTAGAAGTAAGGGGTAAAATACAATGGGGTGCTCCCCGGTGCCCCAAGGTTGAGGCTGTCCGTAGCCCCGCCCGGTATCGTTATATGTCTTGGTGCAATTCCCTGGCCACGACACTACAGTCAGGGACAAGACGATGAGTGAGATGCTTCTTAGACCAAGCCAAGTGCTAGGGGGGATTCCCCCCAGCACCTGACCAGGAGCTTCCCCACCAACGACAAGGTCTTGCATCTCCTAGGGGAAGTAACTTTATTATAGTATAATCCATCCTTTGGATTCCAAAGCACTGGATATTGTTCATAAATGTCTATTAACTAAAGGCACTTTTCTCTATTCCACTCCATTTCGTTTGAGCAAAGAAAAATCAAAACAATGAAAATGTTTAGCCGCGAATACTCCGAATAGGACGAACACCATGAACGCAACGAACCTCCGTACCCACTGCACAACCCACTGAACAACGCATCCCCTTTGAGCAAAATGCATGTACCGACAAGCCGGCGAAAATGTTTGGCGCGCTCGGTTCGGTGAAATTTTGCTCGCGAACGCGTATTCACTTGCCGAATTCGGCTCTGCGCGCTCGGCTCGTTTGGTTCGTTCGGAGCAAAATGCTCTAGTGAGTACGCACCTTTAGATTATGATCTAAACAATCTCAAATACTAGTCTTTACTAGTCTTAATAAAAATAATAAAGCAAATTGTTTTTTTTAAATGAATCCAAAGCATTTATATTCAGAATACAAATTTTGAATTTTAAGGTGTTTTTGTAAGTTTAAGGGAGGAGCGTGACTAATCTTACGACATCTAGCTAATGAGGAGAGCAGGGGAGGGATAAAAAAAAATCATCTATCTTATACAGTAGGTATTAAAAAAAACACTTCCTATTTTATTTACATTTATTTTCTTTTGGTTTTTACATTACTATTTGGACTTAAATTTAAGAAATAAATATAATATTTACACCAGCAATACAAAATGCCTAAGGCACAATAAACGGAAGTTAACATCAAAGGTAAAAAGGGGAGTCTTTTATCTAATCTAAGCACTTGATGGACGACATTTTCGTACAAAAATACACCTGCTAAGCCTATAATGTAAGCGCTTTCCAAAGTGCTTAGCAATGGTAAAGCCAGTTTGTTGAATTTGGGCAGATGAATTTTATACAAACTATAAAAGGAATAGGAGGAATACAAGACAAGTAAAAGGACTTTAATAGAGAGTAAAGATGAAGGGAATAATAGAGGAAAGAGGGAATAGTGCCCTGTAGTAGAAAGTATCAGGAATATCTTGGCATCTGTTGGCTCCACTATGGATAATATGCTGAAATAAAAAAAAGTTCAGGAGGTATTTATTATAAAAATAAATAAATGACACCTAAAATCTTAATCATTATGTTTAAAAAAATTTAGACACTAAATACAGGGTGTCATTGAAATGGTGTAAAAAAATTCAAATGGTGATACTGAAAAACTATTTGGAAAAGCGGAAAGGGTAGGTAATTAACATAAACTTATGAAAGTTATGGCGGTTCAAAAGTAACCAAGTAGTTATCAAATAATTAATTGAAAAATCAAAATCTCATGATTTTTAAAACATCTTATTGCTTTAAAAAACGAAATAATCCACTAGATTTCTACTTCTGGGACTATTTGAAAGCTTTGGTTTACTCAGTGCCGATTAATACTGAAGAGCAACTACGGCAACGCATTATTGACTGTTTCAATCAAATTTGGACACCAAGGATATTCCACAGTAGGGTACGCAGATCTTGAAGCAGATGTCTGCATTCAAATGAATGGTGGTCACTTTAAACATTTACTATGAATGAATTAAGGAATGCATTATTTTAATAAGGAATTTTGGTAATTGGTTTATTTCGTTTTTAAAGCAATAAGATGTTTTAAAAATCATGAAATTTTGATTTTCCAATTAATTATTTTAATAACTACTTGGTTACTTTTGAACCGCCACACTGTGTTCAATTTTGTCAAATTAGCCGGCAAAAAATATTAGTGAAAATTACTTAACTTTGATTACTAACTATATCCGATTTTATATGTTAGGTATCATAACATTACATTATTAATAATATAATTAATAAGAACAGGTCGTATACAGGGTGTATAATAATTAAAAACTTGGAAAAGTTTCTTTATTTTTTATTTTAAATAGATTTTGGTCGCGATCATTTGCATATGTTAGATATTTAAAAATTATCATATTCTAAGAATAATACTATGGATCTTACAGATTTTGCTAACAGTTGCTTTTAAAAAGTCAACAACCTCCAAGCGTTTAATCTGGGCAATACGTCCTAAAAAATGGCCTGGACTTAACCGACAGACTAGGACGGTAAATTTGTAGGTTTGGTAAAGTTGTCTAATGGTTTAACTATCAACTTAACTTTATTAAAAAATTGAAACCTCATAAGACTTGTTTCTGCTAGTTCATTAAAAAAATGTATATTCTAATAATTTAAAAAAAAATCTAACAATATCAAAATTATTTACTCATATTTAATACTCAACAGAAGAACATTAATGTCAAAAAACTTACCAATAATTGCACTTTCCATTTTAGATAGTATTAATGACATATAACTTTTTTCACGGAATACCCAAATTAAAAACTTTATTCATGTGCAAATAACAAGATTATTTAGTTTCGTTTGTCAACTATACTACATTTTCAATCAAAATAACAGTAAATTCGCAACGACCTTTGACATATTTGTTAATGAATGTTCTTAGCAACTATTTCAAAGCCTACTTATGGAGTTTTTGACGCCGCTTAGCCTCATCAGATTTTTTAATATTTTCCTGTTAATTTTTAAAAATTGACCACAGTGCGCCATAACTTTCATAAGTATATTATGTTGGTTAACAAGTTAGCAACCCATCAGAACAAACTCTTTGCCTTCAATTTTCTCGAAAACCATCGATCTGGGCGATGTGCAACAAGAGTACCTTTTTTGTAGGGAAAAGTATGTAGTTTTCAAAAAATGAACCCACGTTGCAAAAAAAATAACCTCAAAAAAGTTATTCACGAAACAACCCCCTACCCTTGCAAAAACTACCCTTTCCGCTTTTCCAAATAATTTTTCAGTATCACCATTTGAATTAGTGTCAAAATTTATGGCAGATAATTTTTTTTCGAAATGTTATCTCGTTTGTTAAGCCTGCAATTTGAAAACAACCGTTTTTTAAATTCACCCTTTCAGTGCCCCTAACTCCCTTAATATGCATTTTCCGCCATATACTTATAGGGACTTTTTTTATTATTTTTAGGAGTACTATCACCCCCTGATTTTTTTACACCATTTCAATGACACCCTGTATTTACGTATAATTATGTGACAAAAATTAGCTAGAAGAAATAAAATGCTCAAAAGCTGGCGGAGTTTTTGTAAACACCGTCTTTGACATCTTCCAATAAAAAAAGTTCAGACTGGCTGAATGACAGCATTTGGACATTATATTAATAGGCGAATACACACTGCTTTGACTAATTAATATGATCCTAAAGTCTGTCCAACGAGAAGATCCTTGACAGTGATAGATGTGTCTGTCATTTTAATTTCAAAGTAGTTTATTTTATTTTACAAAGAAATAAGTTGGTACAACTGGAACGCATAGCAGGAAATTAATATATGTATTTAAAATTTGACTGACAAGTAACTTCAAAATATTGTGAAAAAAACTGTATAAAACTGAAAAAATGTAATCGAGTTATTTTATTTAATAAAAACGGTATGTGTTAATACAAAACAAACAAAAAGAAGACACCACATACCAAAAAATATAAAAGAACTATTTCTTACTTTCAAGCTTTATGAAACTTCCCGCATTTATGATTATATTTATCGATATAACTTATGTACAAATACAAATTTGTAATATTCCGCAGGAATAAATAAAACAACATAAATAAAACAAACTATTTTATTAATAATAACACTTACCAAATTTTATACCTCACAGGTTGACTAATTAACTTTAATCTTAATTTTTTAAACTAGTACCTTTTGACATTATTTTTCTGCAGTACTAAAATCCATTATTTACCTATCGTGTAATGTCGATATTTTACAGCTACTCCAGTTTTTAGTATGGTCCTTCTACCATATTCGAGATGCACTTATCTACGACGAGATGGTATACGAACTTTATTGATAGTAACTTTATTGGTGTATCTGTATAAGACTTTCTGCCTGGGCAGCAAGTATTAACCATAAACTGTGCTCTGGATTCTACAGTTAATTTTTACTCGATTTTTCCTCCACTTGACTTCAAAAGACACAAAACGCGTAATAACACGAATCAAAATGCATTATCTTCCAAAACGCAAGGTATTTGTCAAAAGTTGTCACAAAATTATAACCTATAATTTGGCAAGACTTTGACAAACGTCAAAAATCTAAAGGCGAGTTCATACGCATCGGCGTCCGTTTGTCGTTTATCGTTCCGTCAAACCAATAAAATTGAAATACGATCTGTCATTTTTGAAATAAACCAATAAAACTGGTTCAAAACAACAAGTGACGACGCATGACGAATTTATATTTAAACCCATCCATAGTTAACTTAAAAATTATTAGAAATTTTTTTTAGTAAAATAAATAGATTGGTATGGGACGTCATCTGCTTTTCTTCTGTCATCGTCTGTCGAAATCTTACCTGAGAAAAAAAACAGAGTATATCAAGTTTCTCTGCTATAAGTTTTCGTTTACAGCAAATTTCTGAGATTTATGTCTTTATCTTTTTATTTTATAAGAGTAATCTTTATTTATTTTTATTTTATAAGAGGCATGAATTAATTATCCATTGAATATCGAAATAATTATATAATGGGTATTCCATTTAAAAAAAAGAATAGCCTGCTTTAAAAGTGAGCAATGTTCAATATTAATTTGGTTTCACCTTGTATAACTCGTTTTTTTCTATACAGGGTGGCGCACCTCATTCGTCTCGGTTGATTATAAGAAAACGGAAAGATATAGAAACAAAATATTTTATGGGTATATGTGGGGAGGCAATGTGTACAATTTAAAATTATTTTGAAATATACAGGGTGTTTCAGAACTAAGATCCATACCAAAGTTATGTTTTTTCTTATGGAACGCCCGGTATTTTATTTCATTTTTAGATTCTTGGGCCCCAAAAAGGTATTTATTATAAAGATTAAATGTGTTTAAATGCTTTGGTTTTTGAGATATTTAAATATGCATGCTACAATAGAATATATTATTAACACCCTGTACATTACTTTTTAGAATTAATTCTCGTGCTGAGTTTAAAGGTAGGGAAATAAACTTTACTGAAAAATTTTATTGCTTAATTAAATTTATACAGGGGTCCCAAAATTTGCTGATCTATTTTAAATATTTATTTTACATACAAGCTTCGTTATTTCAAATGCAACACCCTCTATTTTTTAAAATAGATCGAAGCAGATTCAAATGCTCTTTCAAGCAATATTAGAGTCTGCTATATCTAGCTCAGATTTTGAATAAAAAGCGATTTTTCATTAAAATGACAATCAAGATGGCTGGTGTCCATGGCAATTTTCTAGTGACAGTAACTATTTTCAAAATCGACATTAGTTTATGGACATTATTATTTAGATTTATAGCAGTTTACTTAAGTTTACCTATAATAGTTTAATAAATAAGTATTCATTATATTTTATCAACAAAAATAAAGCAGTATCTGCTAGCGGAACGAGTGGACATCTTCCTAGTGATTTTATTTTGTGAGGAAAATTGCCATTAGTATATTATTGCCAAAATTGCCATTGTTAGCGGGGCTTATGCTAAAAGATATCCAAATAGAAATCTTCCTGATAAGCATTCCTTTGAAAAAAACTACTTGTTCTATTTCGCACAGCTGGTAGTGTTGTTTATAAAAAATCTATTAGTGAGAAACCTGTAGTTGAAAGTGAAGAAAATGAATTTGCCGTAATTGGCTCTTTTATAGAAAATACATATATCTACAAGTCATCGTAAAATTAATCAACGAACTACTTCTTCGTTTTTCTTGATAAAATAATATAAATACATATTTAATAAATATTATTTCTTAAATACATACTAATAAAACTAGTAAAACAAATGAAAAATATATTACGAATATTACTAAATGTAAAATAATTAAAAAAGGCTATAAAATCTATAATTCTTACCTCAGAGGTATAATAACCATCAAAATAGCTTTTTCGTGAACGTGCCATCCAAAAAGGAATGCAGTAAGGCCACACAATACCAGACATCTTAAAAAATTCGTAGCATTTTTGTTCATAAAAAATAATTTTATCGTTGCCGGTAATACAAAAGCTACAGTGAGCAATAAAGTCGTTATTGGGACAATGTTAGGCAACACTGTATGTGTAAATTCTTGAACTAATCCACCAGTCATTGTCGCTACAGAACTATTTCTAATCGGTATGTTCAATTTTGGAACTAAAATTGTTAATATTATGCTTATTTATACAGAGTTGTTCCCCACATACGACACGGAGTATTGTAGCTAAACGATTAGATTTTTTCAAATTGTGAGTTTTGAGTTCGTTGAAGAACTATTAGTGCTACAATCTAAAAATAATTTTAGAAGATACAGAGTGTCCCAAATAAGTAAAAAATATTATAGTTGTATTTTTTTAAATGGAACACCCTGTATATTATTATATTTTTACTTTCTACTATTAAAATAAAGGTAATTTTGATTAAGGTTTATCACACTTAGTACAGACAGTATAAATGTCAATATTCAATGGGTATAGTGATAAATGAGGTCTAAATTATAATAAAATTCATTTTCTACGAAAACTTGAAGAGATAGGTAAAAAATGGTATAATACAATTTGATAGATAATTAAATTGTGCATCTGATTCGCGTAAAATATATAGGGTGTTCTATTTAAATTAAACAAGTTATTGCCGTTTAAAGCTGATAATTATTTAATATAAACTTTTGGACAATCTGTATAAGGTAGTATAATTTTTATTATTGCAACACAATATCTGATCAATAAATAATCTTCAGTAAATATTTTTTGTACTTAAACCTTTAATGGGCCCTTAGAGAGATGAAGCCTTAATTTTTTTACTGCAGTTTCACAAAATTGAAAATATTTCAAAAACAGTAAGATTTAAGTGTGATTAACAAGAATTAATAAAATAATATATAGGGTGTTCCATTTAAAAAAATACAACTATAATATTTTTTACTTATTTGTGACACTCTGTATCTTGTAAAATTATTTTTAAATTGTACCTCTAATAGTCCTTCAACGAGCCCAAAACTTGCAATTTGTAAAAATCTAATCGTTTAGCTACAATACTCGAGGATGGAGAGCTGGCCTCTGTGGAGCCGTCTCAGATACTGGCTTTTCTTAGAGCCCTGAGACTGTATGATGAGTTATAACTCGTTATAACTCAAGAAAGGGGAACACACAATACATCTATAAGGTCGCGGTGATTAACTCCCCTCCTAAACATTCTACAATACTCCGTGTCGTATGTGGTGAACAACCCTGTATATACAGTGTCTTGGGCATATAGATTTGGCAAAGAAAATAGTTTCTTAGAAAGGGTATAGCCGGATTAATATAGGAAATCTGCCCTCGCGGGTTTTTTGACTCGCACTCTGAAACTTTGAAAATCTCGAAAACCGTTTGAGTTAAAGAGCTAAAAATTTAGGTGAATTATTTTGATTCGACACCAAATCGATCCCCTGAGTGCGAGTAAAAAAACCCGCGAGGGCAGATTTCCCATATTAATCCGGCTATATAGGCCAGTCATTTAAGACATCCCACATCGCAAACGGAACTGTCGATACTCAAAAAAACCCAAAATTTTGGTACTTATTTCAGTTTTTTTGAAAAAACTATGTTAAGAAAGCATTTTTCAAATTTAATTGTTCTATACTTTTATAAAGTCAACTAAATTTCCTATTATTTAACCCCAACCCGAACCCTCCAGGCCAATTCGTTGTTCAAATACAGCCAATCAAATATCGGCAATTATTTTAAAAAACTAAAAATTTATGAGTACGGTTACATTCCAAAGCACGTTTCGGCTAAACTAATGGCTCTAAAGAAAAGTCATGAGAAATAGAGTTGTAGAGATTTTATTCAGCTTTAATTTGATGTAAGAATGAGGCCGCTAGACGTCATATTTTGCTCAAAAACCCAAATATAGTAAAACATCGAAGTTTGGGGGTATCATTAAAACATATTTTATTAAACGTAATTAAAAATAAACAACATAAATGTAATATGTATAAACTAAAAAATATAATACAAAAGCTCTACTTTACTTGGCCCTCTTAGAAGGACCGGGCCCCATCCATTCCGGATCAGTTAGGAGGGGGGAGGAGGAGGAGGAGGAAGGACATTCTCTGACGATAGAGGTGGGTCTTCATATGTTAAATCGTCCAATTCCTCGTCCTCCTCATCCAAGATAATGGGAGTAACGTTGCTGCAGCTTCGCCCTTGGCAGAAGGAACAGAGGATGGAGCACTTCAGTCTTGCTTTTCTGCAAGTGCAGGATCCTATGCAGCCTTTCTTGCATCTGCAAGCAACCATCTTAAGCAGGTTTTGAGGGGCACGCATAGTTATTGCCATAAGACCCTGTTGACTGGTGGTCCATCCTCAGTCGGATGGATTTTTCTCGACCCCCAACCATTTTTGAACCTGGTGGTAGGTTCTCCAAAAATGATATTTGGCACCTTCTGTAGTTGGGGGGAGGCGGGCAAGGTTTATTTTGGCCATTCCTGTCGATTTTACGAATGTCAAGTATCGCATGCTGTTCAGCGTGCCGTGATCCCCTCCATAGAGGTTCAACAAAATCTTCTCGCCAGCATTTCCTACTTCTTCCTGCGTCGAGTTTGGATCAAAGAAAATGTTGGCGAGGTCGGGTTTGGCTTAAATTGTAGGAAATTTAGTTCACTTTATAAAAGTATAGAACAATTAAATTTGAAAAATGCTTTCTGAACGTAGTTTTTTCAAAAAAACTGAAATAAGTACCAAAATTTTGAGGTTTTTGAGTATCACGGGAGTAGCACAGGGTTTTGAGGGTTGCAAAATTGGGCATAACTTAGTCTTATAGGTCCTAACAATATATTAAAAAATGATAGATACAGTCCCGTTTGCGATGTTTGCCTTTTTAAATGTCTTAGATGACTGGCCTAATACCCTTTTTATTCTTGATAAATGACTCTGTATACCAAAAAACTGATAATAAACTAAATAGTAAAAATTGAATTAGGCCTAGTGTTGGTATTAAATGTATAGGGTGTCTCATTTTCGCGTGTGTTACAGCGTTTCTCGTTTATGAGTAGAGATACAAAGTTATGAAAGTTATACAAAGAGATTAAAAATTATGGTTATTACACGCTATTTTCTGTGTGTAGAATTATTGCACAGGTGCATCACAAATATCAATAACTCTGACTCTGACAGCCTGCTCTCCAAAACCTGCACTAGTTTATTTTTAGGCCAGTTTGTTAAGATAACACATAAAAAACAAAATTATCTGGTTAAATTACATTAAATAAACTAATAATACTATTTTAAACTAGGTTGACTTATGTTATAAAGTTATATAATGCATTTTTTTACCTTATCTATGAATATGTATAGGGTATAATATATTTTTAGAAAGCTCAGGGTCAAATAAAATAAAAAAAAATTATACAGGGTGTCCTGTTTAAAAAAAACATAAATTTGACTCATATTTTGAAAATAATAGCTCCCAGCAAAAAACTAGTTACGCCACTGCATTCTACGTGAAAAACTCGGCGGAAGTCAGTTTTCAGCTTTTCGATAAGTGATACTAATTAAAAAGTTAAGTTAATTAAGCAAAATTCGCCCTGTATTTCAAGAATCAAGAGGGCTAGGACAAATTTATGTATAGCATCTCAAGTTTAATAAAAAAGTAGCACAGTGACGTAAAGACGGCATCTTTGTACCTGTAAAACACACGAAAATTGACACCCTGTACAGTTGTGAGTAAAGTATCTAGTACCTAATAGTATTAAAAAAAAATTGTTTATTAATGTTGATAGTTTGCTGAGATATAGAGCTTTGATCAAAAATGAAAACATCTTAGTAGTAATTTCTTTTAAAGAAATATAACTTACAAAGAACCGTTGCTGATTTATCTGCAACATTATACAGAGCCCAGAAATTTGGAGCCCAATAAGCATGGCACAAACCCCTTTTAAACGGGAATAACCTAGAAAGAACCTGGAAATATTTACTAGTAGTACTTTTTAGTGAAACATAATTATTTTAAATATATTTACTTGTGGTATGTCAGCAAAAAACGGTCCAAAACTAGCTACAAACACACTTATTACTATAGATGCCAATTTATGAAAATTTTTAAGCACCTTCTTGGTAAAGAGTGTTTTTGTTGAAATAGATACAGGTAAGCAGTAATGTCTTAGGAGATAAATAAAATACGCTGGAGCCAAATAGATGTAAATATGTTTCATATTGAGTAAAAATGTAAACCAAAACGCTGACCAACAATACCTTTCCTAAAAGTAAACTTTGATATTATAGATGCTCTTTAATGATCTTCAAAAAAAATAATTTTATAAATAAAATAGAGAAAAATAATAAATACCTTTAACAAATTTGCAATAGATAAAAGCAAAATCCCATACATTATGCCATTATATTGAAAATGAATATGATCTACCATTAATAGTCCACAATTTGTTATTAACAAAATAGGTAAAACAACATCTCTTTTCCAACCTTTAGGTAAGGCTTCACATGTTCTAAAAAACAATTCTAAAGTACACATCTAGATAATATACACTTTTTTTACAAATCTTACTTATAAACGCCATAAATATAAAAAGAATCAGTTAAAATCACAGAGAGTCTTTGGAATAAAATTGTCTTGTCTGACGAATAACCGATGTTATTAATATTAAGCATTTCCTTGTCGAAATAGACCGCAACTAAGGATAACAAATATTCGAACCAGGCAAAAAATGGTGGATAATCCAATGTCCATTTAGATGTAGCCTCATAATACCATTTGTTAAAAGGTAGACTGTAAGTTATAGCTAACCAATTTCTGTGGACTTCAAAATCAGTCGATCTACTAAAATATTTTAAAATATGTAATAATCTGCGATTAGTACCGGCAATTTATTAAATAAATCTAGAGCTGTTTGACTTACTAAGAGGGAATTAAAAGTAACTTGACACATGATGTTAATAAAGAAGTAGTTCCTATCATTTTCCTGAAGTTATACCATGCATATAATTAATATTTCTTATCTCAAGCTAAAAAGAAAAGGTGGTGTTTTCAAAATTTTAACCTTAAAATTTTTATAGGTTAGATTTATTTTGACGTTTACAGTTTTTTGTTATAAATGCTGGGAGAAGTTATCGATGTCTTTAAAACATCGATGTTCTGTCCCTGTCATCATTTAATAATTATTTTTTTTTAAACAATACCACTTTTATATCTATTTTCATGAAAATTGTTGGTGCTTACAATTAATAGCTCAAACCAAACCAAAAATGTGTACGATTTTTTTGGAAAGATGTAAATAATTAAGTTCCTCTTCTCCAGTATTTTTTTGACAATTTAAAAGTCCCCAAGTCCCCAGTTGGTCCCCAGAATATCTCCAGATATCTAGGGATGATCTATTGTACTGCAATTGACTGCAATCATAAAAAAATCAATGTAAAACCGTTGATTGAAAACCGTTCTTTCAATCCACGGTAAAACTCTTTAAAAATGCAAAATGACTTAAAAATGACAGCTGTAACTTCTATTTTAATTCCATTTAGATTAAAGATTTAGATGCTAAATATATAATGAATGAGTTATAAATAAAACAATAACAAACAATACCATTTTTTAAACAGTAAACAAAGATATTCTCATGAAATGCTATGCTATGATTCAATTCACAATTTAGAGAAAAACACTTCCAATTACTTGGCAAACCGGTTTGCGCAAGCTATTTTATACAGAATTTTTGCTTTTGTTTAGTTAAACTGTGACATATTATTAATAAATTAAATTATTATATTGTTTAGCCAAAGAGTAGTTGTCTACTTCTCGACTCTTTGGTATAAAAAGGGTTTAAAAAGCATCGATGTTTCACATCTTTCGCTTCGATATCTCATCACTATTTGAATTTTACTTGTTGTCAAAAACAGCTGTTCTTAAAATCAAAACAAGTGGTGATGCTTGGGTAATGCGTTTATCACCGGTTATGTTAAATCTCATCAAATTCTCCAAAATAATGCATGTTTTCATTAACTTTTAGAACAAGGTAATTAATAATAATATATATCTTTAAAGTACGAAGTTTTAAAAGCATTATTTTTAGATGTAACATGCAATTGAAGACATATTAAACTCTACATCTGATCCAAAATGGTAATGCACAGGGCTTTATTTACATGGTTCGTCTTGCTGGTATTTTTTATCCTATTATGCTTAAGACTGGAAGGTAGAATTCACTGGAACTGGTTTCTCATTTTTCTTCCTTTATGGATATACGACTTAATATTATTAATCGACTCAATATTCCATCTTTTTATTTGCTGTGTTCACGATAGAATTAGAGATTTATACAAGAACAAAAACCTGCTTTTGTTCGTCGTTGTAGTATTACTAATTATCGGTAAAACAGTTTTAGGACTATATCTAGAATATAAGTCATTAGAAATCAAATTAATTCATGTACTGATACCTTTTTGGGTATTACTAGCAATTCTTATTGGTAACACGTCGTATAATTTGTTTAAAAGTATAAATTATTAGGAATAAATATTTTTATATTTTTTACTGTAACAATAGTATGGTTGTTTTAATTTTTAGATAATATAAAATCAAAAAAAGGCTATGCTTTAGAATGGATTATATTTATCTGTAGCATACAATATATCTAAAGCCTTCAAGAAAGCTCTATAATCCACCTCGTCGTGCATTCCTCTTTCAAATCCAAAGCATTTGCATATAACATCGAATTCGTTGTTTGATATCAAGTTGTACATTCCTCGTAATGTGATTGCCTTTAAGAAGTTTGTTCTGGTCACTGTGCCACATTTTGTTTTGTCGAAATCCTGTTAATTTCACAGAAAAAAACTGTTAATAGGTATTGCTACAGGGTCCTGAAATAGTACATTGGGATGTGTAGGTCCTATAAAAAAGAACTAACGAATTTTGATTAAGTGCATACCTAAAGTATGTACTAGGACCTATTCCAGGAAAATATTTAAACTGGGAAGATCCTGTATATTATTGCATTTTTGACTTCATCCTTAATTACTTTATTATTAAATTTGTTTTAATAATTTGAGAAATATAAATGAAAAAATATATTTTTTTCAGCCTTTAAAAAAAATATATAATGTGTCCCGAAATAAAAACTGTGCCAGGTAATTACCATAACTGGACTGTACTTACTATATTACAAATATCGTAGTCTTAAATCATACAGGATGTTCAAAATTTCACGCCAAAAAAGGAACATTTTTTTATTTAAAGTAGGTATCATTTTTTAACGTTTTTGTAGATATTTGCGGTATTATAACATAATATGGCTCTTTCAACGGTAAAATACCAGGCAAAATATCATTACTTTTTTTTTTTTTTTTTTTCCACAATAAGGGGCCGTCCTCTGCCGGAAACACTGCGACCTGTGAGGTCTATTGTGTTTGTCCCCTTTCTATATCTGCACCCATTCTCCTATCCCTGTGCCCTGCACTAACTTATGCAGGTCCTTGATAGGATGGGAGCATAGTTCCTCCGGTTCTAGCCTAGCTTTCCCAAATAAAAGTGTCGCTTGCGATCCAGAGCCTCGCAGTGACATATTATGTGCTCCGCTGTTTCAGGATCTTTATCGCAGAGTCTGCAGCAAAGACTTCCTTGATACAGATTGAGCTTGTTCAGGTAACACTTGACAGCCATATGTCCTGTCAAAGAGGCCTGTTGTAATCCGCAATTTATTCCTGCTAAGCATTAGCAGTTCTTTTGCGGTTTTGCAGCTAGGTCCTTGGATAAAAGCCTTGCTGTGCCTGTGCCCCTGTCTGTTTCTCCAGTGGACATTCTGCTTTTCTCTGATCCAGAGTTTTAATGCACTACGGGCCATACATTTGGGTATTCCCAGTACTGGCTCTGGACCAAGATAAGATGCCGATGATCCTTGCCTAGCTAGCTCATCGGCTTTTTCGTTGCCTTGGATGCCGCTGTGACCCGGCACCCAGAATAATTTAATTCTGTTCCGTCGAGCCAGAGCTTCCAGTTCACCTAGGCATTCCCAGACGAGTCTCGACGATACCTTTGGGCTCATAAGCGCCCCAAGTGCTGCCTGACTGTCTGAGCATATATTGATGAGCTTATCTGAATAAGCTCTTCTATTGTTTTCTCTCGCACATTGTAGAATGGCGAAGATTTCTGCCTGGAATACGGTTGAGTGTTTACCCAAGGAAAAGGATAGACTTACCCTTGGTCTTTCCCCAAATACTCCAGCTCCTGTTCCTTCAGCGGTCTTTGACCCGTCTGTATACCAGGTTAGTCCATCCTGAAGGAATGTTATATCTGTCCACATTCCTCGATCCATTTTGTTCACCTCGAATGGTTTGTGGTAGTGATAAAGAGGGGTCATCTGGTCCGATCTCATTTGGAGTAGAGGTCCCCCGATAGGATTTCCCATCTTTGTGTGTCCTGTTTCTGTCCTATTTCCCAGAGACAAGACACTTTGTTGTCGATAGAGTCCCATTCTTGCCTCCGCCTGGATCACTATGTGAAGAGGCGGAAGGTCCAGAAGCGCCTCCATTGATGCAGTGGGCGTTGATTTCATCGCCCCTGTTATGCTCAGACAAGCAAGTCTTTGCACCTTGCTGAGGCTGAGCATTGTTGTTTGTTGCATTACCTTAGGCCACCATACCAAGGATGCATATGTTACTGAAGGCCTCACCACTCCAGTGTACAGCCAGTGCACCATCTGTGGTCTAAGGCCCTAGATTTTTCCATGAAGGCGTCTGACTACCGCTAGTGTAGTCACCGCCCTCCTTGTGACATTTTCCAAATGTCGGTTCCAGGTCAGTTTGGTATCAAGCGTGATTCCTAGATACTTGACCTCCCCCGAGAGAGGAATCTCATCACCGCAGAGTCTTAGAGGGCCTAGTCCCTCAAGTATTCTGCGCTTGGTGAAGGGGATTATTACGGTCTTTGTAGGACTAATATTTAGTCCCTCCCGTGTCACCCGTAATTCCACAATCTTCAAGGCCCTTTGCATTCGCTCCCTTACTGTTGTGTTAAACTTACCTCTGACTAACACGACCAAATCGTCTGCATATCCCAGAGTGTTGAAACCAGCCCTGTTGAGACTATTAAGCAGTCCGTCCATAACGAGATTCCACAGCAGAGGGGAGAGAACTCCCCCTGCGGGCATCCTCCCCGCCACCCGGACCGCAACAGTCTCATTTAGGAGGGTGGTATATGCCACTCGACTTTTGAGCATGCAGTCTATCCACCTGCAGCAGGTCTCCTCTAATCCGAGGTTCCTTGTAGCTCTCGTCAGTGACTGAAATGAGGTGTTATCAAACGCCCCTTCTATGTCGAGGAATGCCCCTAAAAGCACTTCTCTTGTTTCGAACGTCGACTCCACTTTGCTTACTAGCTGATAGAGTGCCGATTCGGTTGATCGTCCTGCTGTATAGGCATGCTGGTCTTGGTGAAATGGTCTTTTTCCCATTATTTCATCCCTAACATACCTGTCCATTAGTTTCTCAAGAGCCTTTAGTACGAACGACATAAGACTGATGGGCCTAAAAGCCTTTGCCGTAGAATAGTCCAGACGCCCATTCTTGGGTATAAAAGCTACCCTGGTCAGCCTCCAAATTCTCGGTATATATCCTAAGGCCAGACTAGCTCTTAGTAGTGTACAAAGTTTGCTCGTCAGTAGGTCTGGTCCTTTCTGGAGCATTATTGGACAAATACCGTCCGGTCCCGGTGATTTGTATGGCTCAAATGAGCTTATAGCCCATTTTAACTTTGATTGGTCAATCACCCTTTTTGAAACCTGCCAGTCTTCCCTTGAGGCTCTTCTCGTGAAGTTCTCAAGTCCACTACTCTTCCAGGTTTCTGGGGATTGCTCCAAGGCTATTGATCTGGGAAAGTGTACCCGAAAGAGTTCGGTCAGCGTCTCTTTCCCAGTGGATGTGTATTCTCCTGCACTAGTTACAAGAGAGTTAATTGAGGTCTGAGAGTCCTTAGAGAGTATTTTTTGAAGTCTGGCACATTCTGAGGTACTATCAATGCCCTCGCAGTACCTCCTCCAAGATAATCTCTTTGCTCTCTTCAGTTCCTTGTTATATTCGGTCAAAGAGGTCTTATATTCCCCCCAATCGCCGGATCTTTTTGCCCTATTCCAGTTTTTCCTTACCTGCCTTCTCCTTGCCTCTAGCTGGACGGTCCACCAGGGTGTTGCCCGTTTGTGGCTTCTGACAGTCTGGGGGCAGTTTTCCTCAAAAGAAGATCTGATCGCGTCAGTCAATTGCTCCGCGACCAGTTCCACCTCAGTCGCATTCCTTACCATTGATTTGATACTCGTCAGTTTGCTAGTTAGGTCTGCCCCAAAGGCTTCCCAATTTGCATTCCGAGGATCACGGTAGGTTTCTACGGTCCTTTGTATTCCCGAGATTTCAAACCTTATGTGTTTGTGGTCCGAGCAACTCTCCTCCTCTGACACACTCCAGTTTTTTATGAAATTGCTAACAAAAGTGGTGGCTAATGTTAGATCTATAACTTCCTGCCTTTGTGTGGTCACAAAAGTAGGCCTGTTACCTTTATTCATTACGTCTAAATTATTTGCCATAAAGAATTGCAGCAGAGCTTCGCCTCTAGGGTTTGTGTCTGTGCTTCCCCAGAAAGTGTGGTGCGCATTTGCGTCCGAGCCAATGATCAACTGAGATCCATTTCCTCTGCAGTACCTCACTAGCTCTTCATAGTCTCTGGTGGTGGTGGATCAGGGTCATCGAAAGGAAGATAAGCCGATCCGATTATAATGTCCTTCGGCCCTTCTCCGTTCGTTTTTAAGTGTACCGCTGTCAGATCCCTGTTGCAGAATTTTAGTAAGGGCAGTACTTTTAAGTGTGTTTTAATTAATATGCAGGTCCTAGGTCTGTCAGAGGTTCTACTGTATATAAGTTCCACTCCGACTCCCTTTAGGCCTTTTATTTGACCCTGATTTATCCAGGGTTCTTGTATCAAGGCAATGTCACAGGTCTCCATTACCTTACAGAGGACAGCCGAAGCTGCCCTACTGTGGTGCAGGTTCGCCTGGACGACCCTCATTTCGAGACTCAGCGCCCGTCAGTGCCCGGAAGAAGACCCGTCCGAGCTTATAGTAAGCCTTGAACTGGGTCTGCCCAAGGGCACTAAAAGACGCTAAGTCGATGGAGAAGGCGATGGTTTGGCCATTCTTCTCCACCTTCCTGCTTAGTGTAAGCCAGTCTCCCACATTCAGGCTAGGGTTTTGACGCCCAAGCCAGGTCCTGACTTCACTTTCCTCGACTGTCTCTGGTATCCAGACGAGGACTTTTGGTCTCTTAGGAAGGTCCTTAGAGTTGACCGTAGTCAAGTCCGCCCCTTCCCAGAGATTGTTTAAGCCGGCTACAGTATGCTGCAGCCATTCTTTGGTGAGGTCGTTGGCACATGAGATCCAAAGAATCCCTCCCACGTACCTAGTTCCCTCAAACTGCGGCGGACTCTGGCTCCCTGAAGGTGTTTCAGTCAATGCCGCCAACAGCCTCGCTTGAATCAGGTCCGCTTGCTCCTGACTCAGTGTTGTCTCGGGATGGCGTCTGGAAATCACCGCCATCCTAAGTTCCCTTGAGGCGTCACTGTAAGAAACACCAGTCTGCACTTCCGTGCTCCTGGGTTTCTTCCTCAGACTGGCCACAGGTGGTGTAGAGGAGTCCGAGTGCGGTCTTTTTTTGCCCGTACTTTCCTCCTTTTTCTTGGCTGGAGTGGAGCAGGTTGACGGTCCGGGTTTGTCCGTTTTCCCTCCTCTCTTTGCCCTATATTTCTTAGCAGGGTTCTCCCTTGTCCAGGTTCCCTCTGCTATTTTTTTAGCTTTCAGGATCCTCTTTTTCTGTGCTCCTGAAATTCTCTTGTTCCGCAGGCCTATGTTTCCAAGTCCTGTGGTTATATTTGACACCTCGGCAGGCTGTTTCTCACGATCCGCAGACGAATCTGCCCTCGTTGTACTTGGCCCAGCGTCGGTGTCTGGTTCTGCTCCAGAGTCTTCCCTTTCGGGTTCTCCGGAACATTTCTTGAGGAGTCACTCATTTCTGAGTCCTCCTCGTTCGTTTTTTGGTTTTTATGTTCTCTGTCCATAAAGTTCCCACGAGTAGGGGTGAAAGAAGGTCAACGCCTGCAGAGCACCCAGTGCAGACGCAAGGCATGTTACTATGGGAGATTGCCCGGTATCCCATAGGCTCCGTTTGAGACACCCGTTTGAGGCACGGGTGCCATTCATCCATCGGCACGGATCGCGTGACACCTTGGATTAGCCTGTGTAATGTGTGTGTGTGTGTGTGTGTGTAAGTGTATGTATGTGTAAGTGTGTTAGTGAAGTGTGCTTTGTATTCTTCTTTGTCTGGCCTCTCCTCAGAGACCTGTTCGGCATGAGAGACCCTGCCAGTAGTTACCTACCGCCGACATAGCCCTCTGAGTCATTGAAGCACACAAGCCCCACCGGTCCGTCAAACCGAGAATACATAGGTGGGGAATATCATTACTTAGGTGGCTTTGATAAAAATTTACTTTTGAAAGGGCCATATGTAGTATAATACCGCGAATATCTGCAAAACCATAAAAAAATTGAAATACTATAAATACATCAAATGTTTCTAATTCTTCACTTAACAAAAATAATATACAGGGTGTTCCATGTAAAAAAAACTAAGAAAAAATATTTTATTTTTGAAGTGGAACTTTGAACATCCCGTTTAATTTAAGATTGAGAAATTTATAGCAAAGTAAGTACAGACCAAACTATAGTAAATAGTAAATACCTAATAGTGTTGGTTCCAGGGCATTTCTTGTATTTTTAATATTTTTCAATGAAATATATTTTTTGTATCAAAACAAATTTAATAATATCTAAAAATCATATAAAGTGATCAGAAAGGAAGCTAAAAATGCAATGAAAAATGCAATGAAATACAGGGTGTTCCATTTAAAGAAAATTATACCAATCCACTCACACATTTTTGACCCATCCTGTAGAAGTTATAGTAGTTAAGTACAAGGACTGTATATATTCTAAAGGACTGTTCGTTCGCGTCAAAACGCCGCCGTCGTAGTCGCCGTGGATGCTTACGTCACGCAGGGACCAGCGCTCCACAGTGCGGCGGATGGTTATTGTAGCGGGACAAAATCTCAGGAACGATGATTGGGACTTAAAATCTAAGAACGTAGCAAATGGTCTAGTATATGGCAACCATTTGGTTAAATTTTATTTATTAACAACTTAATTTATTAATAAATAAATAAATACGAGATAATAAAACTATAATACTATTCATACATGACACACAAAAACCGTACTGTAAACTATTGCCAAATACATAAAATTATGATATCAGGTGAAATACTCACAAAAAACTCTTTAGCAGTTATTTTTTAATTACTTGCTAATCTTGTGACACCCTGTATATTTTATTTTAAAAAATTCTATTTTAATTTGAAAATAATAAATAAGATAGATATTTTAATTTTAATATTAACACTCGGTAATTGTAAATTCATATTGTATAGTAAGTATCTAAGACAATTTTTTAAATTTTTATTAAAACTAGTAATAATTATTTAGTTTTATTATAAATTATCAGAAAGTAAAAAAAGGCTTTAGTCTCATATCGTCATGCTTTATTTAACTAGAACAGCATTTGGATGTTTTTGTCTTGAGGAAAATTGCCGAACTGACTAGTGGTGTCATTATTAGCTGCCCATACACGGAAAGGCCCGGCCTTCGGACTTGGCCTTGGGTCCGGGCCTTTAACCCAAAATACCATAGGCTTGCGTGAAAGGCAAAGTCCGCAGATATATTTTCGCAATGGTAAATTTGTCTTTCCGTGTATGGGCAGCTATTAATTTTTTAAACTCAGTGCCTTTCGATGGAGTTAAGGTTTCAACAATTACAGCAGCATCCTTACTCCCACTAGCCCTAAAGCTCATAGTACTTGCAAAACCCAATTCTTCTTTTGAATGCTCTTCAATTAACCCTTTAACGAGTCTTTGTTTCGTTTTTATACTATCCGATTGAAATGAAACTTAAGCTTGAACTCCTTGTGACTGTGACTACCTGTGTTGGTAACTATTGGTAACTCAAAAGATCTACGTCATTCAATATATCAATATTTGAAAAAAGTGAAAGTTTGATATCTGCAGAACAAAGGCACGAAGGATTTTAACAAATAATATACCTACAGTAGAAAAGTACATACCTTTGGCAATCTTCAACATAATTTGGCTTTGGAATAAAATGTATAAGCACTTTTAAATATTTTGTTTTCGTATGACTTCTGCCTTGCTGAGCAGAAAACGATCAAATTTGGTTGATAAAAATGTATCGAAATACAAAAAATATATACGACCAAAAAATAATTCATGCATTTTTATATCAATTGGAATGTCTACTATTTATTCTTATCAGTACACATTTTTGGCTTTTATTTCTAACCAAACGGTTTTGTCCCGCTAGATTTATCTTCCGCCGCACTGTGCGCTCGTCCGTCAAACGCAAAAATAACTGTCACTGTCTAAAATCTTTAGCGCGAACTTCAACTTGGTCCCTAGATAATTTGTTTCCTAAAATATTTTGATTAAAAGAAAATATCTAAACTGGGCAACGCTGTGCCGATCAAGCTTAATCACGTGACTAACAGTTTATTTGATATTAACTATACTTTCGGTTTGTACTTAAACAAAATTTCTAATTTTTTTTATTATAGGAGCTACAGATGCCCGACGCACTGTTGCAGAACCCTGTATTTAAATAATAGAGCTGTATTACTGTAAGAATCGAAGACAAGTTCATTTGTAAATCGGGTTTCTTGGATAGTTTTTGCATGGCTACGCCCAGAACTAATCTTTCCTCGAAGTTTAGGAAGTTCTTCTCGCAGTCTGTTGTCGGGACGTGTTGCACCGGTATTATAAGGGGTGTTTTCTCTAGGCAGGGTTGCGTGAAAGCCTCTTCGACGACGTCGCAAAATCGTCGATAGTCTACGCATTCTCTACGCAACGGAGACGCGAATCTGTAATAATAATTAAATACAGGAAGAGTGTATTCCGTTGCTTACCTTGGTTATGGTTTTATGTTCCGTTTCTATCGGTTTCCTGAAAGTTTTCTTATTACGGAACACGGTTCCTGAAAAATTCGGTTATAACCCTAAACAAAAAAAAACATAAATTGCAAAAAAGAAATAAGAAAAAGTGGTAAATCTTATAATATTAAATTTAACAGCGCTTTCAGATGGAGCGGACCAACGCAACGTACGCGCGGAGCGTCCGCGCGGATGTTTTTTCAATATAGCTCATCCGGACGGAGCATACGCGACCCATGTGAAATCGTTCATATAAACTCATGGTACTTGTTCGAAGTCGCGAACGCTCCGTTCCATCTGAAAACGCTGTAAGTCTTCCTGGTTGTCTGATTTTAATTGGCTATGTAGTAGTATTGTTTTATAAAAATTATTTTGTTGGTCGTGTTTACTATTTTCTAATAAACATGGCATTTGGAATAAAGAAGGGTTCATTGATTTCGTAAATATAACAAGATCTTTGCATAAACACCGGGATTCTGCAGAACATTTAAAATGTCAGTTAATGCTAAGAAATTAAAAAAAAATCAAAATACAATAGCCGATGATTTAGAAATAAACACGTTAGACTCTATAAGCTTAATTTTAATGGAAATGTTCGTTTAAATAGGCTTTAATGTGAATATAATTAATTAGTTAAATGACGATATTACTGATAAGTTTGCATCAATAAAGAACAGAAAAATTGAGCTGATTTACAAAAATTACTAAGGTTAGTAATATAAATAAATCAAATTTGTTTTGGTTAATTAGTAAACATTAATGTAATAATAATTAATGTAATAATTGAATATTAATTGAATGGCTCCTCAATTGTAACCAACAATTTTTTCAATATCGAAATTTTAGTGAAAAAAACGGGGGAAAAACGCTATACCTGAAAATTACAACCTTATTTCACGGAAACCTCTATTTTGAAAAAAAATGTCAGTTACAACGTTTTTCGGGGAAGCCATTCAATAATTACAGTGTTCGCCATAAAGTTGGATCCATATGGACGGTTTTTTTTGGTATTGGAGTTTAAAATGCACCAAGTCAAAGTTGAAACATAATTTTGTTAGTCACTTTTTTTAAAATAATAGTAATTTAACCAATTTTTAAAAATTTCTTTTAAATATTTTGTATTTGACAGCTCCCCGATGTTAGCTATAGTCTGTCCAACGAGAAGATCCTTGACAGTGATAGATGTGTCTGTCATTTTAATTTCAAAGTGGTTTATTTTATTTTACAAAGAAATAAGTTGGTACAACTGGAACGCATAGCAGGATATATTTAAAATTTGATTGACAAGATGACAAGTGATTACTTCAAAATATTGTGAAAAAAACTGTATAAAACCGAAAAAATGTAATCGAGTTATTTTATTTAATAAAAACGGTATGTGTTAATACAAAACAAACAAGAACAAGACACTACATACCAAAAAAACATAAAAAAGAACTATTATTTACTTTCAAGCTTTATGAAACTACCCGCATTTATGATTATATTTATCAATATAACTTATGTACAAATACAAATTTGTAATGTTCCACAGGAATAAATAAAACAACATAGGTAAATAAAACAAACTATTTTAATAATAATAACACCTACCAAATTTTATACCTTAAAGGTTGATTAATTAACTTTAATCTTAATTTTTTTTAAACCAGGACCTTTTGACATTATTTTTCTACATTACTAAAATCCATTATTTACCTCTCGTGTGATGTCGATATTTTACAGCTACTCCAGTTTTTAGTATATGTTTAGTTTGATCCTTCTACCATATACGAGATGCACTTATCTACGACGAAATGGTATACAAACTTTATCGATGGCAACTTCATTGGTGTATAAGACTTTCTGCCTGGACAGCGAGTATTAACCATAAACTGTGCTCTGGGTCTACAGTTAATTTTCACTCGATTTTTCCTCCACTTGACTTCAAAAGACACAAAACACACGTAATAATACGAATCAAAATGCATAATCTTCCAAAACGCAGGGTATTTAACAAAAGTTGACAGAAAATTATAACCTATAATTTGGCAAGACTTTGACAATCATCAAAAATGACAAAAATCTAAAGGCGAGTTCATACGCATCGGTGTTCGTTTGTCGTTCATCGTTCCGTCAAACCAATAAAAATGAAATACGATGTCATTTTTTAAATAAACCGATAAAACTGGTCAAAACAACAAGACACGACGCATGACGGATTTATATTTAAACCCATCCATAGATAACTTAAAAATTATTAGAAACTTTTTTTAGTAAAATAAATAGATTGGTATGGGACGTCATCTGCTTTTCTTCTGTCATCGTCTGTCGAAATCTTCCTGAGAAAAAAAATAGAGTATATCAACTTTAGCTTGGTGCATTTTAAGTTGTTTTCAAAGCAGAAGTGATTGCCACAAAAAGGTTTTTTAAAACTCTAATATAAAAAAAACGTCCATATGGATCCAACTTTATGGTGTAATGTTTATTATATTTAATTTAAATTTAATTATATTTTCACTGGAATGCAAAATAATGTGTTTATCGAAAACTGGTTGTATCTCTTTTTACTTAATGCGTTTTAGCCCAAACTAAAACGAAAATATTATAGGTATTAGTGTATAAATAATAACAAAAAAAATGTTAACAGAATGGTGAATGCAGCAAAAAATTTTCAAATAATATTTTAAAAAATGTTGACAAAATGGTGGCGCAATTTAAAACAAATTAACTCTTCACCTAATTTTTTACCCACGAGCCGCCATGCATTTGACGTTTCCAATATTTTACCAAACCGTTCCGTATCAAACCGATGTTTTTCAGGAACCGCTCTTTACCGTAGTTTATCGATCTGGTTCGCCTGGTTTTGCAACGGAATACAGCCTAAGAAGTTTATGAAAATCTATCCTAATATCTACAGATTGTTGCATTTTAGGTGCATTTGTTTTTTGCTCATCAATAAACAGAGAGCCGTACAATTTTCGCAAACCTGAATTATTTTTTGGTGAAAAAGATCTTTCTATGTGTGAAATGTGTGTGAAAATGACACTCTTAATAGAATGACATGTGATACGTCATTCTATTCAAAGTGTCATTTTCTATCGAATAAAGTAATATACCGAGGGTGCCATTTAAAAATCAAATGTTGTAGTCATTTCCGGTGAAACAGGAAGTGACCGAAAACAATTGAATACGTCTGTCAATCCTAATTTATGTCATATACCGTATGATCGAGAAAAAACGGCGTCAGCGATGGCTATGAAATGAAGATCGCTGTCATTTTATATGTTAATTTATATGGAAAATGTCATCGATCGTCATTTCCCACCCAACTGGACGCCGTTTTTTTTTCGATTATACGGTACTAACACACCAAATCATGTTTTATTATCTGAAAAAATAAAAAAGTTATAGGGGTGATCCTCTTTTGGGACGTATCCGGTATTACAGCATCTTTATTACGCGACTTTTAAAGATCTAATATTTTTATTTAACAAAATAATGTAATTTTACAAAATTGTTTGGAAATATTTAATGATTTTATTAACTACAAATACAATTCTGTAGTAAAATGCTACGTTTTCTTTTTCTGTCCAGTTCACTAAACGCAATACTATAATTGATAAAACCCAGGGTAAAAGTTCCAGTATATCTCTTTTATTACGTTTTTATTATTTATATTTATTCCAAAAACCATTCGTGAAAGACTTGAACCACATACACAAAAACTTCGTCGAATTTCCTCGTCGAAAGGTATTTCTGTATACATAACGTAGTTACTTACACATCTATTAATGTTTCCATTTCATTGCAAGTGAGCTCAAATCTACACGTCAACAAACCCCTTCGGAAATCTTCCCTACTAATAACTTGTTGATTGCACCTGAAAAAATATATAATATTAATAATTTAACTGTGTCTGTTATTTTAATATACTCGTAAATGTATCTATTAATTTTAAGACATAGTTTGTCGAGCTAGAGAAAGAACAATTTCTACAGACGATAGCCAAAAATGACAGAAAGTACTTTTGAATAAATTGACAGACAGCAACAGTCACTCTCATATTCTTTCAATTAGTAAACTCTGTCAAAATCACATCAATCATTTCTTTCTGTGAGACTATATAAAATACATTAATTTGAGGTGATTAAATCACATATATTAGTCTGCTAAACAGAAAGCGAGAGACATTTTCCCTACTGATAACTTATTGCTTGCACATGAAAAAATACAAATTTAAGTAGTTCTCTATTTAACTGATATTATTGTCTGTTATTTTAATTCAGATATATAGTCTATAAAATAAAAAAGTTATTTGATTCAACTAATAAACTCTGTCGGAATCATATCATTTCTCACTATGAGACTATACCGGGTGCATCTCGAAAGTTGCTTACCCCTATAACATTTTTATTTTTTCAGATGCAAAAACGAGATTTGGTATGTTAGTATATGACATAAATTAGGATTGATTGACGTATTCAATTTTTGGTCACTTCCTGTTTCAACGGAAATGACTACAGCTTTTGATTTTTAAATGGCACGATCGGTATATTTCTGCTTTATTCGATAGAAAATAACACTCTGAATAGAATGACATATCATATGTCAACTTTTGACATTTTCGCTTTAAAAAAAAACGAATTTTAGATTTCAATCGATAGTGCCATGGTTATGTTAAAAACATCAATTTTTAATCAAGGACCCTTACAAAAATAGATTTGATCGTCTAATGTTTTTCGTGTCTTGTCCTGGCCGGTTAAAAGATGCCCAAATCGTATTTTTAATCATATATCAAATTTTTCAAATGGAACAAGGGTGATTCATTAGCATATTTCGAAAAAGCATTTTATTACGAATAATTTGGTACCACAAACTTGGTATTTCGAGCCAAATTATGGTAATGCATGTTATAATTTCAAATAAACCATATACGAAAATGTCAAAAGTTGACATATGATATGTCACTCTATTCAGAGTGTCATTTTCTATCCAATAAAGTAGAAATATAACAAAGGCGCCATTTAAAAATCAAACGTCAACGAATCATAATTTATGTCTTATATTAACATACCAAACATCGTTTTTTTTACCCGAAAAAATAAAAAAGTTATAGGGTTGAGCCACTTTTGAGACGCACCCGGTATAATATACATTAATTTGATGTGATTAAATCACATTAATCTGCTAAATAGAAAGCAATAAGTGGTCTATTTTTCTACTAACCTGTCGAAATTTCTCATGAATTCTAAAACTCTTATCCTCTCTCTAACGACTTTCCCTTTGATTTTGGCCATGATTTGAACAATATCCTTCTCTTGTCTAGAAGCCGGTTTTGTCGGTTGTTCGGAATTTAGACGTTTCATGTCTTTCAAGAATCCGACATACTGTTAAATAAACGATCAGATTAATTTTAGCAGCTTTGTGATTCTAGTAAAAAAATAGTATATCGCTTCGTAATGATTCTATTAATTAGAAACCGGTTTTTATTTAAGAATCTGTTATTTATAAATAACAGTTCTCAACAGTTGTTACACATGACATGTGACACGCCTTATTAAAAAAATAACAGATATTGAAATAACAGTACGCTAAGAGCGATCACTCAATGTGTAACATGATCGAAAAAATAATACTGCGCAAGCGTTGCCTTGTAAATAACGATCGATAACATTCATCATATAAGTTTGCATATAAAATGTCATCAATCATAATTTCCAAATCAACCATCTCGATAAAATACACATACCTGAAAAGTCTAGGGATATTACAATTTTATCCACCCATCGTCAGTAATTTAATTATTTGCATTTCTGATATAATAAAATTGAAATAAACAAATAGTTTACAGGACGTATTGGAAATAAAAATGCGAAATTTACCGAATTTTTCAAATTTACCTTGATTTTTATCGAACTCAAAAAAATACACACATTTCTTTTTATTCTAAACTGTAAATAAAAAAAAAGATAAAAAAATGTTTACTTAATAAAGGGTATGGCCTCCTCTACTGTTCATTACAGCCCTACATCGTCTCTCCATGCTCCTGATCAGGTTGTCGATCTCTTCTTGAGGTACAGCCTCCCACGCTGCATTCACGGCCCGAACCAGATCCCTACGAGTTTCACGAGGCATACCCATTCTCAAAATTCTTCTTTGGACCGCGTCCCATACTCAGGAGATTGTGCCGGCCAGGGTAAGATGTTTAATTGATGAGCATTGATAAACTCACTTACCACTCTGGCTGTATGAGGCCGTGCATTGTCATGCATGAGAATGAAGTTTCTCCCAAAATCATTGGCATATGATAACACGACTGGCTCAAGAATTAAATCACGATATGTGATTCCTGTTAGAAACCTTTCAAGAAAAACGAGATCGGTTTTTCGGCCTAACTGGACTCCTCCCTAGACCATAACTGTTCCACCTTGATAAGGGTGCACTTCCTGAACATGATCCAACCGAATAAGATCTCCCTGTTCTCTCCATACCCTAAGCGTTCTCGAATCCGGATGAATTCCAAAGCATGACTCATCCGTGAAGAGAACATTGGTCCATTGTTCATTCGACCACTGAACATGATCTTGAGCCCACAAATATCGTACCTCTCGATTTCCTCTCGTTAAGGGTTGAGCTCTCCAGGGGCGTCTGCTTCTTAAGTTGACCTCTCTTAATCTATTGCGAACAGTGTCATGACTAACGGTTACATTATGTGTTTCCTGGAGAATTAAACTAAGCTCTGGTGCTGTAAGAGTCGGTCGGCGTCGAGCATTTAATTGTAAAAAATGATCTTGCTGAGGGGTAGTAATGCGATGTCGCCCTGTGTGTCTTTCTGCAACATCACCACTTTCACGGTAGCGTGCACTTAATCGCGATATTACACTTTGCGTTGTATTTAATGCTCTAGCTACGTCGATTTGGCGCATTCCAGCTTCGAGCATACCCATGGCCATTAGCATTTCGTCTCTGTTAAGATGTCTACGCTCCATAATGTCGTTTAATACTAAACAGAGTTATTTGAATGAATTCTGGCCAGTTATCATAAACTCATAGCCAGTACAGGTTAAATTCGAACAATTGATGCTAGGTGCTTTTTAGACATTTGACAAAAAAGGCACAAACACTTCTGCAAATATCCCAAATTTAGAAATAACTAGTGTGACTACTTCGTTTCAATCGAAGTAGAAAGAATCGGCCTACCAATATGTGGTTGTTTATTCAAAACATTTATTTTTAACTTTAATAAAATGATATCCCTAGATTTTTCCGGTGTGTGTAACAGAAACCTTTTGTTTTAAACTTTTTCCAAATAAGTAAGTAGTAATGCAAAACAAGTGTTTGAGTAACAGTTGCAACTGTTATTTTTAAATAACAGTTGCAGTTATTTTTCAACTGTTATTTAATCAACTGTTTATTCAGCAACTGTTATTTAGAATTAATCTTATTCCCCGATGATATTGTAATGTTTTACCAAGGGTTCGTCGCTGGGTTTTGGCTCAACCTCCCTCAAGAACCAGAAGTAATTGAAGCCCATGTCGTTGTTGAACCTTTCCTCCAGAGCAAATAACTCGTCGTCCGACAACAAGATTCCGTTGGAGTTTAACGCCTGTCTCATTTGATTTCGACTGACGTGGCCGTTATTGTGCCTACATAATAGAAAAAAACGATACTAGGTATCATAAGGGTATCATGGATAGAGTGAGTGGTATCATGAATAGTCCAATAACTTTAGAAAAGAGCAAATTTGACGTTGATTTTGTAAATTTAAATTGATTTTGTTAAAAATTTGATAGTTTGTTGTGGAAAAGTGTAAATTATTCGTGCAAACTGAAAAAAATGACTAAATCCAACAAAATGGATACTCATCATAACAAATTTGTGGATAAGAAATAAATCGATTTAATTTTTTTAATTATATATGCGTTGTTATTTAACAAAACTGTTATTTTAGAAAGTATAGTTTGCTACGCTTGTTACTTCCAAAAAATAACAGTGCGCTCACAGAGCATTTATGTGATGCAAAGTTAGAATCGCCGCGCCCTATAATTTTACCAAGCTCGCAACAACAGTTATTTCTAAAAAATAATAAGTTTAAAAATAACAGTGTAGTAACAGCGATTGCTGGCAAGAATTCTACCAATCTGGTGACAAAAATATCAGTCAATATATGTCCAAAAAATAACAATGTGCTGATATAGAAATTGTATCAAGTTTGCAACAGCGGTTACTTTAAAAAAATAACAGGTATATAAATACCAGTGTGCTCTGTTCGTTGATGTGTCGAGATCGATTTGCAACGGAATTGTACAGGGTGGGTCAAATTCGACGCTTTTAAATGGAAACACCCTTTTCTATAGCAGATAGACGAAAACTAATATTGGTGTCTGGAGCTCAATTTTCATCAAAAACATGATGTTGAAAACCGCACATCAGTATCTGTTACCGTTTCGGAGTTACGGGGTGTTTTTCAAAAATGTGAATTTTTAACAAATCGCTGTAACTTTTTTGCTATGGAAAATTTTGTATTTCTATGAAAACATTTCCAAAGCACCTTTTTACGTGGAATTTAATGGTTTAAGTATATTTTTTTTTAAATTAATAATTTAAGAGTAATCAACAGAAAAACTGATTTTTTATTTGGGACACCCTCTATATTTTTAATTAACCGAAAAGAATTTAAAATTACCTTTCCAAAAATATAGCACACTTGATATTTTGTTATATTCCCCTTGGAAATACAGAATTTTTAAAAGTTCGCCACTTTTAACTAGTAGGCTTTGGACCCCTTATTGATGATATGCCCTTAATGGAACTCGAACACATATTTTTCCATCAAGACGAGGCACCGCCTCAGAACGCTGAAGTTATGAGCAAGTTATGATCCCAGCCGTTGGCCGTCGAGGCCGCCTGACTTAGTGCCCATGGATCTAATCCTATGGATACATTTGCGGAAGAATAAAGGTTCCTTATTCTTCCGTATAATCTAGACAAGAATTAGAAATACTTAGCAGTTATGAGAGGGTATCTTTCACCCCCACAGAGTTAATGAATTCCGCGAGAAATGTTCAGAATACGTGATAATATGTACTTGTCGAAATCTTTAAAAACCGGTTTCAGCAAAATCCTTCTGATTAATGATCTTCTGTTTCACTTTGTACACGGCATCCTCGCAAAGATTCCTGTGTTCTGTGTTCACCAATTGCCAATTTTTTCCGCCCAATTTTGGCAGATCTCGAACTTCTTTTGGTGGGGGATCAACTTTTAGAGTTGGCGTTTTCTCGAGTTCCTAGAAAGACCAATTTAATATATGTATCTGTCATCAATTAGAAGTACACAAGAGTTTTGTTCGATGAGAAGACTTCTAAGAGATGAGACGATTTCGACAGACGACATTGAGAAAAATTGATAGAAAGAACAGTTTACCATTGAACTAAAATGATCTATGACAACTGTCACTGTTACAATTCTATTGTTGAACAGACTATATTTTGATTTTTTTGAGGGCGTTTAAAGTACCCAGTAAAGTACCGTATGATCGAAAAAAAACGGCGTCCAGTTGGCTGGGAAATGAACATCGATGACATAAATTTACATATAAAATGACAGCGATCTTCATTCCATAGCCATCGCTGACGCCGTTTTTTCTCGATTATACGGTACTTCAAATACCTACTGTGTATTTTATGGATGGAAGTATTTCAATCATCTAAAAGTATTTAAAAATTCTAACAAAGTATGTTGTTTGCCTAATAAAAATATATTATACTTCAAGACTTGAATTTTAGACTAAGTTTTCTCAAAGATTGTTATATTTTATTATTTTTTATACATACTTTAACTGTGAATACGTGGTCGATATCATCCTCAAAAGTCCTCCAGCACACTCTGGTAGGATCACAGGGGTCCCTGTATTGATTGATCACCGCCTCTACATCAGGCAGTGACAGGAAAAACCTTTGCTTTCCACTTAGAGCCAGAGCATCTAATCCTCTGTGAAACTGGTCCACAGTTATTCGTCCGGAATTCAACAAATCGAAGTGCTAGAAATAAAAAGAAGAGAAATACTATTTTTAAGGTCAAATTTGATAGATATACTAAAATATACAGCACGCCACTGCAATAATATTTGATTTTTTGTCTATTTAATAAACATTCATATTAAATTTTATTATACCGGGCGCGTCTCAAAAGTGGCTCATCTCCATAACTTTTTATTTTTTCTGATAAAAAAACGAGATTTGGTATGTTAGTAGGTATATGGCATAAATTATGATTGACTGACGTATTCAATTGTTTTCGATCACAGCCGATTTGATCGGAAATGATTATAACTTTTGATTTTGAAATGACACCCTGGGTATTTTTTTATTTTGTTCGATAGAAAATGACACTCTGAATAGAATGGCATATCATATGTCAACTTTTGACATTTTCGCGTAAAAAATCGATTAAATTTCAATCTAGAGTGCCATGGCTGTGTTAAAAACACTAATTTTTAATCAAGGAACCTTGGAAAAATAGATTTTATCGTCTCATGTTTTTAGTGTTTTATCCTGACCGGTTAAAAGATGTCCATATCGTATTTTTAATCATATCTCAATTTTTTCAAATGGGATGAGGGTGGCTCAATAGCATATTTGGAAAAATATTTTTTTTACGAATAATTGGTACCACACACTTGGTATTTTGTGCCAAATTGTCGTTATGAACCACATGTTACAATTTCAAATAAACCATATGCTAAAATGTCAAAGTTGACAAATGTTACGTCATTCAATTGAAAATGTTATTTTCCATCCAATAAAAAAAAATAGCGAGGGTGCCATTTAAAAATCAAAAGTTGTAGTCATTTCCGGTGAAGCAGGAAGTGGCCGAAAACAATTGAATACGTCAATCAATTCTAATTTCTGTCATGTATTAACATATCAAATCTCGATTTTTTATCTGAAAAAATAAAAAAGTTATAGGTTTGAGCCACTTTTGAGACGCACCCGGTACACGAGACAAAATTAGTAATGAAAATATCAGGAGACAAATAAGAGGCAATGGGCTAGACATGTTTCCAGACTGGATAAAGACAGACGAGCGCATAGAATAACAGTGTGAAGACCAAGACAAACTAAAAGAAGGACGTCCAGAAAAACGTTGCATAGACGACATTAGGGAAGTGGCAGATAAACGGTGGTTAAATACAGCACGAAATGAAGAAGAATGGAATGGAAGAGAAGATGAGAACAGAAGACGAAATGGATGGTTGTGGGTAAAATACAAATTAATTCAATCCCGATAAAAATCAGCGGACACAATATTAAACAAGTACCACATTTTAGATATTTAGGAAGCTGGCTAAATAGTAAAAATACATGTGACGAAGACGTAAAAGCAAGAATTGAAATGGCACGTAGGACATTCAAAAAATGGAATACCACGCTCACTAATAGAAACCTGTCACTGCAAACCCGATTGCGAACACTACGTTGTTACATATGGTCCACTCTTCTTTACGGATGCGAGATATGGACGCTAAAAGTCGAGAATATAAATAGAATAGAAGCCTTTGAAATGTGGTGCTACCGGAGAATCCTTAAGATTTCTTGGACCGAACATACAAGCAACGATAGGAAGTTCTTGGACAGCTGAACAAAGACCGGGGAACTGTTAACCACCATTAAGGCCAGAAAAGTTAGCTACTTCGGACACATAATGCGTGGCACCAAATATTATATTCCTCCTTTGATTATTCAAGGAAAAGTCGAAGGTAGAAGATGGGTAGGTCGAAAGAAACTGTCATGGCTCAGAAATATACTAGGCCAGTGCAAATAATTTTGAATTTGCAAAAATTTTTAGAAAGCTGCGACCATTGAAAATAGTTAGCCTTAGTAACCCTTATTAACATACTAAAAGTCCCCATTTGTCCGATGTGTGCGTCATCAAAAAAAAATCGGCCGCCATCTTGAATTTTGGTACTTTTTGGGAAAAAATGTAAATAACTCGAAAACAGTGCGTTATAGCGAAAAACTTCAAGAGGTAAAAATTAAAGAGAATAAAAAACTCTATCAGAATCAATAATCCTAACGCAGTGACGTACAATTTTTTTTTGAAAATCGAGCAATTTTTAAAAGGAATCACCGAAATGCAAATTACTATTTTTTTAAGCTTATTAACAAATAACATGGATATTTAGCATCAATTGAACTAAAATACAGTCCTTGTGACATTTTCAAGAAATATTTATTGGTGGTTTAATAATATTTCAAAATTAACAAAAATTGTCAAAGCTATCCTTTACTAAATACATGTGTACTAATAATATGCGACAGCAGCCTCCACCTTGTTCCGGTCGGGGCTATTTGCACTTAAACCAAGGTCTTTTTGTTACCATTTTGTAAACAACTTGTTTTTAAAAATACAGTGACAGTTTGAAAACTTAGGCTACAGGTTGGAAGAAAAAAATAAAATGTAATAAACTACTTGCGAATGTCTTTTTGGCATAAATATCATCTACGATCTTAACCTAAGATCTTAACACTTTTTCATTATGATAAATACATTATAAACATACCCCTACAAATCGAATAACAATAATTCAAATTATGACCATTTTAATAAAAATGTGTTACCAACTTGTAATCTAACTTTTCAAACTGTCATCTCTAGAAAAAAAAATGAAATTTACAATTTTATTCGATTTGTTCTTCATCGACCGATATTTGTTTGTTCTCGCAAGAAATACCATTACAGTTACCACACAAGCATGAACATGGCATATTGGATTTTAAACATGTACCATTGCGATTAAAAAAATAGTACAACAAAATATGATTTAATCTGCTGGTCTATATTCTTGTGTCAGTGTCACGTAATTTTTAAAAAATGCCTTTAACTTCAGAGCAAAAATCGATTATATTTACGTGATTAAGGGATGGGGTTCCCATAAGGGACATTGCAGATGATTAGGGATAAACAAAAAAACAGTGTTGTTGGCTAAATCCAAAAAAAAATCAATATAATTCAAATATCCTTTTAGACCAGGAGTTCCATCTGGGACTACTAATTCTTGTACTACTTTTTTTATCGCAATGGTACATAGTTTATTACATCCAGATTTGCAATTACAGTAAATCATTTTCAGTACAAATTCTGGTGCCACTGCGTTTGACATTGTTTTTGGAACTAAGGTATCCGTTTTTTTTACTCCATCCACATTCTGTTGCCTCTTCTCCGTTATTTAGCCAATACTGCATTTATAAATAGGTCTTATAATAATGATTTTCAGCTGCGTTAGTTGTTGGAGGTAAAGTAGCTAAATCAAATTTTTTACTATAAGTACCTGACCTTATATTTAAAATACCTCAACTGATCTAAATCTTTTGCTAGCCTATGTCGACTATATAATGAAAATAAGAATGTATTTCCAGCTTCGACTAGATTGTATTTCAGTTGAATTGATGCTAAATATCCATGTTATTTGTTAATAAGCTTAAAAAATGAGTAATTTGCATTTCGGTGATTCCTTTTAAAAATTGCTCGATTTTCAAATTTTTTTTCAATTTTTTGTACGTCATTGCGTTAGGATAATAAACTATGTTTTATTGATTCTAATAGAGTTTTTTATTCTTTTTAATTTTTACCTCTTGAAGTTTAATAAGTTATTAAGGCTAACTATTTTCAATGGTCGGAGCTTTCTAAAAATTTTTGCAATTTCAACATGGTGATTGTCATAACTGCACTGGGGTATACGGAACTGGACCGGTCTGGGGGTGGAGAGGCTGTTTCATGCAGTAGAAGATAGGGAACTCTTCCACGAAATAGTCATGGAGATCGCCAACGCCTGAAGACAGGCACGGCACCGCAAGAAGACAAGAGGAAGAAATGGAAGAACAGCACAAAACATGAAGACATGGAAAGGAAAAGGAAAAACCTATAAACAGGAGTGGATGAATGCGAGTTGAAGAAGAAGAAGAAGCTATATTTTGTGATATAATTAAATAATCTCTCCAAAAAATCATATATGGGTTTTTCGCCACTGCAAGAAAATCTACAAAATAAAATAGTTATTTTATGTAAACACTTCTGCGTTAATCCCAAACGGAAACTGCTTGTCAGAAGGTTTAAAAATATACAAATTTGCCTAACGAACAAAAAAAATGCTTAACGTTTCGGAAAGTTTATCTCTTTCCGTCGTCGGAAGCAAAAAAATATACAAAGAATAAAGAAAAAAAACTATTTAAAATATTTAAATTCAACTATTCGAGAACACTTAAGTTTTTTAAAACAGATACGTCTACAAAAAACCGTTGACGTTCTGTTAAAATGACATTATATCAAGTTAAACTTCAAAATTAACAATTACCACAGTACGTCTGCTGGATCTGTGTCTATGAAAGGAATGCGGACAAAAAACATTTAAATAAACAGTAATATATTTTATACGTCGACTTGACGAGTACGTCACCGCAAATCGCTCCGCCCACTAATTTTATTGGCTACTTGCAAATTTGTCGAATTTTTATTGATGGGACGCGTCGTTTCATTTTTTACGAGAAACATCGAGAGAATATCGTTTCCCCTCTCACGGATACCCCGTAGCTACAGAACGGACAGACGTACTGTACCTGATATCAATTAATTACTTAATAAGGTAAAACCAAAAAGCCCAAACTTTCTGTATGATTATTTTTAATTTTTACGGATGTAATGTTTATTTATGTTATGTTCTTTAAAATCAAAAAAGCGATTGCCATACATTACCAACATTTACAGATGCATGAGCAATACATTTATTTTTATTAGATTGTATTAAAAAAGCCTCTTTTATTTTTCTTTTAGAGGCTATCGCTTCTTTCATTATAATTTTGGCGTTATTAAAATTTATTCTCTGCCCTGTGTCCCATTAATGCTAACAAATCTTAGATTTGTGAAAATCTCCCTTTCTTAAATAATCTTTATGTTCTTTAATTCGAACATTTAAAGGTCTAGATGTTTCACCAATGTAAAATTTATCGCATTCACGTGGTATTTGGTATATTACATTTTTTGTTTGTTGTTCTGTATTCATTGGTTTAGTAAGTGATAAAATGGATCTAAGTGTATTTTGTGTTTTGAAAGATGTTCGAATGTATATTGTTTTCCTATCCTTGAATTGTAAGTTGAATATATTGTGTATTGTTATCATTGTGTCTGTGATTTGGGGTTTGTATTTCCTTTAATGTTTTGTCAATAAAATATGGTGGATAGTCGTTTTTTATTAATGTATTAAAAATAACTATTTTATTTTGTAGATTTTCTTGCAGTGCAGTGGCGAAATACCCATAAAGGATTTTTTTAGAGAGATGAATCCGCCACATAGGTATAGACATTTTTTATAATTAAATGGTATTGCTTTAAATTAAATGGTTTGATTATATTGTTATCTCTCTGACGAGTGATTTTCCTACCCTAAAGAAAACGTGGACTCTCAGTCTGTTCCTTAGAACGTGCTCCTGAATCATGGACAGCGTGGTCAAAATGTGTTCCATTTTTTTCGGATCTTCCAGGGCCGGGTGAAAAATGTTCTGTTTGCCGAACAATCGTGCCGCGCTTATCTTCCCTATTTCCGGCCTGGGCAGTTTGGGCAGTTCGGCGTTTATGATTCTTCCGGGAAACACAGCCATGAAATCCTAGAATAAGTAAGTTTATAGTAAATATAGTAATAGCAAATATTAGAGCAGTGTTTACAAGATCAAATTCGATTATCAAAATATAAGTCATTTATCATTTACGGCATAGAAAGCCTTGTCTAGTAAATAAGATTTCAATGCTTTGCAAAATGAAGAAAATGATGTTATGGATTTGATTTCAAATGGCAGGTGATTGTGCATTTTTTTCGAGTTGTATAATATTGAACTTTTAACTAACTCTGAGCGTGGGGTAAGTAGATAAAGATCTTGCTCCGCGTTCCTGAGTGGATAAGTGTGAGATGGCCTTTCTTGAGAAGCTGATAGCATGCTTACGTATTAGGCAAACGGATTCAAATATAAATAAGGAAGGAAGAGTTAATATTTTTAATTTTTTAAAAAAGTCCTGGCAATGAGTTCTGCTGTTTAGTCCCAGTGAATATCGAACAGCTCTCTTCTGGAGCTTGAAAATGCGGTCAAATTGAGGTGCGGTCAATTTGAGGTGCGACTCAAAAAGTGCATAATAAACTGTTCTAGCCACTGACAAGTTAAGCTCCTTAGAAACAGATCTTAATGCAAAACAGGCAGAGCTTAATTTTTCCGACAAAGCGTGAATATGCATGTCCCATTTTTGGAGAATTATTGTCTTTTGATAAAATAAATCGATATAATGTAATTTAAGTAATTTTTGATGACTTAAGTCTATATTTTATTATTTAAATCATGATGATCTGCGAGTTAAGTCAGCAAAATGACTTAAATTAAAATAATTACCGTCAAGTCAAGACAGTCAAAATTCAGTACCTATTTTTTAATGTTAATATAATTTGTCTTGTATAGTATTACCGATTGCCGATTTTTTTATTAACTACAGGGTGGTCTGAACTGTATTCCGGAAACTTCCGCAGCATATTCTGCAGATAAAAATAAAAGTAAAAAAGTTCCTATAAATGTATGTCCTAAAATGCTAAGTTTCGGAGATACAGGGTGTAGAAATTTAATTTTTATTTCCATTTTTCCAAATAATTTCTGAAGTATCGTCAATATCTGAATGAAAATTGATGTCTGGAAGTTTTTTGATATGAGAAATTTAATTTTGCTGCCAATATGACTGCTATTTGTAGAGGGCCCCACCTACATGCGTTTTAACTGCTTTGAAGAGTAATAACTTTTCGTCCGTACCTGTATAAAACTACTGATGTCTCTTGGTAAAAATCGCTACGAACAACCGTTCTCAAGATATTTAGAATGGACATTATTGACAAAAAATAATCACGTTGAGTAGATAGTTATTTGACTGAAATAATAAATTTGGGAAATTTTTTATTTTTTTAAATTGATCATACATTTTTCTGCGAAAAAATGATGATAAAACATTTTTTGTTGAAGTTGTGGCACAAAAACATTTCAAATTTATGATTTCAGTCTTATAATTATTTAGTCAGCATGTTTAATTTATGTCATTGATGACAGGTATTGATAATTTCGATTCCAAATATCTCGAAAACCATTACTCGTAGCGATTTTTACCAAGAGACATTTTTTACGTGAAAAACGTCGTAAATGTATATTTTTTTACTCGGTAGTTTTATACAGGTACGGACAAAAAGTTATTACTCTTCAAACCAGTTAAAAAATATGTAGATGGCACCCTCTATCAAAATCAAATTTCTCATGTCAAAAAAATCCCAGACACCAATTTTCATCGAAATATTGACGTTACTTCATAAATTATTCGGAAAAAATCGAAATAAAAGTGAAACTTCTACACCCTGTATCTCCGAAACTAAGCATTTTAGGACATTTATAGAAACTTATTTTTATATCTGCAGAATATGCTGCCGAAGTTTCCGGAATACAGTTCGGACCACCCTATATATTAACTACTATGTTTCAAAGACAACAGACTGACTACGCAAGCGTAACACGCAGTGGCAGATACAGAGGGGGGCCCGTGGGGTCCGGCCCCCCCCCCTAAAATCTGTAAATTGTGTTAAATATTAGGCTTTTGGATTAAAAATGGCGCCCTAAAAGGCATATTTTGCATTATCTTTTATTTGTCCCCCCCCCCTAAAATAAATGTCTGTATCCGCCCCTGGTAACATGACAAATGATCAAAACCAGTTCCTAAAACGAACTTCTTACTAGTGATTTTGAGTGTATTTTTTTATCGGCTGCCTTGTGTTGCCGCCTAACAATTTAAAAAGAAATGCTGCTATTAAAAATTTATCATAAAAACCTGACTTTAAGTCTTTTCTAAAAAGACTTAAATCATTCAGACTTAATTCTTTTTCTTTTTCGGAATAAAGATTTAAACCACAAATCATTTTGAAAATTACTGAAAATTTAAGTCTTATAGAAAAATGACTTTTTTAATTACTTAAGACTTAAGTTTTCTCCGAGCTTAACAGCTCTGGAAGGTATTAATCGATTTTAAAACCATAATTAATGTTTTTATACCCCACTTAAGTCCATAATGCCGTGTTTATCCAGATATTCGATGACCTGATCTATGGCATGGATGAAGGCTACATAGTTTAATGTGTAGCTGTCCTTCAAGTATTTCTTCACCAAAATGTTGAAGTCGTCAGGTGATATCAGTATGTTCAGATAAGCTAGAATTCTGGCGAAATGCGCTATCGTTATCGTACCGTTATTTTTGGATACCTAAAAAAATAAATATTAATCAATGCTCTGCTCTGTATCTTTTTAGTAAAGTCAGTTAGCTTTTTCGTTTTCCTGTTATTACCGATTCTGAACCGTCCTAGAACTCTGCAGCGCATGCGCAAATTAAATAATGTCTTCATATTTCCTTCTGCGCATACGCATCACAGTTCTAGGACGGTTCAGAATCGGTAATAACAGGAAAATGAAAAAAGCTAATGGCGCATAGTTTTTTTTTAGAAAAATATTCTAGTGTTGACCCATATGCACGTCCCTAGTGAATCTGTCGACACTTTTTTAGCTTTAAAATACAGGGTGGCCCATCGAAAACGTTCCGCAAGGCATAACGGTCAGGGTAATTTTTTTTCAGAAAATTCAAAAAACGTCAATTTTCTTTGTGAGGGGGACAACTTTTGACAACCCAAAACGTCAATTTTCTTTGTGAGGGGGACAACCCAAAAATGATTGCAAAATCTTCAACCCTTTAAGCGGGGGTGTCATCCCCCAACTTTTTTCAAATGGGAAGGGGGGTCAAGTGGTACCGCAATGAAAAGGGCTTTTTATTCTCTATACTTTCCCGCTTCGTTTTTGAAAATCGGTCGAGTCATTGAGAAAATATGAAGGATTGAAATTTGAAAAGTTTATTATCATTTATCAGAGTAAATGATAAGGATAAATTCCTTCGACCAATTTTCTGTTTTTTCTTATTATTTCTAGATGTTTACGCATTTTTTCACTTGTCACAAGGTTGAACGATCAGGTGCGGCAGTTGCTAGATAGCTGTTCTGTGACTGCGGTACCACTTGACCCCCCTTCCCATTTGAAAAAAGTTGGGGGATGACACCCCCGCTTAGAGGGTTGAAGATTTTGCAATCATTTTTGGGGCAAAAGTTGTCCCCCTCACAAACAAAATTGACGTGTTTATGGATTTTTTGAAAAAAAAATATCCTGGCCGTTATGCCTTGCGGAACGTTTTCGATGGGCCACCCTGTATATCGCTCTTATTAGTAACTTTTACCCTCAAAATTTCATTCGAATCGCTAAAAGCATTTAAAAGAAAATCATAATAAATAAAAAATACCAGGACTTTAACCCACTTTAGCTGGGACACAAAGCAGAATCGGACCTATCCCCTATTTTGAAATAAAAAATAAATCTACTTTTTACGAGAGAAATCTCCCCACGAGAGATGGCACAAATTTTTTTGAAACACCCTGTATAGTTGCCTTCTATTCAGGGTGTCCAAAAATGTACGGTGAAATTTCAGTAGGTGATTCCTTATTAAAAAATATGAAAAAAAGTATCTATAAACATGGGTCCTGAAATGCAGAATTTTAAAAATACGCAGGAAGTTAAAACTTAAAAAAAAGGTTTTTTTAAAATACCTACTGTTATATTTTACTCTATATGACATTATATATTTCATGTAGAATTGAAACATCTATGAATATAGAGGGTGTTTACTATTTAAAGTAAGCTAATTGACAGTCATTTCTGGATAAAGCGGAAACAGGAAGTGTCAGAATGTGGAAAATATTTAAAAAATAAACTACAGTTGGTAGTGGAGTGCCCAGAGACTTTTACCTCGGAATTTAATTACTGTGAATGTAGTAAGGTGAAACCTTCTGTATTGTGTTTTATAGATAAAATACTAAAATGTTTACCCATTTTTTTTCGTTGCTTTTAATTTTTTATTTTAGTAATTTTAGTAAATTTCCTTCTTAATATTTTGATTTTTTTAAATTCTTTTTCTAAGTAAATTTATTGAAATAAATAAATCTAATGCATAAGCTATACCTATTCTGCTTAATTTCTAATCATTGGAATTTTGATTGAAATCGAATTATACAGGGTGGCGCGTCATATACGACGCGATTTTTGCAAGGAGAACAAAAGTTTGTATTGAGGTGAAATTTTGTGAGCTTATGCAACTCAATTTAAAGCATTTTCTAAAATTATGTAGAGTTCTACAGGGTGTCCCGAAAAAAAGTTACACATCAAAGTTATGTTTTGTAATGGAACTCCCTATATATTAATTGATTTTTGGATTCTAGTAAAAAAATAAAGGTTTGTTTCCCTGATACAGAGCTTTTCCGGAATACGGAGCAATCTAGTATGGATGCATTTGTATATGCGTGTTTATTTAAATACTAAAGTGAAAACAACGAATTTAAATGGGTAAACTTTATAATATATCTTATTAACAATACAATGCAAATAGTTTTATAAAAATTCGTTCACAGTAAATGAATTCAGAGATGATTTGTATCCCATAAGGGCTTAAAGCACTCCACTATAGAGTTAATCATAATTTGAAACAATCAAATTTGTATCTAAATTCGATAGGAGTATCTATTTGAGCCGAAAACTAAATACTCCAAACCAGTGAGTACCTAGACCAGCATCTTTAAGGCAGAAATTTGCGCTATCGAAAGATGCGTACAACTTATCTTAAATAGGAACTATCGATAAACGGAGGCATGAAAATGCAATAAATCTAAAAACTGCGTGATTTTCTAACCAATCCAAGTCTTTAAATTCAACCAATAAAATTAATATCGTATAATCGGACATCGGATGCATGAAAATCAAGTTTTAGACACTCGAAAAAGTTTCTCAGAACGAAAAAATCAAAGATTTTCCTTGATTTCAGTAAGGACAATCTTCGGATTGTCACGGAGTTGTCACAAGACACTGATGTCTCCTCAATGGACGCCTCAGAAGATTGAAGCTATTATAAGAAACAACGGCGAATGCAGGTTCTGTGGGGAAAATGGGGAAACACCAGAACACCTCATCACTGTGTGTGTACGAAAAAAATAAGATTACCAATTCGTAGTCCTGAAAGTATGGTCTCAAGATCATTTTTTTCATATTGACCAGGGACGCAATCTTCGTAATAAGTAAGCATAGTCTTCTCTCTTCCGATATGCTCAGCCTGTTTGTGTGTAGTGGGTCATTCCATTCTAAGCCAGTGGTAATATCACTATTTTCAGAAAAATTTGGAACTAAAAATATTTTTAAAATTTAAATGGGTAGTCACCATTAGTAATATATCAAAATTCACATTCGCATAACTTATGCCAATCAACGTTCGAGAAAATATACAGGGTGGCCCATCGAGAACGTTCCGCAAGGCATAACGGCCAGGGTATTCGTTTTTTCAAAAAATCCAAAAACACGTCAATTTTGTTTGTGAGGGGGGCAACTTTTGCCCTAAAAATGATTGCAAAATCTTCAACCCTGTGAGCGGGGGTGTCATCCCCCAACTTTTTTTAAATGGGAAGGGGGGTCAAGTGACGCCGCAATGAAAAGAGATTTCTATTCTCTTTATTTCCCCGCCTCGTTTTTGAAAATCGGTCGAGTTATTGAGAAAATATGAAGGATTGAAATTTGAAAAATTTATTTAAACATTTATCAGAGTAAATAATAAGGATAAATTCCTTCGACCAATTTGAGTTTTTTTCTTATTATTTCTAGATGTTTACGCATTTTTTCACTTTCCACAAGGTTGAACGATTAGGTGCGGTAGTTGCTAGATAGCTGTTCTGTGACTTGTGCGTTGAACTTCTTCTCAATATCGTTAAACTGACCCACAATAGAATTTCTGAAAATACCAGCCCACACGTTCAATTTCTGAGGGTTTTGTGTGTACACCTCGTGAAAAACCCTGGGGTTGTCCTCAGCCCAGTACCGACAGTTGTACCGATTAACTACATCGTTCAAAAAGAAAGTACACTCATCCGAAAAACACACATTAAATAAGAAATTATTATCATTCGCCACTCGCTCACTCATAGTTTCACAAAATTGCAAGCGACGATCAAAATTGTCTTCGTTGAGTTCTTGTACCAACTGAACTTTGTGTGGAACTTGTGTTTTTTTAATATCCTTTGGACAATAGTACGATTCACGCCGGTCTCATTGGCTAATTTTCTTGTACTCAGCGTACTATCCATGGCAACTTGGCCCAATACAAATACCTCCATAGCTTCATTTCCTACAGGATTTTTCCTCTGCCTCTTTTTATTCATAACGGAACCAGTTTCGCGAAATTTTGCTACTAACTCGCAAACAATTTTGCCATAAAAGTGTTTGTCTGGATGGCGTTCATTGAATATCTGCGCAACCCGATTGCCACATCCATATTTTTAAAATAAAGTTCGATTATTTCCACTTCTTCTGCAAGTGAGTACACCATAATAATTGTTAAAAAGTTTAACAATATTGAGAAGAACTTCAACGCATAAGTCACAGAACAGCTATCTAGCAACTACCTACCCCTCACAAACAAAATTGACGTGTTTTTCAATTTTCTGAAAAAAAAAATTACCCTGTCCGTTATGCCTTGCTTAACCTTTTTGGATGGGCCACCCTGTATAGAAGTTAAGTATAATATAATATGATCGAAAAAAAAACTGCGTCAATGATGGCTATGAAATAAAGATCGCTGTCATTTTATATGTAAAACATGTGTAAAACTGTACGGGAAATGTCATCGATCGTCATTTCCAAGCCAACTGGACGCCGTTTTTATTCGATCCTACGGTACTATCATACTACTTGTACTATACTTGTAGTAACGGTACTAACCAACCTAAATATTAAACAAAGAATAAAGAATAATATGAATTTCTTAACAAAGTCTTTAAGCTTGTAACTTAACAACAGTCCTTGATTATTAGACACCCTTGATTGGGGACAAGGGTCTTACTTTGAGACAAGGGTCTTACAAAAAATATCGATTACTGTAATTACATTAATTGTGATCAGTCTTATATTCACTTTAATATTTAGTATTGGTTTGGTTTTATAAATAACTAACTTTTCTTTAAAAATTACCAAACGAAAAGTATGTAATTATGTAATGTTTTACACATAATCAAACAAAAATGTATTCTTCTTGTAATTGTAATTTTTAACAGTCTTTACATAAATTTTCTTTTTTTTTAAATAAATATAATCATCTTTTTAAAAATATTAATAAATAAAACAATGATTAAGATATTCCTCTGTTGAACAACTTTTGACATAAAATATACATACAATCGAAAAAAACGGCGTCAAAGACGGCTGGGGAATGACAATCGATGATAATTTTGGTGAGGTCAAGCCCTAGACGTCATTACTTCGCCCGTACTCTTCTTTTATACTTTAACGGCGTCTACTGCCAGTTGGTCTTAAGAAGGTTCGAATATGTTTTTATACTGAGTAAAACTGATTTTTAAATGGCGTAGTTTAAGTTTAACCTGGTTTAACTTTCGAGAAGAAATAATATTGTATGTCTGGAAACGTTCTATCCTTGTTTAATCCTTCTATAATTAATGTTAATTTTGACAAGATTTATGTCAATCTTTGGTAAATGACGTCTAGACGTTGTACTCGTCAAAATTGTTATCGTTATTCCCTAGCCGTCTTTGACGCCTTTTTTTCGATCACAGGGTATTATTTAACGTATATTATCGTTTATTTTAATCAATCTAACTCATTCTTTTCTTAAATATTATTTAACCATCAAGTGTGCCACATAATATAGATAACATTTTTAAAATTATCGATACTTATTATATCGATATATTTCTACTACCCTACTTCAGGAATTCGTGTATAATAAGTTGCATAAAAATACAAGTAGTGAAAAAGTGCTTTATCCAAGCCGGAGATACAAGCTTTATCGTTCATTCTATTTTAAATTTTAAGTATACTACTTAATTGAAAAAATTATTCTTGAGAATAAATCACTTTTAATACGTACCACTGTCATTTATTACATCACACAATTGTGTGTAGTAAATTCGCCCATCTGGAACTCTGAAATAATCGGCTAACTCTGCGACTTCTTGTTCGGATAATCCGATAGTTCCTCCAAGCTGTCCATGAACCACCGATATAAATTGAGATTCTAAAATGTTTTTAATTATTAAAAATACTTAAGTAAATTCTTTGTCTTCTGATTTTACCAGAAATCAAGCAATTTCCATTGGGATCTAACGGTTTGAAATATTCGGAGAGGTTTATTCCCATACGGAAAATAGCAGCTCGAATCTTGTTGCATGTTCTCCAGACATCGCCCAATTTAATTTGCTTAAAATATGATTTTTAAATCAATACATTTACACTTAAATATGACTCCCACTTACTTTACAATGCATTTTAAATTATTCTGAAAACTATGCTCAAAAAAAATATTAATACCATTAATTTTAGTAGAAAACACATATTATGTGTCAGACTGACATAATGTTCCAATAATGACAATAGTTAATTGCATGAATTAATTTTTAATTAAAACATTTTTAATCGGTTTGAGGTACAAAATAAAAGGTAAATTTTAAGAGCTATGATTAGTTTGCGACGCCCATTTAAATGCGACGCCAAATATAAAGCGGAAATGATAAGATTGTCATTAAATCCAATAATTTGCATGTTGCCAAATCTTACAAAAAAGCACTAAATAGTTCTCTATAAAATTAATTGTATTTTATTTTTGTGCCAAGTTATGATTATGATTAGCTATTTTGTTTGAATCGTCTCTGATATTTTTTTATAATAGCATATAAGAACTAAATGATAAAATACGTACTATTTATCAATACATGCAGTTGAAATAAAGATTATTATTAACACGGATAGATATTTTTTTATGTAATTCGTTTTATACAATTTCTTGTAAAGTTTGTAAGTCTTGTAAGTAAAAAAGCTAAAAAAATGATGATTAGTACTTCATCCTTCCTAATTTTGTTATATATTATCCTTTTTTATATATTCTTATATTATTTTTAATTTTCATTTTCTTTTAACTAAGTTTTATTTTATTTTTACACAAAAATATAAAACTTAAAAAAGACAAAAATCGCGTAAAGGCTTATCCTCATAAAAAAACTCTCTCTAACAACATAATTTTTGAAATTATTAAACTATTTTTTCTTAGAATTTTTTTCTATGCCCATCCCTGTTTTTACACTTCATGAGTAGAAATTCATTTTAAATCCGACAACATTGTACCGTGCTCATGCGTAGAAAAAAGGAAGCGCATCATCGCCATCTACATTTTCGACGCCCCCTTTCCACATCAACCTTTTCTTTCCTGGTGCTCTTGTGAAGTAGACGTGATATATTTTTAAGAGTAATTAGTGATTAGGAAAGTAAATAAACAAATAAAATGGCATCACAAGATAGTGCAATGGAAAACGGTGAAGATTTTTCACAAGATGTATCTACCGAACAAGTTAAACAAGAAAACCAACAGAATGGAGGCGGAGACGCACCGCCGGCGGATAGCGGTAGTGCCGACAGGCCAGGAAAAGATGACGATAAGTAAGTATTTTTACATTTATTCAAAACCTTAAACGATATATTAGGTAATAATTCGTCCTAGTTTTGATATTTGTTTTTAAATACAGAAAATATTTCGAATTATTAACTGATCTGTGTATTTATCGATCGCCTTGAAAATCTAGGATCATCAGCAAATAACTACTTTTTTTTGCTCGATTTATAAGTTTATTTAGTTGCTTAGAATGTATGTTGCAAATTTTGGTGTGTATTTTTAGATATTGTAAAGTAATTACTTGTATTTTTGCTGTAATTAATTTTTCCAAAGGTGACTCGTAATATTCTACAAGAAAATGGCGGCCAATGTTCTCTTTTTGGCGCGATATTTGAACACCCGGAAGATTTTTGCTGTTTTTCCATTTGCTGCCGTCACGTTCGATTAAACTTAACGATAAAACCTTGCATTTCAGCATAGTTTAATCAAATTAATAAAAATTTTGCGTTTAGTAAGTACCTACAGAGTTTATTTCAGTAAAGTTGTTACGTTTGGAGCCAATAATTTTTAAAATATCAATTCAAATCGGGTGCTAGGATGCCAGATAAGGTTTACAAGTTTTCCAATTTAAACCAAGTTCCTTTTCTCCAGGTGGCTTCTCGGCTAGCAGAAGAATGGGCAGTATGTACCTATGGAGGCGAGAGCTGCAGAACCAGGACCCATGGTATTTATCCTTGGGCACTAAATATCTGCCACTCACACTTAGTAATGACGTCAAACTTAAATTGGATAATTTAGAGTTTTTGCATATTTACACTCTTAAATTTGAGCTGTACATAGTATAAAATTTTGGTCAAAACGCTTTTTTTGTTAAATGTTGACATTCACTTAGACTCTTTCTGATGTTTGTTCAAGTCAGAGCATAATGGGAAGCTTTCCAGATCTTTGCATTTGTTGGTTGATTAATAATTGTTTGCAGGTAATTTAGTGTTATAGGTAAATGTAAGTTAAATTCATAACAATTTTATACTTCTTCAAGTTGACCTGAAGTATTTGGGACCAGTACTCGTTCATTTCAACGCCTTGTTTTTTGTTTAGAAGGTATTCATAAAATTTTAATTTTTCAGGGATTTGTTTTTAATGTCAGCATTTTTCAAAAATCAATGTGAGATCAAAATCGTTTATATTTTGTACAGCCTTTTTTTTAATTGTCCAAGTATTGATTAATGTAACTTCAGTACCTATTTGAATTTGCTTTAACTTAACTGTAACTTTCAGATTTGTTTGAGATTGCCGATCCTCTAGTACAGATTATAAATTTTGTTTTGTTGTACATTAAATTTTAATTTTAAAGTTTCATGTTTATTAAGCATTATCAAAATCTAAGATTAATCATAATGCTTAGGAAAGTTCTTTTGGGATTCATTTATTCTAATGCCCGGGTTTTTATTTTTGCAGAAAATTATTTATTGGTGGCCTAAGTTGGGAAACTACAGATAGTAAGTATTACCACAATTTTTTTAATATAATATAATATAGAATGTACTTTAAGATCAGAGTGTTTAATTTAGTTATTTTATTTAAACACTCTACTCTTAGTTTTCAAAAATTTTAATATTAGAAATGTTTTTATCACAATACACAGGGTTCTGCAACAGTGCCTCAGACATCTATAACTTCTATAATAGAATTATGAATTTTATTTAAGTGCAAACATAAAGTATGTACTAGGATGTATTTCACGAAATGATTTTAACTTCTACAGGGTGGATCAAAAATGTCTGAGTGGATTGGGATGATTTTTTTATATGCAGCAGCTTGCATATTATTGCATTTTTGGCTTCCTTTCTGATCACTTTACGTAATCCTAAGATATTAAAATTGTTTTGATAGTCCTAGAGATATTAAATAAACATATTTTTCATCCTTTAAAAAAATACAAGAGATGTCCTGAAATCATATCTAAACTATAGTCTATAAAATGAATAACTTTGAATTTTGACTATTATTTCTTACCAACACGGCAAATATAAAATCCCTCTATCAAAAAAGTTACTGATATTCTTTAAATTGAGTGCCTGAACGAATCAGATAGGTATAACTTTTTTTACTTTCGTGAAATAGAAAGGAAAATAATAAAACAAGTGACAGTTCTTCCTCTTCTTCCAAAAATCAACACGAAATGTCATAATTGTCAAAAGTAAAATGTCATCAGCTTTTGACATTTCTAAATATCAGACCAATGCCGTCTCTAATAGAACAGTCTCGAACACCCTGTATGATACAGGGTGTTCAAAATATTCATATATAAGTTAAAATGTTTTCTTGAAAGAGGTCCAAATGCATACTTTAGATAGCAGTTAAATAAAATTTCTAAGTTCTTTTTTATAGGACCCACAGATGACAGATGCACTGTTGCAGAACCCTGTATTATATAAAAGTGTTTTGGTAGTTACTGACTCGTCACAATATCTCTCAAAAACTATGTTAGATAGTTACTCTAATTAGACAAATAAATATCAATCTTTTACAAGTTTACTACCCCTTTAATACTTTATTTTATTGTGTATTACTGCATGCAATCAAACAAATAAAGTTTATATGATGAGAATTTTTGCCAGTTCTGCTTCTGACGGTTCAGGGAAGAGATTATTTTTTCATTCTGAGGCTTTTTTTACAACATTCGCTTTGTTTGTTTCTGCTCAACGTTTTGCTAACGACCCTTTCTGATATTTCCAGAGGACTTGCGCGAGTATTTCAGTAAATACGGCGAGATCGAGAGCATAAACGTGAAAACAGACTCGTTGACTGGCAGATCCCGAGGATTCGCCTTTATCGTGTTCAAAGACGCAGAATCGATCGAAAAAGTAACGGCTGAACGCGACCACACAATCAACGGCAAAAAATGTGACCCCAAAAAGGCGCTGGCCAGACAGGGCAAGATTTTCGTTGGAGGTTTGGTGCCTGAGCTGACTGACGCTGACATCGAGGAGTACTTCAAACGCTATGGAAAGGTAAGTTGATATAGTCTATCCAACGACGAAATGCTCGGCAGTGATCGATGTCTCATTTTAATTTCAAACTAGTTTATTTTATTTTACAATATGAACTGATCTCAGACATACCCTAAACGCATATTTGACAAATGATAATAACTGAGGGTGCATTTCGTAGCTTACCTTGGTTAGGGTTTTACGTTCCGTTTCTATCGGTTTCCTGAAAGTTTTCTTATTACGGAACACGGTTCCTGAAAAATTCGGTTATAACTGTCACCAAACTAACCAGCGCGGGAAGGCTGGTTTTGTTTGTCAATCAATGTCATTATTTATGTGGCAGAAATCAAGAAAATATTGGAAGTTTGACTGAAATTCTTATTTAATTTCTAAAATTTGTAATAATTGTGTATTTACATCCAAAAGCAATGGAGGTAGGCAGTCAAGGTAAATAAATTTCATTAACTAAATAGAATGATTTTTTAGGACCATTTAAACTTACCATGCAGCCATTGTTTCTTAAAGTCGGGAACATTTAAAGAAAGCATGAAAAACAAGACAAGTAATCGTGAATGTTTTGTAAGCTATAAAAATATAAATATTGATTAGATTTGTTTATTTATTATTGATCTGTTTTAATATTGGACCTGCAAATTTTCACTTGAGCTGTCTAACGAGTTTAACAGTTTATTAATAAAGTACTTTTCAATATTAACTCCATTAAAAAGAAGAAGCAAACCTAAAAGCAGAGAATAGGTACATTAAAAATGCCTAAAAGATAAATTTTATAATAGAGGTATTGAAATTTAGAAAACGTCAACACTTGACGTTTCCAGTATTTTACCAAACCGTTCCGTATCAAACCGATGTTTTTCAGGAACCGGTCTGGTTCGTCTGGTTTTGCAACGGAATACAGCTTTAGATTTTATAAACTTCGTGGATAAGTAAATTCGCATCATTTTTATTGAAGACACATCAGCGACATTCGACTATCTGATTACCTTTGTCTTTGACACTGACTGACCAATCGTCTGTCTTTCTTTTGTGTATATGCCATTTTTGTGTCAAAATAGAAAATATAAATATATAAATCAGACAAAATAATATTGTTATTCAGATATTAATTATTTATTACATAATATTTGCTAGTATATTAATTATTTAAAGAAAAAGATTCAAAGGTAAATTACCTAACAATGTTTAAAGTGATTAAGTTTCCTAACATAAATACATATATATTTCGCTGAATAAAAGTTGGTGTAAAAAACGATTTTAAATAACACTTATCTTGTTTTTTGAAAATATGGAACATAATTCAGAGGTTTTCATACTTTTAGTGTTGTGGAGTTCTTTTAAGGACAAGATTTTCTAGCAACTTATTAATCAACAACACTTATTAGTCATAATATCCACTAACTTTATCACACTACAAAAACAAGCTTTCAAAAAGAACACAAATCTAAAATATCGTCGGAAATCCAAATGAACTCTTTATTATTACAGGCCAAAGAGTATACAAAAAGTGACATTAAGTTTTTTTTATTAAAATATGTTTTGACTTTACAATGTCAAAAAATATTTTAATGTTTCCCTGGTTGCTGATTTCATGTGTTGCCCATTCATCATAGCTATTTTTAAAAATAGTATTTTAAAACATTTTTAAAAAAGAATTTATCATTATGATTTAATTTTTGTTTAAAATTTATATAAAAAATATATTGAAAAAATATGACAAATATTTTCAAAATAATTAATACACATATCAGTTATATCTTGATTAAAAAAAATAATAGTCTATATTTTTAGTAATTGTTGTCAACGCAGCGAAAAAACGTTCAAGTTAGCATTCATGTCTAATATCGTTCTGCGCATGCTCAGTAGCATATTCAGAGAGAAGGATAGGCTTATACAATAATCTTGTTCTAGAAAGAAATAAATAGAATTTTATTTTATTCATAAATTTTTTATTATTAATTCATTTATTTTAAACTACTCCTAACAAACACCAAAAGAATAGTTGTTACATGTAAGGGACTTAAATCTAAATTAATTAACTTAACAAAACTAAAACTACTGTACAATGAATGCAATAAGTAAAAAAAAATTGGTTGAATTGAAACTAAAATATACAAAGTAAAAAAAAACAAAAATGTGCAGATCTCACTTCACTGTGGTGAAGGAGGTACGATTTAGGATGTTATTTATTACTTTTACATTTGTATGGAAAATATCTATTTTAAACTGACTTAACACTGCATTGCATTCGTAAAAAATGCATGTGAAAGTCCCGTAAACAAGTCATGTGTAATATACATATGGCATAGCTTTATCTACGAAGTTTATAAGATCTATGGATAATAATGTAATGTTGGACGATCGCTGAACAGTCTATACATTATTCTCATGCATAATAATGATGAAACAAATTTGCCAGTTCTGCTTCTGATTGAACAGGGAAGATAACCTTTACCACTTCTGATTCTAATGAAAATTCATCAGACAAACTAATTTTCTAAACTAAACTCGATACTATATTTCTTTTGACTTTTCTAGATTGTGGAAATCGAAATGCCGTTCGACAAGACGAAAAACCGAAGGAAAGGATTCTGTTTCATCACGTACGAATCGGAAGATATCGTGAGCGATATCTTGAAAGAACCGAAACAGACCATCAAAGATCAGGTGGTGGACGTGAAGAAGGCCACGCCCAAACCGGACCAGTTTATGATGGGCCGCGGAGGCAGGGGAGGTCGCGGACGAAGTGGTAAGTTTGTTACATCAAATAAAAACATATATTATTAATATTTAAAAAAAGTTACATACACTTACTTTATTTCGATCTGACACAGTATAAAAGAACCATTTCATTCTTAGATTATTTTATTCTAAATTGAGGTTTTACGAATTTTACGATAAGATTTTTTTTTGAAAATAAAACTTACATCTTGATTCAATTTTTTCTTAATTAAAAATAAAATTTGACATTTAAATAAATATTATGTACTTAATACACCATTTAAATCTTTATTTCACGAAATAAATTTTTCTTAGTGGAAAACATGATCAGAGTCAAGTTTGCCTTAACTTTGTACCATATGAAAAAAAAACGGCGTCCAGTTGGTTGGGAAATGATCGACGACATTTCCTATATAAATTTTCATATAAAATGACAGCGATTTTCATTTCATAGCCACCGCTGACGCCGTTTATTATTTATAACTAAAAATATCATTATTTTACTAGTTTAATTTGATTAATTTTCGACTAGTTTAATTTGATTAATAAGACTAGATTAATTTAATGTATAATAAATTAATTATTAAATAAATGTGATCATATTTTTTTCGTATATTCAAATACCAGAAAACCAAAATTATATGATAACGCACTTTTAAACGAAGTTGAAGGAAGATTATAATGTATCTATCACAATACTTAATAGAACTACTACAATTAGAAGAAAAAGAAAAAAATACCCAAATACCTTCACCTACTACTCAACTACAAAATAAATAAATAAATAATAATCTCTTACAAAAACACTACACAACTACTTCTTGTATTCTACACTAAACAAATTATCAAACTTATTAATTAATCAAACAAAGAAAAAATAACCATTACCCCTTCACCTACTACTTAACTTCAAACAGTGAAAAACATCGGTCTCGTCGGCCTTGCGGAATTTGTCAAGTATTTACAACGGTCGAATTGTATAATTACCAGCTTTTATAGCATATCTTATAGACAAAAAGTATCTGGTCGATTAGTAACCAATTGGCACAGTCTGGAAATTATCGATTTTTATTTTCTCTGTTTTTATTGGTCGCTTCAAAATTCAGAGTAACAAAAAATATTTTTCTGTAGTAAAAGACTGTGAAATACGCCCCGCCATCTGGTGCTTTACATCCATAAACGTTTTAGGTTGAGCTACTTTCAAAATTTATATATAAGGTTTTTACTTAGAGCATAGGGCTCAATAAACGCTCTCCAGCGGGTTTGGTTGTTGGCAATTGATTTGACATCTCGCCATGATCGGTTTATGATCTCAATCTCCTTTTTAATTGTCCTTTGCAATGTATGTCTTGGACGACCAGTTCTACTGCCTTGGGGATTAGCTCTGCCAGCTTCTTTTAGCATACAGTGTGTCCCCGGATTGTCCTTACAAGAGGAAAAACTTCTATTATTGACATTTTGAAAAAAATGAATGTTTCAAAACATCCTTCACAAAAATTTTCTTTATTCTAAAATGGTTAAATCCGTCTATACTTTACCGTCTGTAATTTTTTTCATTTTCTGTCTACCGATTGTTATTCATAGAATTTTAATTAACGTAATATTTTTTGCTGTTTTAAAATGTTAATGAATTACAAAATTTATTTAATGCAGTGCTATGGAAAGGGTGATGTTAGTTTACGGAAAATGGTGGTACTTTAGCAAAGAATATAACATTAATCAAAATTCATAATAATCATCTATCAAAGAATGAAATCGAAATGGTATTACCACAGAAACACTATTTACTTTTTAGGACTTAGTTTTTCTTAAATTTCGGGATTAACCATTTTAGAAGAAACAAAATGTTTATGAAAAATACATTTTTCTCAAACTGTCGGGAACCTACTGTGTATATTTGTAAATTTTCTCTGGAAATGACAAAGATAAGGTCAATTAGTAAAGGAATTATTATTGGGATAACTGCTTCAATTTAAGCCACCAGTATTTCTTACTTTTCCGACACCCTGTATGTACAAAAATTCGCAATATCACAATTCCAATAGTACAAGTAGACTCACAGTGTGCTTACTATATGACTTTTATTTGTGTTGCAGGTCCCGGAGGCTACTCGCAGGGCTGGAACCAAGGCGGCTATGGCGGTGGTAACTACGGAGGCTACGGCCAGGGTGGTGGCTACGGATACGACGGCTACGGTGGCGGCTACGATTATTACGGCGGTGGTTACGGTGGATACGGCGGTTACGATTACTCCGGCTATGCAAACTACGGTAAATACAGCAATTCTCGAAGGGGCTTTAAGGGGCAACCCTCGTCACACTCCGACAATCAGCAATAGTACACATTTTTAAAAAAACTTTCACCTTCCCTGTTTTCCACGTGATTGTTATATATATTTTTTTCATTTGCCATAGTTTATATAACTCTACTTTGTAAGGGCACAGTAGTTAAATAAAAACACAAACAATTTATCTTTTGGCATGTACTTGTTCATATTTTCAAGTAACTTTTACGATAGTTTGTATATTTACCGATACATCATACATATTTTTTACATGGCGATGCAAATTTTTAATAAATTGACGATCAGTAAAAACATATTTGAATTTGGCTTTATTTCGAGTGATTTCCTTGTATCGGAGTTCAATTTTTTACCGGTAAAATTGCATTTTATGAGTTTCATTTGCAAACATTTTCTCAGCTCAATATTAATTAATTTTGATTTTCCTATAATAAAAACTATTTTTACTGAATTGATTACTTTGTGAATGATAGGCGTGTCTGTGCCTGAGAAATTTTCATTGATCGTCGTTTGAAAGGTAACCCTGATGCCATTTTTTTATCGTGTGTTTTTTTTAATGTGAAGTGGGGTTTTTAATAAATATTTTTTGTACATTACACAGGGTGCGTCAAAAAGTTAGTTGTGTCAAAAATTCTCTTTATATACCGGGTGCGTCTCAAAAGTGCCTCACCTCTATAACTTTTTTATTTTTTTCAGTTAAAAAAACGAGATTTGGTATGTTTTGGTATGTATATGACATAAATTAGGATTGATTGACGTATTCAATTATTTTCGGTCACTAAAACTTTTGATTTTTAAATGGCACCCTCGGTATTTTTTTAATTTATTCGATAGAAAATAAAACTATGCATAGAATGACATATCATATGTCACTTTTGACATTTTCGCATATGGTTTATTTGAAATTATAACTTGCGGTTCGTAACGAAAATTTGACTCGAAATACCAAGTGTGTGGTATCAAATTATTCGTAAAAAATGTTTTTTCCAAATATGCTAATGAGCCACCCTCGTTCCATTTGAAAAAATTGAGATATGATTAAAAATACGATTTAAGCATTTTCTAACTGACCAGGACAAGACACTAAAAATATTAGACGATCAAATCTATTTTTCCAAAACTCCTTGATTAAGAATTACTGTTTTTAACATAGCCATGGCACTCTAGATTGAATTTTAAAATACAATTTTTTATTAAGCGAGAATGTCAAAAGTTGACACATGAAATGTCATTTTATTCAGAACGTAATTTTCTATCGAATAAAGTAAAAAAAATATTGAGGGTGCCATTTAAAAATCAAAAGTTGTAGTAATTTCCGGTGAAACAGGAAGTGGCCAAAAACAATTGAATATGTCAATTAATCCTAATTTATGTCATACACTAACACACCAAATCTCGTTTTTTTATCTGAAAAAATAAAAAAGTTATAGGGGTAAGCCACTTTTGAGGCGCACCTGGTATACAAAAAGTGAGGTTAGGTGACGAAATATCGAAAAAATCGAAACGAAAATTTGTTCCAAATGTGATTATGTGCCATGTTTCAAAAATATACAGAGACTTTGGAAAAATATCTTTGATTATTTTTTGGAAGAATTTTATTTTTTTCGATAAAATTACGCAATAATTTACATATAGTTCATATCAAATAAACTTTTAGGCGCGTGATTAAGCTTGACCCGCACAGCGTTCCCACTTACATTTTTTTTTAAATCAAAACATTTTAGGAAACAACATATAAACGGTTATTATTTACGTCAACAAAACTCACCTTCTTAACAGCATTTAAGGAGTATAAAGGGACATTACTACCAATTTCCCGTTCAAAATATTCTAATAAGGTTGCGAAAAGTTTTTTGCAACGGCTATTAAGCTATCTTGTATAGTTCGGACTAAAAAAGGTTCTAAAAAGAACAATGTTCGACTGCAAGGAATAGGAATAATTTGTAGCAAAATATTTGTTCTTTACTGTTATGTAAATCAACGTAAAAAAATAAAAATGTCAACTTACAATACCTACCTAATTTGTTGCGGCGATTTTTCGGCACACCCTGTATTTAACAATAAGGTTAACTAATTTTTTTGGTAATTTGTATTCTAAAGTTTATATCAAAAACTTAGTAATAGATATTTTTTTTGCATGTTGCGTTAAAAAAAGTTTGCAAGTGAGATTCCCAAAATGCAATTTTACCAATTTTTGTTGTATTGTGCGTTGAACAGTAAAAAAGTGGTCTGCACGTGTTTGACATTTAATATTTAAATGATTTGATTTCTGGTGTTCCCAGTTTAAATACTTTTATCGAATATTAACACTTGTTTCTCTTGTAATTTTCGAGCAGACCAAGGATACGGTTACGAAGGAGGATATGGTGGTGGACGTGGTAACAATCGCGGAAAAGGTATCAATTCCAAATCTTAATTGTATACTTTTTTGCTTTTTTTTTTCATTCAAGCTTAGAAAATGGCTCAATTATCAAAAAAGTTATTCCAGATTTATTTTCACCTACTTTGCAAATTGTTTTTATATACAGGGTGTAAATAAATAGTATTCATATATTTTATGATTTGGTTTGTTATTACAAAGTTATTTGCTACTCAAAGTCTATTAAACTCTTATTTGTGCCATTTTATCATGTGAATGGTATGTTGCATACTGCATTTTTTGGAACACACATACAACAGGAAACACGTTTTTATTATTAACATTTTGAGAAAATTGCATTCTTTTTAAAAAAATTATTTTAAAATGGTTAATATCGTTTATACATTTTTTGAAATTTCCATACTGTTGAGAGAAGATAAAAAACATTGAAAATTAAAAAAACATAAAATATGTTTGAATTCTATAGTAATATAGTTTCGATTTCGTTCTTTGATAGATGGTTATTATTAATTTTGATTAACGTCATATTTTTTGCTGTTAAATTATCCCAGTTTCTGATAACTATTATCACCCTTTCTGTAGCATTGAACTAAACTGAAAATTTTGTACTTTAACATTTTAAAACAGCAAGTTAATTAAAATTCTATCTATAATATTAATTAAAACCTATCAAAAAAGGAAAAACTTGAACATATTACAATAGAAAGGCTTTTTGATTTTTAAAACTTCATTAGGAAAAAATTCAACTGTATTTTCATGCTTTTTTAATTTTCCCTAAAATGGTATGGAAATTTAGAAAAGTATAAACGAGATTAACCATTTTAGACAAGCAGATTTTTTTATGAAGAATGCATTTTTCTAAAAATGTCAATTTTAAAAAGTTTTTCTGTTTTTCCTCTTGTCGGGCACTCAAGCCGGGCACATACTGTATATGTACTTCTAATGGGATCAGTAATACTGATTTTTTTCTTGTTAAAATATTTAGAATATGTATTACACCAATTCATTAACACCCTGATATTCATTTATAAATACATTTACTTAAAACTTTTTTAATATAGAGGTTAATAGTTATAACTTGGTGAATATAAATTTGATGGTGCAAGAGACTTGTAGTGAAAATAATATGACAATGATTGTTTTAAATTCTTTTATATTTTTTAATTATGGCCTGTCATTAATGTCATATTCATCGCTAGTCTACGCAATATTGTAATATCCTTGGTTTGTTACATAAACTTCCAAAGCTTTAATTCTGAAATATACCCACACTTATTTTTATTTTCACTATTCCGAGTTTTTGCAGCAAACTGACAATATGATTAAATTAATTTTCCGCATAAATATTTTAGAGTATATTTTTATTGCTTTACTATAAAATTGGTTTCGTTATAGTTGAAGACAAATTTCCTATAAAAAATGATTTAATAGGAATTCTATTGATGTTCGAACCAGTATTATTGTTACACCAGAACATTACACCATATTTTACCTCAATACACCAAAATACTTTCTTTATTCGTGAAGCCTGTTTAGCATTAACAGCATCAAAATTAATTTTTATATATAAAAAATTGTTATTTATTTAGGCATTTGGTTGGCGATGTTACTGATAATAAAAAGAAAGAAGCGGGACAAAATAAACCGAATATAACAATAAATTCTATAACGTAGTATAAAAATGTACGGCTTATACAGGGTGTTTCATAACAAATAATGTGAAAAGTTTGAGATGATTATTTGTTCAAAATAAAAGGCAGTTTGGTCAAAAGTCAAAAGACAATCATTATGGAGGTATTAGAAAGATGGCAAAAAATTGTTTTTATTTATCTTATTAAGGCTATAGAATAACTAAATTTATGGGTGTATTACCAAATAAGTAAATGAGGTTGAATCTTTTATTATTCTTAAAAGCGAAATTTACAAGAACAACACTTTGGCAAAAATAAATTTGGATAGTCTTTGGATTAAACTTTTTCGTTTTTTTTTCAAAAAATGTAGATTTGAAATTGAAGCTATTAATGCAAGAAGGGGACAATTTTAATGTTTTGAGGAAACGAAGCCTAAAGTTTTTAATTTGAATTTTTTTCTGAAATAATACTTGTAAATTCTCGTATTGATGTAACTATTGCCACGTCATACATTAGCGTTTTACAAGCATATAGAGCGGGAGTCAACACCTTGGGTAAAATATTTCAATTTTTGCAAAAATGTTAGTTTGTGAACATTTTTTTGCACAAATAGCACAAATTTCACTTAAAAACCCAAATGTGAAACAAAACTCATTACTCATTAGTGGGTTGTTATTCTTTATGGTGTTTCTAATATTGCTCATTCATTTCATTCCACTAACTTTTTACTGCATCATCTCCCTAGGGGTTGACTTTTGACCCAGTGGTTTTGTGGCAAACGAAATTTTTTATGTTGAACCAGGTATCAGTTCCTTACGTTTTTGCATTTGTTTTGAAACGCTCAATATAATCGATTTCAGTTTAATCATCTGCTGATGAAAAGTCGCATTAAAAACAGTGTTGCTTATTTGGTTGATTTGTATTTGAATTAAATAAAAATCGTTTCAATGAATTGAATAAAACTTGAGCGATCCTATAATCGTCGGGCTCTTTTTTATGTCCCACCATGTATATGATAAGGAGTCTAAGGAAGAAAATATATAGAGGGTGAGAGAGTGTGTGTTTGTAAGACGGAGCCTCACGCTCGACTCTGGCGAGGTCACACAAATTTAGTGAGTAGATGGGATTGAATATTAAAATTTTTATACTCGCCCGTTCTTTTCAGGTGGTTCGGGCGGCGGCTTCCAGGGGGGCAAGCAGAGGGGCGGCGGCAGGGCGGGCAACCAGCGGCACCAGCCCTATTGAGAGAATGACATTAGGACAGTTGCAAAGTAGGATTAGGTGAGTGTTTGATTCTTCTTAATTTCTATCTTATTTAGTCTTGATGAAGGGATGAAAGGATGAGATTTTTATTTGCAGTCACATATACAGTGTTAACATAAAAAATTGAGTTTTTTAATGAAAATAACATTAACTTTTATTAAGTATAATCAGTCATGAGAAAATTAACATGAAGACAAACAAACACAATGGAAGAAAAAAACATACGTGACTTAAATTAATATCACACAACATAAACGAACTTAACTAAATTTGGAAAGAAAACTGTATTTTATTAATTAAAAATATAGCATGGAATACCGTATGATCGAAAAAAACGGCGTCAAAGACGGCTGGGAATGACAGTCAATGATAATTTTGGCGAGGTCAATCTCTAGGCGGCATTTACTGAAAATTAACGTAAAACTTGTCAAAATTAACACTAATTATACAAAGATTACAAAGGATAAAACGTTTCCAGACACAAATCTCAAGAAAATATTTTTTTCTCTAATTTTAAACTACACCGTTTAAAAATCGTTTTTACTTAATATAAAAATAAATTACAACCTTCTTCAGGCCAACTGGAAGTCTGGAAGCGCCATTGAGGCTTGACCTCGCCAAAATTATTATCTATTGTCGTTCCCCAGCCGTCTTTGACGCCGTTTTTTTATATACTAAATAAAAAATATGATATATAAGTTTGAATAATTATTAAGAAACTTATTATTAAGAAATAACCTCTACGACCGCTAGAAAGTACCGTATTGTTACGTTTTTCGTCGGTTCCGTGTGGATAGAAAGTCACAATTTATTTAAACACTATTTATTTAACACTAATTAACAAAAACAATAACGATAAAAGACTTACAGAACTATTTACAAAAGATTTATAACTAAGAATTTATTTTGAATTTTAGCGCGTCAACTGTACTCGTCTATTTATATAACTGCCCTCTCTAGGCTACAGCCGCCGGCTTTTATACCGACAGCTAAAGATCTTTAGAATAGTCCATAGATCGTTAGGTGCATAGAGAAGGTTTCGAATGTTCTCGTATGTACTACTCCATTCCAGTGGGACTCGATTCTTCTCGAACGAATGAATCATTACGGTGTCTATTCTTTAGTGCGATGTTAAGGTCATCTGAGGGCGGGACATATAGTTAGGTTAGGTAGAGTCCACACGGGTCCGCAACGGTATGATCGAAAAAAACGGCGTCCAGTTGGCTTGGAAATGACGATCGATGACATTCCCCATATAATTTTACATATAAAATGACAGCGATCTTCATTTCATAGCCATCGCTGAGCCGTTTTTTTTTCGATCATACAGTATCAAATTATGTTATATACCGATCTGGTAATGGAAACTGCATGGTCTGTATTTTAACGTGTAAGACAGTGATGTAGATAGCTTAAATGAAACATCAAATCTATTAAAAAGAGATAAAAGTCAGGTTGATACATTTCTTCTATGCGGTATTGCCGGATTTTGCATCAAAATTTCAAACCGCACAAGTAAAAGTTTCCGAAAATGTTGCGTCTAGGACTGGTACTTTATTTTTCACAATTAGTTACTCATTTTACTACAGCTGGTAATAGATTCTTAAACAAATGTCTAGCAGAAATGAGCATTATAGATATAATCTTATCTTCGTTTATTTTTACATTTCCCATACGAACCAGCAACACTGTATGCCGCTTTCTATTTTGTCTCTGTCTATCAATTGGTCGTATGCATTAAAATACAGACCACGAAGATAAATGACCACGGCTAGTATATTGTTACTGAGTGCCGAAAATACCGGAAAATTTATTGCCAAGTCCCGGTTCTTTGGTGACTCAAAAGAACCGGTAATTTAGTATAGAACTTTATAGATAATTTTTGAGAACTTATCGTATTTAGTGCGCATGAATGTTGCTAAAAGAATTCATTGTATGATAGTATAGAAATAAAATAACCTTTTTTTCTCTTTGTTGCAGGTATTTCTCACACAAATATCACCGATTAAAAATAGTAAAGTATTTTTCTCAGCAGTCATTCCGTTGGTTTTGGAAGAAGATAAACGTTTGTACAAAAACAAAATAATATGTCGGTATTTCGCGCCTAAACTCGGACTTTGTACAAATTAAATTCGAATTTTTCTTTCGTATGGTTTTTGCTTAAACCAACTCCCTTCATTAATATATCATTAATAAATATATCGATTAGTCGTTGTCGAGAAAAAATCATAATTCGTGTGAGCCGTGAGAAATAGATTTCGTTTCTATTACCTTTTTATTTTTGTATTTGGAGAGAGATAAAAAACAATATTAGATATTTTTTTGAACGCGCGGGCGGCTTGGACGTACCGGCGTGTTTTTTTTTATTATAAATAAAAGTATATATATTTGAATTCATTTAAAGTGAGCACGTTGTATGTTTTATGTTGGTGATCTTTTTATAAGTTAATTTAAAATAGCCGTAATGATTAGATTTAAGTTAGATGTTAATTGTAAACGTTGGATCGTCCGTGTACTTCCATATGACAGGAAACTTTATAAATAAAGAGATGAATCTGGAGTCGTTCAATTTATTATTCAACCTTTATCTTTTAATTTACCTTCTTGAAAATGTATTTTTTTAATGTGAATTGTCCTTTTGAATCCTTAAGGCTGAGGACACACGAAGCGGCTTACAAAGTCGCCGCCGTCCGTGTATTTTGTACCATTGAAGTCCCATTATTGTGCGTTGGATGGTCATTCTAGCGGGACAACAGTCTTGTATTTATTTATTTATTAATAAATTAAGTTGTTAAATAAATAAATTTAACTCTATGGTTACTATATATTAGACCGTTTGCTACGTTCTTAGATTTTATTTAAATCTCAAATATCGCTACTGATGTTTTGTCCCGCTAGACTTAGCATCCGCCGCAGTGTTCCGCGCCGCTTCGGCGAAAAGCCGCCTCGTGTGTCCTCAGCCTAAAAATCCCATCCTGAAATAGTTTTAAGGGAGAAAATCAACTGTAAAGAAATCAATAAGTTGCCGAGCACATCATCAAAGATTTTGAAAATATTACTAAGTTAAATTTCTAATGTAGAGAGTTTGAAACTTGAACGCACTTTTTCCTATAATCTTATATCCTGGTTATAAAAAGACTGAGAGCTGGCTGATAAAAAAACTTACCTTGGTAATATTGGCAAAGATTACCGGTTTTCACGAGATTTTTCTTTACAAATCTGACATTTGTCACTGTCGATTTTTTTCCTTAACCTGACATTTGTCATTTTCATGTTCTTAATCTGACATTTGTCATTTTCAATTTTATTCTGGGTATTCTTTGACAATTTTGAAGTTAAATCTGCGTTTTGTTATAGTTTCGGTGAAGTTTAGGGACTTCTAAGCTTTAAGCTTCATTCAGCACTTCGCAGTTAGGGTGGCTGCAACGACGTCCCGTAATCCTGTTGTTAAAACAAAACAATTGGTTTTTATATAGCTGTTATGTCAATGAGACATTCTTTTTGAATGCTTACCTAAAAACTAGTAGTATAAACTAGTCGGCACAACACGACTCCGGTACTGTTTCTCTCGTGGAATAGACTATACAGGATGTTCCCGGATTGTCTTTACAAGAGGAAAAAAACTTTTTTTGACATTTTGAGGATATACTGTAGATGAGCTGGCAATTTTAATATTACTTTATTTACGAATAGTATAGATAAATCTTACGCCATGTGAAAACAGGAAAATGTTGGGTTGTCACTGATTAAAGGATACTGGAACAAAATCTGTGCTGTTAAATTATAGGATGCCATTTTTTGGTATCAAACAAAGCTGATACCAGGGATAATTTTAGCGATTTTTAATGGATTTTTGTGTTTAGTGATCTCTGTTTTAACTTTATTTTTACAATTGTAATTTGTTCAGCTTTCAAATGTAGAAGCCGCAGCGAGTAGAATGATGCAGGAATTAACAACTATATTCGTACACACTCAAGTCTTTTTCTATTGAATTTGATTATTAATTTTCTGATATACCGTAATATGTGGTACTTACTGTATTTTTTTCTTAAAATAATTTGCATAACACCACCTAACAAAGCATCATCCACCACAGACACAGGCGTAGATCAAACTTTTATAAAAATGTAAATGAATAATGGTTATTCATAATTAAATAAGTGCTAAATTAAATGTTGTAAACTATTTTTTAGCACTAAGAAATTGCATAATCGATTTTATTATGAAGGGCAGACATGTAAAAAATTAAATTAAAAACCACTAAGTAGTCGTTAAAAAGGTTATTTGTAAAACAATTAAAATTTCATTTTTTATATTAACCCTTTTGTATGGCACTAGCCAAATAGTTTTGTTGTCAACTAGGAACAATTTGGTTCCATTCATCCATGTATTCTTTAGTCTTTGATTTAGTCATTGGTTGCGCCAGTTTGTTTATCTCGATCCTATAGGGTAATATAATATGATACATTTGATATTTGTTTACATTTTGTTAGTATATTTGTGGTACTAAGACGGAATCCGATGTCAAATGCGAATGATGTTGACATGTCGGGTTCTGTCTTAGTACCACAGATATGTTGAGCAAAGTCAATCAGAACAAGTTAATCTTTTATACATTAAGGCGCATTCTCACGACTTCTGTACAGTTGTACAAATATAGGAAGAGATTTGGGGATAGCACCGGTCGCATTTCATTCATAGCATTCACACCATTTCTCACGTCTAGCTATACTTGTTAAGTTGTACTTGACAATTATTTTTTATTGGTATACAGGGTCTGGCGGAAGTGCGGCGTAAGTCCTATAATAAATAACTTAGAAATTCTGGTATAGACTCCCGACTCACCGTGTATACCCTGTATACCAATTTCAAATGTTTGTCAAGTACACAAGTCGTGAGAATCCGCCTTTATAATTATTGGAGACATCCATATTCACTGTAAGATCGAAAAGAAAAACGGCGATATAGTGGCCTTTGAAATAACAGTCGAGAATAATTTCTGTCGGGCCCACTCCTATGCCAATTTTAAAAAAAATTGTCATAAAAATATCACTGGCAAACTTGACCCGTTGGAAATTTTACTTTGGTTTTACTCTTCATCAAAATAATATTTTTTGACGTAAGTAGCCATTCTCTAAGCAGCATTTTTTTACTCAATCAATTCACCGACTGTAAATTGCGCACATTTTAACGTAAACATATTGATTTTTCTAGCATCTTCCTATCGACAACAAAAGAAAGAATAGCTTCCTACGAGACGAACCTCACTGTACAGGGTAGAACTAAGAAGACTGGACTAAAAACTAGTCCAAACGTGTCTGGAGGCGGAATTCGATCCAGCTTCCATTTTTGTACTGCGCTCCATTTGTTTTATTGGATAAGGACGTTCACACACCGTTTTACAGGGTGTTACAAATAACCCGTACAGCTATCGGCAAAGTAATGCCATTTCTATGTTTATTACCGAATCATCCAATTTACTGAATTCGATGAAAAAATCAGAAATGTTTAGAGTTGATTTTTGGTAGCTTTATTTTCATAGGGTTACGTAATGTTGACTTACTTTTTATGTTATATTATTCCCTTTTTATTTCCGTCGTTTATTTATTCGTTTTCTCTTCTGTCCTTTCTACAGCTCTTTTAATTTCTAGTGGGGTACCAATGTTGAAATTATTATTAGCCTTTGTTTTCATCACTTTCTGGCAAAAATTTGGCTTTCTTTTTACACAAAGAACGAATGAATAGATAAGAAAATCAAAATTGGTAAAAGTTTGTTTCATAGTTTACCACGCCAAAAGAAAAACAGTTTGCCATTTTGGAATTTTTACTTTATTTTTCGTTTGTAAGTCTATGAGGAATGTTTTCATTACTGCCTCTAGATTTTTTAAGCTACGCAAAAAAATCGTAGGTATTTATAAAAAACATCAAAAGTCAGCTTTTGGGATGACACTAAATGTCTTTTAGACCAATCTGAATATAGAATATAGAAAAAAAAATTAAATATGTTGGATATAATAGTCCAAATTTTATTTAAAAGGAACTATTATAAACGAAACTCTATAAATCAGTTTTGACTAACATGAGATTAAGTACTGTAAGTAGTTTTAAAAAATTAATATTTTTAATAACAGTAAAAATACCGCATGATCGAAAAAAAACGACGTCCAGTTGGCTTGGAAATGAACATCGATGACGTTCCCCATATAATTTTACATATAAAATGACAGCGATCTTCATCTCACAGCCATCGCTGACGCCGTTTTTTTTTCGATCGTATGGTACAACTCGTCAGATATAGGATGATATCTAGCGATTTTAACACCGACGCAAACAATAGATTGTGAACGCAGAAGAAAATTAATACTTCTGTATATCTTGCGAGCATTTTAAAGTAATAGTACGAGAGCTAGCAACGTCGGAAAAACAAGTATTTTAAGACGTCTTGTTCTGATATATCTTTTACTATGCTCTCTAGAACAGCATGCGGCCCGGCCCGTCTGGCTACCGGTAAACGTTGCGTTCCCTACTGCGCATTGAAACATCCTATATTTTTATTAGTCCTTTAAATTCTAGTATTGAATATAAATCGAACATGTCTCCAAGGCGCAGTGCGTAGAGTTTCCGACCACGAACCGATGATTCAGAGTTCGAACCCGGGTCAGGACAAAGAATTTTATTTTATTTACGTTTATATTCTGATAGCAAAGTATTAAATATTTGTTTTTTTTTGAATCACCAGATTTATTTAATACTTTACTATCAGAATATAAACGAAAATAAAATAAAAGTCTTTGCCCTGACCCAGATTCGAACTCTGAATCATCGGTTCGTGGTCGGAAACTCTACGCACTGCGCTATGGAGACATGTTCGATTTATATTCAGTACTAGAATTTATAGGACTAAATTAATAAAAAAATATAGGATCTTCTTCCGATGCGCAGTAGTGAACGCAACGAGTATCGGCAGTCAGACGGGCCACATGCTGTTCCAGAGAGCATAGTAAAAGATGTATCAAAGAGCCCGACGTCTTAAAATACTTAGACTATTTTTAATCTAATTTGACCAGCAGATACAAACGATCTAAACCTTTATGGATAACCGACTGTACTGTACATCGAAGGCACTACATCACGATATATAATTTTATATGTGACGAATTGTACTTAGAATTATGAAATTCTGTCTTAAATTCGTTTTGGCGATGCAAAATTGACATTATATGGTGTCGTATCTGTTTTGGTTCTCTGTGATAATCACTTAGCATAGAAAAGGTCACAATGCTTTTTCTATGCTATTTACTTTGTTAAAAGGTGTGTGCGACAGTCATACGGATATGGAAGCGTACATATGTCCAAGTGGAGTGCGGTATCTGATCTTTTACCTCGTTAGCCTGTTAAAAGATTTTTTATATTTTACTGATCTTAGTTTTCTATAATATTATATATAATAGATATAATTTTTTAAAAACTAGTTATAGCTATGTAAGAACACCATAAACTACCCTTAAAAGTATATTTTGTAGTAAAAAATATAATAAAGCACGCAAAGCCTCGAAATTTACTCGCTAATATTGTATTCAAGTAACATAATATTTCGTCTCGTAAACGTACAGTAACAAAAGTAAACTTTTTAAAAACGGTCGACCCGAAAGGTTTTTTATGTAAAGAAGAAAATTTTTCTGGCCATTACCTATGTTTATATTACCATTTATATTATAAATGTGTTATATAAGATCAATGTTGTTCGTTTTATTTCAATTTCCATCAAATTTAGGCTAAGACCTGTTGTCCGCCGTGCGGTTTGTGTAGTACTAGACTGCGTTTATGAAGCGTATTTCAAGCGTATGTTTTCATCTAATTGTGACATACTGTTCAACGAGGAAGACGTTATTTTATGTTACTACTATACCCGACATCGAAGGAGACAGGAGACGACGAATATATTGGACGCATCCATACATAGAAAGAAATATCAAGTGTAGATTAGTTAGGTACTAACTTGTCCATTTTATTTAGTTAGGTACTAACTTGTCCACCTTATTCCACCAATTCTTGCATTAGAGTACCATAGTGCCATGGTTGTTTTAAAATTATTAATTTAAAAAATAATTATAAATTTAAAATTAATTTTGAGGGAGCAAGGTCTTTTTTGCAAGGAACTTGGAAAAAAAATCCTGGTCGGTTAAAAGATGTCTAAATCGTATTTTTAATAATAACTCATTTTTAAAATGGAATGAGGGTGGCCCATTAGCATATTTGGAAAAGCATTTTTTACAAATAATTTGGTACCACACACTTGGTATTTCGAATCAAATTGTCGTTACATTTATGGCCAGGGCACTCTACAGTATGTCCCCGGATTGTCTTTACAAAATGAATTTTTTTATTATTGACATCTTGAGAAAAATGCATTCTTCATAAAAAATTTTGCTTGTTCTAAGATGGTTAATCCCCTTATACTTTTCAAAATTTCCATACCATTCTGGAGAAAATTAAGAAAAACTTGAAAATATATAATAAATAAGAAAAACTTGAAAGCCCTAAAAATCAAAACGCGTTTCTATGGTAATATAACTTTATAACACTAATATAACGTTTTCATCCTTTGATAGATTGTTATTCATAGAATTTTAATCAACGTAATATTTTTTGTTGTTTTAAAATGTTAAAGAAGCACAAGATTTATTTAGTTCAATGCTAGGGAAAGCGTGATGATAGTTATCGGAAAATGTGATACTTCTAAAGAATATGACGTTAATCAAAATTAATAACAATCATCTATCAGAGAATGAAATCGAATTGATATTTCCATAGAAACCCATTTTGATTTTTAGGACTTTCATAGCATATACGGGATTAACCATTTTAGAAGAAGCAAACATTTTTATGAAGAATGCATTTTTCTCAAAAAGTCTACAATAAAAAAGTTTTTCCTCTTGTCTTGTAGAATGTCAAAAGTTGCCATATTGTATGTCATTCTATTCAGAAAGTCTTGTTCTATCAAATAAAGTAAAAAAATACCGAGTGTACCACTTAAAAATCAAAAGTTGTAGTCATTTCCGGTGAAACAGGAAGTGAACGAAATTAATAATTGAATCTGAGTCTTATGTACTCTTTGTCTGAGCGTCAATCACTCCTAATTTATGTCATATACTGGCATACCAAATCTCGTTTTTTTATTTGAAAAAATATAAAAATATTTTCTTTAAAATTAATGTTGGACAAGAATTGATTCTTTGCACTCCGTCCTTATGTATAAATACTAAGGGCTGGCAAAGGTTAGTCTTGGGTCGAAATTTCCGTATGTAAGAAGAGTAGAATGCGTTTATAATGTACTGAACAAAGAGAGAACAGTAAACACGTTGCCAAACGTATGAAATGAATCGAGAAACTGTGCACATTGCTAAGAGGTGTGGAAGGGGATATAGCAGATTTGTCGCAGTTGACCGGTCGACCCAATCAGAAGTGTCTAGCCCTAGCAGCCAACTATTAAGCTTGGCCAATCAGGTTGGTTAGCGTGGTTATTTGGAAGGTGTTAAATCATTTGTGTTTGTCAAAAACTCCAACGTGATTGGTCGGGCTTAGTAGTTGCCTACTATGGCTAGACACAAGTACCCAATCAGTACCTCTGTCTGTACTTAAAGTTCTAGGGAAAGGTGTACATCATGCGTTCAGCTTCACGATTTAATTACGTCTCGTGATACTTTATTTGTTTATTTATTGACGAGTCGTTGTAATTTTTCCTATAGCTTGAAAATGTTTAAGTGCAAGCTAGAAACACTTGCATTTTTGGTAAAAATAAGTGGAATTGAGTTGGTTTTCAACAGTGCTCGGGCTATTAGAACTCTGAATTCAAAAATCGATATCTCGAAATCTATTAGAAATAATTGATTGTAGTTTTTTCAAAAACTTTCTTAATATTTCTGCTGCATGTTCTTTGTAGGCAGTAAGTGAAAATCTTTATCAATAAAAAAATATACGACTGCTGAAAACAGCCTTATCGATTTTTTGTTATGTAAACATATTGTAAAAGATCCTATCTTCAAAATAAAAAAACGCATACCCTGTCGTCAAATACTGCTGTAAGATTCACTAATACTTACTACAGACATGATAAAAAGTGTACTTTGTTTATATCATGACTGCAGATTGCAGTCGGGGCACCAGGAAAAGTACATTCATGCTTTCCGCAACGTGGCGGGAACGGAGCGGATCCGAGAAAAAATGTACGCCGACATTTCTGGGACGGGGCACGGACGATTTCCGGCGAAGCTCGGATCGTGCTCGGCCTGGCATGAATGTATATGTGTAAAGAACACTTGACAATGTTTGGTCGTCTTCACCGACGCACGACTCGGACCCGTTACGGTATAGCGTGAAGCATCCTTTACTTCCACACATGTAAATACCGACCTAAGAGTAACAGTTGCCAGCACAGTATAAAAAATGTATTGACATCTTGCTTAGTCTTGTTATCTATACTAATATATAAAATCCTTAAGTGACTGACACACTGATTAATCACGATCCTGCTCAAATCACTCAACGTAAGAAGCTCAATTTTTGCATACAGGTTGATTCTAGGGTGTAGAGGTTCGATAAGAAGGGATTTTTTGAAATTCCAGTTCCAAGAGGGTGAAACCACCCCTCAAATATTACAATATTTTTTATTTAAAAAACGGTCAAGTTTCCGAAAAAACGCCTAAACACGTACATTTTATTTTCTTTTTTTATATATTTTAAGATTTTTTAAAAACGTATACGTCATACGATTATTATAAAAACGTCAGATTAATCACTATCCTGCTTAAAGCGCTTGACGTAAAAAGCTGATTTTTGGAAAACAGATTGACTTAGTAGAGATTCGATAACAAGGGATTTTTCGAAACTCGAATTCTAAGGGGGTGAAACTATCCCTTAAATATTAAAATATTTTTTATTTAAAAACCGGTGAGTTTTTGGGAAAAACTCTTAAACACGTATATTTTATTTTGTTGTTTTACATATTTTAAGATTTTTTATAAATTTATACAGGGTGTTTCATAAAATATGACCATTGAGTAATCACGATTCTGCTTAAACTGCTTGACGTTTAAAGCTGATTTTTGGCAAACGGATTGACTGTGGGGTGTAGAGGTTCGACAAGGAAGGGTTTCTCGAATCTAAAATTCCAGGAGGGTGAAAACACCCATCAAATATTACAATATTTGTTATTTAAAAAACGGTTAGTCTTTCGGGAAAACGCTTGGACAAGCATAATTTATTTGGTTTTTTTACATATTTTGAAATTTTTTAAAAAATCATACAGGGTGTTCCAAACAGTTGGGTAATTTCTTAATCACGATTCTGCTTAAACTGCTTGACGTAAAAAGCTTATTTTTGGCAAACGGATTTTTCGAAAGTCAAATTCCAACGAGATGAAACTACCCCTCAAATATTATCAAGTTATATAATAATATCGCCATATTGTTTTTTCTCATGCTGACATAAATGTGAGAAAATTTTATCCAGTACAGTAAGTACAGTATCCAGTTTTAACATACAAGTTAATGGAAATTCTTGGTTTGCTTTATCATCACCATTACAAATTATTAATTCGACGCGAACGAAGTCGCTGGTACACGCTAGTTCATTGATAAAAGGATTATAGTTTCTTGGTATAGATGGAAAATATTCTACGCTTTAATTTTAAAATTAAATAAGATTTTATTTTCGATTGGACACATTGTACTTTATCATTTAATATCACATTCCTTGACAATAACATACAATAAATTATTTATTAATTTTGTTAAAGTAATCCGTAATTTTGTTCTTTGCGCCTTTATGACCATGTTCGTAATCATCAATTTCCATTTTTTCCTCCTCTTTTGTGCTTTCAGACTTATTGGCATTTCCATCCAACATATCAAATATAGCCGAAATATCGGTATCTGGTAACATATCGACTATTGTTTCTGAAGATTTTTTCGTTTTTACTTTACTGAGTTTCGTGAATTTCTTCATTACGGGCGTTTCAGGTTGGCTAGAAGGAATAATGTCTTCGGAAAGAGACGATAATAATTCTTCAACTAATTCCTCTTCTAACTTTGTCTTCTTAGGATTTGTGGTTGACGGCTTATGCTCTGGAGATCTATTAACCGTCAATGGCGCAGTCTTTGAGGTAGAAGAAGATGGAACTGGTTCCAAAGGACCACGCTTAGAATTAGGTTCTTTTGTGAAATATTTGCTGATTGTTGGTTGTTTTTTACTATCAAAATAGGCCTGTTTAATAAAGGGGTACAATTTCTCCTCGTTTAGTGATGATCGTGTAAACTGACCCAATATTGACCATAATTGTTCTAAAAAATCAAAAAATAGTTTCGGTATGTTACTGTTAATGTTAGGTCAAAACATTTGAATAAAAATATTAAGGAAGGAACATGTCAAAAAACTTATGTAGAACGCGTTAGGAACTTAACATGGCTAATTTAAATTCCGGTTTATTAGTGCCTAACTAATTTTATTTGAAACGTGAAAAATTATAATGTAGGGTAGACTCAACAATTTGGTGGTTTTGTTTTACATAACCAAGGGTTTTACATTGTCAGAAATTTTATTAGTTATTGAAATTCTTATAAAAATATACAGGGTGGTCCGAACTGTATTCCGGAAACTTCGGCAGCATATTCTGCGGATAAAAATAAGTAAAAAAGTTTGTATAAATGTATGTCCTAAAATGCTTAATTTCGGAGATATAGGGTGTAGAAGTTTCATTTTTATTTCGATTTTTTCCAAATAATTTCTGAAGTAGCGTCAATATTTGGATCTGTCTGGGAGTTTTTTGGTATGATAAATTTGATTTTGATGTCAATATGACTCCTATTTGTAGGGGGCGGCACCTACATGTGTTTAACTGTTTTAAAAAGTAATAACTTTTCGTCCGTACCTATATAAAACTACTGACTGAAAAAATATACATTGCCGTGATTTTTTACGTAAAAAAAGTATCTTGGTAAAAATTGCTACGAGCAACCGTTTTCAAGATATTTAGAATGGAAACAGTCAGTACATGTCATTATTGACAAAAAATAAACATGTTGAGTAGATAGTAATTTGATGAAATCATAAATTTTGAAACTTTTTATTTTTTTAAATTAATTATAAATTTTTCTTCGAAAAAATGATGATAAAACAGTTTCTGTTGAACATTTGGTACAAAAACATTTCAAATTTATGATTTCAGTCTAATAACTATTTAGCCAACATATTTAATTTATGTCAGTGATGACAGGTATTGATAATTTCGATTCCAAATATCTCGAAAACCATTACTCACAGCGATTTTCACTAAGGGATCTTTTTTATGTAAAAAATACGGATATGTATATTTTTTCACTTAGTAGTTTTATACAGGTACGGACGAAAAGTTATTACTCTTCAAAACAGTTCAAACCAGGGTTGGAAAAAATCATCGATCAACACAATCAAAGATTTTTTATTTAAATCAGATTTTTTGATTTAAATCTGATTTTTTTGATTTAAATCTGATTTTTTTGATTTTAATAGAAAACATTATTTAAATCGGATTTCCAAATAATTAGGACTTAATTCCAATTAAATTCCTATCCTAAATGGCTAAATCTTCATAACTCTGCCCGCAATACTGACAACGTATGTCATTTTCCCAGACATCGGTCACCAATATATTCTGCAAAAAAAGTCGCTCGCTTCAGATCAAAAAGATTTTTTTTGAAATGCCACAAGTGTATTTTTTTTGTAATTTCAACGCCTAGACATAAAAATAAAGCACTTTTACGCCTAAGCACAAAAGTACAAAAAATATATTATTAAACTGATATCAAGCGTCAATTTCAACGAGTGTACAAATTGTTACTCGATTACTTACAAGGCATTACTTTTTATATTATTTGCAACGTTTGGAATTGATTAAAAAATTATTTGTAATGTTTAATTTGTAAAAATATAGTATATTCTACTCGGGGTAAAAATGTACTTTTGTGCCTCCCTGTTTACGCTAGTCCGTCAGACGTACAACCTCGTCAAAAAAATATAATTTTTATTCCTTACACAATACGCTATTGTTCGGAAATAGTCTTAAGTCGAGAATGAAATTAGTATTATCTATTGTCAAAGTGTAAAATAAAAAGATATAAAACAGCATATTTTCTGACAACGCTTTGAAGATATAGCATCAAAAGAACCTTTTTCTGCACTAGGGGTTGCGCATGAAATGTATTCGAACAACATTTATTTGTCACTTGTACATAAATTTCAAAATAAATCCCTCCCTTTAGAAGTCTAACGGATTCACACGAAATTCCTTCAAAAATCGGTCCAACATTTTAATTGATGAATAGATATGTAGTAGGTATAATATGTGTTATACAAATCATTTTTTATGTAGTTTTATAACATTTACAATTTTTGTTTCGATTTATTAAACGTATTTAAACGTTACAATAGCAAGTGTAACATTTTATTTAACGAATGGTATATATGCTATAGAAATATTTTTTATAGTTTTCGAGGACACATTTTTATAACTTTTACAGTTATTTTTCGATTTATTGTAAAGTTTTAAAAAAGTTGATTTTTTGATTTAAATCACATGATTAAAATTAAAAAAATCACTTGATTTAAATCACGATTTAAATCATGCCAACCCTGGTTTAAACACATGTAGGTGGCGCCCCCTACAAATAGGAGTCATATGGACATCAAAATCAAATTTATCATGTCAAAAAAACTCACAGACACCAATTTTCGCCAAAATATTGACGTTATTTCAGAAATTATATGAAAAAAAATGGAAATAAAAATGAAACTTCTACACCCTGTATCTTAGAATCTAAGAATTTTAGGACATACATATATACGAACTTTTTTACTTATTTTTATCTGAAGAATATGCTGCCGAAGTTTCCGGAATACACTTCGGACCACCCTGTATATTTCTAATCAAAAGACGTTGAAAACTCGTCTTTTTTCTTTTAAATTTTATCTGCAGTAGGATTCTGTAAGCTCCGTAGCAAGAAATTTCTTGCCTATCCTATGGTATTTATATACGATTGATGAGTCACTAGACAGGAATACAGGATTTTATTTGGAAAGATGAATCCGCCACATAGGTATAGACATTTTTTACAGGAAATATGTTTACAGAATCGCGCTGCTGTATATTTAAGAAAACTTTTTAGAACTATTTGTTCACCGCAAATTTTACCACGGTAGAATTTCTTATATAATATCTGACATTACCATAGTTACGACTTTACTCTATGGTTACGGGACTAAAAGGGATGCAAATACTGAAAAAATACGGTGGTTCTCAAAATTTTTCAAAGATGAACCATTTTTTTTTAATTTTCAAAGTTGAATAACTCGGTTATTTTGGAGATTTATTTAAAAAACGACAAAGAGAGAAAATATGTTTTTATCAAGATCTACCAGCCCATGAAAATATTTGCACTTAGTTAAGATTCTCCCTTTATACCATCCAGTGAAAAGTTATTCCCTTATTCGATTTCTTTCTCCCTCTTTTTTCGGTAAATCGCAATCACTGTAAATTTAAATACTCACAAATTTCCTTCCAGATTTACTACCTCTGAACAAAACCAATTGTAGAATAAATCAGAAATAACATAAAATAAGCTAAGTAAAGAAAAACAAATCCGCAAAATTTTAAATTAAATTTAAATGTGTCTATTGAAACGTCACAAAGAACCGTCAAGGTAACAAGGCAAGAACCGTAAATACACGACTAGCATTATATTCTTTCGTTAATCTTTTTAGTCAGAGGTCAAAACAAATCAATGTATACCGTTAGTCTATCTTTAATACATATTTTGTCGTTATTAAATTTTATAGCGTTTTGAACAGACAAATCTCTAATAGTTTTCAAACTAAACAAATCCACAATCATTAATATAATATTATACTCACTGATGGTAACTTGATTATTGGCAAGAAACAAGTAGATCTCGTAAAAGTCTTTCGTTATATCTTCATCGTCGAAAGAATAATACACTAAATCTCTCTTAGCGGCTGTGCAAGCGATGAGCTGAATCAAAGTTTTTAACTGTTTGGAACCGTTGAAAGCCCCACAACCCCAATTTCCCGTTGCAATAGGGGCTACGTTTTCTTTTTCTCTACAGCTAAACCCAACATAAGCCTATAAAAAGTCAAACATCAATAATTGGAATTTTTTAAAAATATAGAGTTATACAGGGTGTCCCTAAAAAAGTTACATATCAAATTTGTGTCTTTTGTAATGAAACATCCTATATATTAATATAGGTTGTCAAAAACTAGTTTTCGGATTCTGGACAAAAATAAAGGTGAGTTTTATAAGAGAATTATATGATTAAAAAGGTTTCTGACATATTTAACATTTTCTAAAAATAAAGAACAATTTTTAAATTACAATAAAAGCTACCTAAATTGGAATTTACCCGGTATAGCCTAATATGTAGTTAAATTAACTATTGTACTTTAAATCAAATTTAAATTTGATCCAAAAAGTTATACAGGGTGAGACAAAATTAATATTGGACATTGGTCATCTTTAAAAGCTTTCTACTCTTTTACTTGAATTTAACACCCAGTATATTATTCCGATATTCAATGGGGAATTCATGTCCCTTCAAACTACTATTAAGGTTGTACTACCCCTCAAACAAAGATTTTCCAAAATATTCTCATTTATATGAGTTAGTGTCATTAGATCTATATTATTTGACAAAATCTAGGTCGCTGTGATAGGTTGTAGATTGTCTAATTAGTCCAACTTTAACACCTAGTTATCATTTTGTGTCAGTTAAAACAAAAAAAAATCTCAGAAATTTGCCGAAAATGCAAACTTATTCTCTATCAGAGTGATTTGATATGATTCTACCGTATGATCGAATAAAAACGGCGTACAGTTGGCTTGGAAATGACGATCGATGACATTTCCCATATAATTTTACATATAAAATGACAGCGATCTTCATTTCATAGCCATCGCTGACGCCGTTTTTATTCGATCATACGGTATTAGTTGGTGAATGCAGTGTGCATATCATTTTATGGACAGGAAAGGAAGCATTTTGAGCATTTGATTTCATCTAGTTAATTTTTGTCACATAATTGTAGGTTTATATCTAGTTTTAATTCTGTAATAATTAAACTATGTTTTAAACGTGTTTATTTTTATTACCGTTGAGTATTTTACTCTAGATCCTTTAATTTTTTACAAAAAATTGACAAAAGGTATATAACAGCCACCTAGAATTTTTTCAAATGTTTTCAAATTTTTCAAAAAGATCTACTGACGCAAAAAATTAAAACATCCAGGAAAATCTTTGTCTGATGGGTGGGCAACCTTAATAATATTTTGAAGATATATGAATTCCCCATTGAACACTGAAATAATATACTGGGTGTTCTATTTAAAATAAAGGAGTAACTTATTTTTAAAAGTGACTGATGTTCCCTATTAATTTTGTCTCACCCTGGATAACTTTTAGGGTCAAATTTTAATTTGGTTTAACATACAATGGTTACTGTAATTAAATCAGGTTATACAAGGTCAAATAAAATTTAGGTAGCTGTTATTGAAATTTAAAATTTACTTCTCATTTTCACAAAAAGTGAAATATATCAAAATCCTTACATTTTAGGTATATGATTCTTTAATAAACTTACCTTTACTTTTTTCCTAGAATCCGAAAACCAATTAATATATAGGGTGTTCCATTACAAAAAACACAACTTTGATGTGTAACTTTTTTGGGGACACCCTGAATAACTCTATATATTTTTATAAAATGCTTTCAATTAACCTATAAATCTGTGGTTATTTGCCAAAAGCTGATATGTCACTTTTCATCAATATTGAGATTTTGTCACCTTGGTATGTCAAATACACCAAATTTTGTGTTTGGCAAAACATGATATCTCAATATTCAAAAATAAGCATGCATCTAATGTGGTCATTACTTGATATCTGTTTTAACTCTGTTTCAGTTTTGGGCGAAACCTGTTATGTTATACATACATGCAAAATGATGAAAATCGACATATCAGCTTTTGGCAGATAACCACAGAAATATATCCTGCCAAAATTTAATTTCCATATGAACTACCATTATCCTTGGAGCCTCCGCGTCGTATGAGCAGCGCCATCCTGTATAGCGCTAAAAAGAATCTAAGGGATAACAAGTACCTCGACAAGTACCATTTATTGATAGGCGAATTTCACGTAACGTTTCTTTATTTTAAAATTATTTAATAGTATTTTATTTGTCAATGAGTTTTTAGTCCATAGTTTTTAGATGGGAGTAGTTCAAATGAACCGCTTACCTTATTCACTTCCCTGAGTATCATGGCGCCTTGAAACTGGTCTCGCGGCTTGTTGAATTTCGTGGCATCGATAACGCATATCGACGTCCTCCGTCTACCAAAGAGATCGTGGGGAGTACTATCTTCGAAGTTGCCAGAAAACCGAAAAGTATCTCCATAACCAGTGTAACTACTATACCTTTCAACACCTGCAATTAAAGATAGTAGTTTAAAAAAAGGTCGAAATTATCGAGGGTACCTTTTTATAAATTATTTGCGAAAAAGTAGTTCAAATGTAACCCTGACTTGACTTGTTAAAAAAAATCAAAATAAAATATAAAATATACTTAAAAAAAATTGTCACGCAGCTAAAAATAGAAAAAAAATAGATGTGCACTATTCATAACGTTGGTCTTTGATTAATTGTTAAAAAATACTATTATTTTTATCAGGGTTCGGAGGATATACAGGGGGTCTCAATATTACGTGGATATAGAGCTGCTGCATGTTTTTGGAATCAAATAAGTTCATTGGACACAATTTACCTCTATACAAAAGTGCCTTCGTTTATCCGTTAGAGGACATTAAATTTTAAAAAAATAAACACATTTTATTAAATATTTCAAGAACCGACATTCCGATTTGAATGAGATTTGGGGTGCCTATGTACGCTTAATATTTACTACGTACGCTTTAATATTTGAATTTCCCCCAAAAAAAAACAGAAAAAGTACGAGAAGGGTGAAAACTACCCTCACCCCTATATAAATTCTATTAGAAATGTTTGGTAACATCAACGACGTCTGAACTTTTCTCGTAAAAACGTCCTCGTACTATTAGTACTGTAACGTTTTTAGTTCGTTACATGTCTTTTTTATATATGATATATATGATGTCTGGCTTATCGTCATCGGATTCCGTATCGTTCAGGCCTGATAATGTATTTGGCACGCTTCGCGTATTTTTACGTTCCCTAGTCGCCAACCCTGTTATCGTTTGACACAACCCTGTTATCGCTCTGAGGAGGCGTTGTCAACATCGCTTCTGTCAACTCTCTCCGTGCTTAACCTCACTTTGTTTTTGGCCACGGTTGCAAATCCTGCTTTTAGAAATGGCAATTTAAATCTTGCTGCAAAATCTGAACCAGCTGCCATTTCGAAGCTACAGGGTAGAGTTTTGGATTGACCCAACTTAACTCGTATTTGTATTTTGCTGACACGTTGGTGTACTTTTGCTGTTGTCCTCCAGAATGTTAAATGGAAGAAAAGACAGTTCTTTTGTTTATTATTGAGCCCTCGGAAGTGTTTCGAGGGTCTTATGGACGGACTGTGTCCAAGGTGCGGGTAGTGTTCCCCTGTACCGTTATCTTATGGACGGACTGTGTCCAAGGTTATAGTCCTAGGTTATGGTCCAAGGTACGGGTAGTGTCTCCATATTGCCACAATATGGATACAGCGTAGGTCCCATGCTGCTTCGCTCCTATTTCTAAGCCTAGTCAGTAGCTACGGCTGTATTGATTCATGGTGTCCTCATTCTGGCCCCTTTTGTTGTTTTGGCCAACAGGATCGCCGACACACAGTACAGAGATATGAGCCCACCTCACGCTGCTAGTCTTCGAAACAGGATTGCCTCAAGAACAGCTAAGTGTAGATTTAGGTTCAGATTTTCAGTCTTAAACAATAATGTACATCTTAAGTAATATCGTACAGACTATGTTTAGTGGTTCGATTGTTAAGAACATTCATGCCGATTTAATATTTAAAATATGATTTAGATCTTAGGTTTCATTACATTACGTCTTGTAATGGTATTACTTTCATAGATATTTAGTACAACTCTTAACACCATTTTGTTTTACATATAACCACTATATATTTATTAGAACTCTACAATGTCAAGTACCAGCAAAGAACATCATGAATGAATATAGTCATTAGGTTTAAGTAATATACAACTGTGTTTTCTTTCTCTGGAGATGCCTGGCGCCCAATATCTTTTTTTTTTGTTTATTGTTATTAATTAGTTTTCTTTCCAGTGAAATACCTTATCCACGACTGCTCTCCGATGAAAAGCTGCCGTTCGCAGTGGTAATGTTTATAAAAAAACGCTACAGTACATATTTTGTCTTTTGTAAAAACGTTACCTCACATAATTCTTAAAAAAAAATGTTTTTCCGAAGCTGACCCATAAAAAATAGTTGCAAATGATCTTTGACAATAATCTTCATAAATTTTAAATTAATTAACGTTCGGATTTATCTTTGATTGATACCACCCCCTAACGGACAAATGAAGCACTTTTGCAAAGGTAAATTGTGTTCAATTAACTTTTTTTGATTCCAAAAATATGCAATTGTTTATGTCCACGGAATATTAGGACACCTTCTGTAGATTAATCTATAAATCTATACCTATAATTTTCACTGCTTCTACGCCATTTAACTGTTCAATAAATAGCCTGCTGACAATTAGTTCTGGACAAATAATGAATCTGATTTCTTCTTGAACACAGCCATACCTTAGTACACCTCCTCCTATATTCCTAAAAAAGGATTCATAGAAAAATGTCTTCTACGTAATTTATTTGTTATTTATAACAATAAACATTATAAATACAAAAAAATATAAGTTGTCCAACAAGAGAAAGGTATGATTTCGCCAGGCGACATCCAAAAAATAAAAAATACAATATACTTTTCAAATAGAATGACACAAAATATCTGAGAGTCTAAGGGTTAAAAACAACTTTATATGTAACTAGGATATATCAGGTGACATATAAATCTTACTTATTTGCAAAATCGACTTGTAAAAAACCAGAGGCGTCCTCTATGGTACCTGTAGAGCTGATATGCACCCTGGTATCGCCTAATTTATCTTCGAGGGTGTTCCATTTTGGCATATTGCTCCAAGGGATCATTTTTCGTTCGAAAGTAACAACACCAGTAGGTTCTGGAACAAAACAATTTTATACAGGTATAATGATTACAATTCGGACCACCCTGTATAGTATTAAATTAATAAGATTATCTCACCCTATGTGTACAGGGTGGCTCTCATAAGACGCGAATACCCCAAGCAGAACCACAGCTTGTATTGAAATGAAATTTTGTGAGCATATATAAAAATATACAAAATTTTAAAGGGTGTTCCCATAAAAAAGTTACACATCAAAGTTGTAGTTATTGTAATAAAACACACATATATTAATTGATTTTCGGATTCTAGCAGAAAAATAATGGTGAGTTTCATTAGACAAGTATACGATTAAAATGTAAGGTTTTTGACATATTTAACGTTTTCTAAAAATGAAGAACAAATTTTAATTTAGATTTCAATAAAAACTACCTAAATTGGAATTTATCTAGTATAGCCCAATATGTAATTAAAATAACTATTGTTCTGTGAATCAAACTAAAACTTGAGCCAAAAAGATATACAGGGTGAGACAAAGTTAATACTGAACGTTGGTCACCTTTAAAAGCAATTTGCTCTTTTATTTTAAATGTAACGCCCAGTATATTATTCCGATATTTAACGGGGAATTTATGTCTCTTCAAAATACTATAAAGGTTGCCTACCCCTCAAACAAAGATTTTCATAGATATTTTAATTTTTATTAATAATAATTAATTTTTATTTTTTTATTTGATAAAATCTAGGTGACAATTGTTCAATATTAATTTTGTCTCATCTTGTATAACTTTTCGGGTCAAATTTTAATTTGGTTTCACATACAATGGTTATTTTAACTATATATACAGGGTGGCGCACATCATTCGCCTCGGTTGATTATACGAAAACGGAAAGATGTAGAAACAAAATATTTTATGGGTATATGCGGGGAGGGAATGTGCACAATTTAAAATTATTTTGAAATGTACCAGAGTTTATATCGGATATATATCATTGATATATATCATGATATTTATACCTTGATATATATCATGATATTTAAAAAAAAATAAAACTCAACTCTTTTCTTAAATTTCTACTTTAAAAAAGTCAACATGTTTACGGCACAACGTATTTTTATTACTTTATGTAATTCCCCGAATTCGTTTCGGGCTTGGCTTCCGTTAATCGGCGTCAACGTGCCTCAGTTGCACGAAATAATCAATATTGATTGACGATAATTTACCATTAATAAAATTAATAAATCAAATATAAATTTGTTTATTGTTAGTTTTAGAATATCTGTTTATTTTTGAGAATTTCCGTTTATTTCTTAGAATTCCTGATTATTTTTTAGAATTTCCGTTTATTTCTTAGAATTCCTGATTATTTTTTAGAATTTCCGATTATTTTTTAGAATTTCTGTTTATTTTTTAGAATTTCTGTTTATTTTTTAGAAGTTCTGTTTATTTTTTTAGAATTTCTGTATATTTTTAATATATTTTTGTTTTAATGTTGTTCCTATTATGTGCAAAGCACCAATAATTAAGTTGAAATAAAAATATTTGCTTGATCTCATGATTTTACTTGATACTAAACGCAGTTTTACATAAAAAATAAATATCAAAACTTGATATATATCGGATATATATCAGATATACAGGGTTGTTCACCATACACGACACGGAGTATTGTAGCTAAACGATGAGATTTTTACAAATTGTAAGTTTTGGGTTCGATGAAGGACTATTAGAGGTACAATTTAAAAATAATTTTACAAGATACAGAGTGTCCCAAATAAGTAAAAAATATCAAAGTTGTATTTTTTTTAAATGGCACACCCTGTATATTATTACATTTTTAGTTTCTACGATTAAAATAAAGGTAAATTTGGTTTATTATACTTAAACCTTACCGTTTTTGAAATATTTTCAATTTTGTGAAATTGCAGTAAAAATTTTAAGGCTTCATTTCTCCAAGGGTATCAAAGTTTTTAATACTAAATATTTACTGAAGTTTATTTACTGATCAGTTATTGTGTTGCAATAATAAAAATAATACTACCTTATACAGAGGGTCTAAAAATTTATTTTAAATAATTATTAGCTTCAAACGGCAATAACTTGTTTAATTTAAATGGAACACCCTGTATATTTTACGAGGATCAGATGCACAATTTAATTGTCTATCAAATTATATTATACCATTTTTTACCTATCTCTTTCAGTTTCCGTAGAAAATGCATTTTCTTGTAATTTAGAACTTATTTATCAATATACCCATGGACTATTGACATTTTAGATTATTTTTAAAGATGTATCAAATTTTTAAAGAGTACAGATACTAATATTGTCGATATAATTCGTTTATTTCATTAAAAAATAAAAAAAAACTGTTCAAATATTTGTTAAAGAGGACCAATTAATAGGATTCCAGTATTCAAACTACATTAACTGACTGCATTGATTAATAATAATTGTTCCAAATACTAAAAAACTGAATTTTGTATGGGTATTAGACAGTGTGATAAAAAGTAACACCTTAAAAATGATATTTCATTTTTTAATAAATGCTTATTTATAACAACAAAGGCTTTAATTTGATAACTTATTATTATATTGATTTCTGACTCAAAAATCCACATTTATTTATAATAATTTATTAACGAACACAATTAAGTATGTCATTAATTAGTATATGGGCGGAAATAATGGTGTTATATTTAATTAATGGTATACTCTTTTATAAAGATTTAAATAGTTTTCTTTTTGCATACAAATGGGCTAGTAATATTATCGTTTTGCTAAAAACGATAATATTACTAGTCTGTACATTTTGTACATTTGTTGCTTTAAAAACAATCTAAAATGTCAATATTCCATAGATATATTGATAAATGAGGTCTAATTTAGAAGAAAATGCATTTTCTACGAAAACTTGAAGGGATAGGTAAAAAATGGTATAATACAATTTGATAGACAATTTAATTGTGCATCTGATTCTCCTAAAATATATAGGGCATTCCATTTAAATTAAAGAAGTTATTGCCGTTTGAAGCTAATAATTATTTAAAATAAATTTTTAGACACTGTGTATAAGGTACTATTATTTTTATTATTGCAACACAATAACTGATCAATAAATAAACTTCATTAAATATTTAGTATTAAAAACATTGATACCCTTGGAGAAATGAAGCTTTAAAATTTTGACTACAATTTCACAAAATTGAAAATATTTCAAAAACGGTAAAGTTTAAGTATAATAAACCTTAATCAAATTTACCTTTATTTTAATCGTAGAAACTAAAAATGTAATAATATACAGGGTGTTCCATTTAAAAAAATACAACTTTGATATTTTTTATTTATTTGGGACACTCTGTATCTTGTAAAAATATTTTTAAATTGTAGCTCTAATAGTCCTTCAACGAACCCCAAACTTACAATTTGTAAAAATCTCATCGTTTAGCTACAATACTCCGTGTCGTATGTGGTGAACAACCCTGTATATCGGATATATATCCGATATTTGATATTTATATAAATATCATAATATTTGCCAACCCTGAAATGTACAGGGTGTTTCAGAACTAAGATACATACCAAAGTTATATTTTTTCTTATGGAACACCCTGTATTTTCTTTCATTTTTGGATTCTTGGGCCCAAAAAAAGGTATTTGTTATAAAGGTTAAATATGTTTAAAATCTTTGGTTTTTGAGATATTTAAAGATATTTAAAAATGCAGACTACAATAGAATAAATTATTAACACCCTGTACATTGCTTTTCTCAGAGTTAATTCTTGTGCTGACCTTTAAGTGAGAGAAATAAACTTAACTGAAAAATTTGATTGCTTTGTTTAATGTATACAGGGGTATCAAAAATTACTGGTCTATTTTTAATATTTATTTTACATAAAAACTTCCTTATTTCAAATACAACACCCTGTATTTTTTTAAACATATCGAAGCAGGTTTAAATGCTCTCTCAAACTATATTAGGGTTTCCTATATCTATCTAGCTCAGATTTTGAATAAAGAGCAATTTTTCAATAAAATGGCAACCAAGATGGCTGATGTCAAGTTTCTAGTGACAGTTAGTAGCTATTTTGAAAATCAAAATTAGTTTATGGATTTTATTTAAATTTATAGCAGTTTATTTTTGTTTAATTTGTTTACAGTAGTTTTTTAAATAATATTTATTAAATATGTATTTATTATTCTATCAAGAAAAACGAAGAAGTAGTTCTTTCATTTATTTTACGTTCACTTGTAGATAGGTACCTATATGGATTTTCTATAAAAGAGCCAATTACGGCAAATTCATTTTCTAACTACAGGTTTCTGCCTACTAGGTTTTTATAAACCACACTACCATAGTTCTGCGAAATAGAAAAGTATTTTTTCAAGGAAATCAGGAAGATTCCTATTTGGATATCTTTGAGCATAAGTCCTTGAGGCCAAGAAGCAATTTTCCTCACAAAATCACTGGTAACATATCCATTCGTTCCACCAGCAGATACTGCTTTATTTTTCTTGATAAAATAATAAAAAAAATTCCAAATAAATGAATACTTACTTATTAAACTACTGTAGCTAAATTTAAGTAAACTGTTATAAATCTAAATAATAATGTCCATAAACTAATATCGATTTTGAAAAGAGTTACTAACTTTAACTAGAAAATTGCCATGGCGACACCAGCCATCTTGATTGCCATTTTATTGAAAAATTGTTTTTTATTCAAAATCTGAGCTAGATAGGTATAGGAAACCCTAATACAGTTTGAAAGAGCATTTGAATCTGCTTCGATTTATTTTAAAAAATACATTATTTGAAATAACGAAGTTTTTATGTAAAATAAATATTTAAAATAGACCAGCAATTTTTGAGACCCCTGTATACATTAAACGAAGCAATCAAATTTTTCAGTAAAGTTTATTTCTCTGGCTTAAAAGTCAGCGCAGGAATTAGTTCTGATCGGCAATGTACAGGGTGGGTCAAATTCGACGCTTTTAAATGGAAACACCCTTTTCTATAGGAGATAGACGAAAACTAATATCGGTGTCTGGAGCTCAATTTTCATATAAAACATGATGGTGAAAACCGCACATCAATATCTGTTACCGTTTCGGAGTTACGGGGTGTTTTTCAAAAATGTGCATTTTTAATAAATCGCTGTAACTTTTTTGCTATCGAAAATTTTGTATTTCTATGAAAACATTTCCAAAGCACCTTTTTACGTAGAATTTAATGGTTTAAGTATAATTTTTTTTAAATTAATAATTTAAGAGTTATTAACAGAAAAATTGATTTTTTATTTGGGACACCCTCTATATTTTTAATTAACTGAAAAGAATTTAAAATTACCTTTCCAAAAATACAGAATTTTTAAAAGTTCGCCACTTTTAACTAGTAGGCTTTGGACCCCTTATTGATGATATGCCCTTAATGGAACTCGAAAACATATTTTTCCAGCAAGACGACGCACCGCCTCTGAACGATGAAGTTATCAGCAAATTTTTGCATCCAATTTCAAGAATAATTGAATAGCTAACCAAGATTCCAGCCGTTGGCCGGCGAGACCGCCAGACTTAGTGCCCATGAATCTAATCCGATGGATATATTTGCGGAAAAATGAAGGTTCCTTATTCTTCCGTATAATCTAGAGAAGAATTAGAAATACTTTTATGAGAGGGTATCTTTCACCCCTACTGAGTTAATGAATTCCGCGAGAAATGTTCAAAAACTGCCCTGTCTGTCCATAACAGAAGACGGTCGATATGTCGAACACCTGTAGCAAAATATCATGTCTTGGTTTGCTATTTATTTTTATTATTATTAGATATAGTTTAATGTGTTGATGTTGGTTAAATATATTTTAAATTGTTATAAAATTCTGCATCTCTCATTATTTTCATTTTAATTGATGCTCACAGCTAGAATTTTTTTGCATTACAGCCAGTGCCGTTCAAAGGCAAGTTCTAGCGGGCGAATTTTTATATATTCTATATCTCGAAGAGGAATCGAGCAAAATATCAAGTGTGTTATATTTTTGGAAAGGTAATTTTAAATTATTTTCGATAAATTAAAAATATACAGGTTGTCCCGTATAAAAAATCAAATTTTCTGTTGATAATTCTTAAATTATTCATTTTGAAAAAATTATACTTAAACCATTAAATTCTACGTAAAAAAGTGCTTTGGAAATGTTTTCATAAAAATACAAAATTTTCCATACCAAAAAAGTTACAGCGATTTGTTAAAAGTGCATATTTTTGAAAAACACCCCGTAACTCCGAAACGGTAACAGATATCGATATGCGGTTTTCACCATCATGTTTTTGACAAAAATTGAGCTCCAGACACCAATATTAGTTTTCGTCTATCTCCTATAGAAAAGGGTGTTTCCATTTAAAAGCGTCGAATTTGACCTACCCTGTACAGGGTGTTAATAATCTATTCTAATGTAGCATGCATTTTTAAATATCCTTAAATATCTCAAAAACCAAAGATTTTAAACATATTAAACCTTTATAATGAATACCTTTTTTTGGGCCCAAGAATCCAAAAATGAAATAAAATACCGGGTGTTCCATAAGAAAAAATATAACTTTGGTATGGATCTTAGTTCTGAAACACCCTGTACATTTGAAAATAATTTTAAATTGTGCACATTCCCTCCCCACATATACCCATGAAATATTTTATTTCTACATCTTTCCGTTTTCGTATAATCAACCGAGGCGAATGAGGTGCGCCACCCTGTATATAAATTATTATTATCTCCATATTGTAGCCTTGAGAAGAAAATAAAGATTTTTCGAAAGCTTGGCAGTAGTAATAAATGAGTTTTCATCGAATTTTGCCCTTAAGACTAGGCCGTTTCACCCCAATTCAAATTTTGGATCTATTTATTTTAGTTTAAGTACCGTATGATGAAAAAAATGGCGTTAGCGATGGCTATGAAATGAAGATCGCTGTCATTTTATATGTAAATTTATATGGGAAATGTCATCGATCGTCATTTCCCTGCCAACTGGTCACCATTTTTTTTGTTGATTATACGGTATATTTATTGTTGTCAATTCATCGTTACTGCTGTTATAAGCAATTTGTTAAATAAATTAACTGAAACTAGAACGAGCTTGAGTAATGTTTGATTGACCCCTAAAAGATCTAAACAAAGTAAACCTTTCAGTGTGCAACAAAAAAAGCAAAAACCTTCTTGTCTCCTGGCATTCCTATACAAAATTTTATGACTCTATTATGATGACTATATTTACAGGACCCGTCTTTCTGTGAAGTTGCTTCAATAAAACCTTCAATGGCAAGTTAATTATATTATTTAGGTACCTAATAAACAATTTAGATCAGGTAAAATTCTGTATTAATATTCAGTCTGCAATAAGCAAGAACAGCGTTTGCTACGTCGCGCGTCGTATACAAAGTTGTAAATGTAACAAAAAAATCGCATAAAATTAAAATGAACTATCAATGTTTTTTATCGAAAGTGTACGTACTGTTTTTGTTATTATTAAATATCGACGCTTCTGAATATGGCGATTCTAACACAGAATACTGTTTGTGCGTACCATTCTGGCAGTGCAAGGCAGACTTCAGCGGTTTGGATGACAATGGCTTGGCAGTGGACGTGAGGCATATGAGGGAAAAAACGCTAAACAACCCCAGTACCACATCCTGCACCGGCGATTACGACGTGTGTTGTGAAGCAAAATGCGGCAAGAAAGGCAACACAGTAGCATCCTCAGAGAACAAGGAAACAGTACAGGAACGGATCCTAGGCGAAGCGGTCACCACAGAATTTGCCGAGTTCCCCTGGATGTTAGGCATCTTAAAAGGACTCTTCTACAGATGTGGGGCGTCTTTAATCCATCCCAAAGTGGCCCTAACAGCTGCCCACTGTGTTCTAGCACCCGCCGAATACACCGTGAGAGCTGGTGAATGGTACTGGGAACGTGAAAATGAACCGCTACCCCATCAAGACCGAACAGCAGAAGAAATTTTTATACACCCCGACTACCATCCTCCATCTTTACAACACGACATCGCTCTTATTCTCCTAGACGCACCCTTCAAGCTTATGAGGAATGTAGGCATAATATGCCTGCCACCAAAGACTCCTAAAGTTATCCTATCGCAGTGCATAGTGACCGGTTGGGGTAAAAACTCTATTCAAAAAGGTTCATACCAGCCTGTTTTGAAAAAAGCTACTATACCTATGGTGTCGAGAAGCAGGTGCGCGGAGGCGTTGAGGGGTACAAGATTGGGGCCTGGTTTCACTCTACACGACAGCTTTATTTGTGCAGGGGGGCTCCTTTATGATGCATGTAAAGGAGATGGAGGGGGACCTTTAATATGCCCAGTGGAAGGAAACGAAGAACGATACCAACAAATAGGAATTGTGTCTTGGGGAATAAGATGCGGCATGTCGAAAGCTCCGGGAGTGTATGTAAATATATTGATGTTTTTGGACTGGATAGATACGAAAATGAGGGAACTAAAACTACATACTGACATTTATAAAAACTAGCATTTCATTAATACAATAGACAACCTACTTACCTTGCTGTGTAATTCTGTCAAAATAGTTCAATATACATTTTATTTTCTCACAGATACATTGTTTTCTTGCTACTCTTTCAAAAGATGAATAAAGCCTATAAAATTAATTGAATTAAACTAATTTAAACTGGGTTTATTACTTTTTAAATACATACGAAATAAAATTTACACCTGGGTATCTTGAGGCTACAGACTTCTTATATGGAAATGTACACAAAAATGCATTTGCTAAAAGGCACGATATTTGTAACTGAGATAAACTTAATGACCTGTTACGATTTTGTGCTAACAATGGAATTCCACAAGGAATCAACTCTGGCAATCTTAGTGCAAGCTTAATAATTCTGGGCAGAATTGTTTTAAAGAAATGTTGCGATTCGTCTTCTTGTAATACCTTAAAATGTGTATTTTTTAGTAAAATTCTATAAAATTTCTGTTTATACTAAATTTACCTCAGTAAAAAAGTAGTGTAATAACTGAAACTTTGGTAAAGACATATTATACTTGTTTAAAGCAGCCTCAAACTGATTTACAGAATTAATAGGTAACGATAGGGCTTCTTGTATCACTGTCCATCTCAGCTTAATTACATCTGTTCCATTCTTCAAAAAAATACATAAACTATTCAGATATTCCATAAAATTTTTAATTATATTTATACCTCTTTAAGTGGATACAGATTTTCTTCGGAAAAAGGCATTCTTACGTGATCATTATCCCATAAAAAAGGCTGCGATGACTGATGTGGTTTGGGTGGATGTTGTAAATTTGCGGGTAATTCGTAAAGAACATAATGATATCTGGATGGTTCTACAGAACTAATACTAAAAGACCACGGACCTTTTCCTCTGTAAATATCTGTTAAACTTAAACCACTCCATGTTTTTTCTGTACCCATTTTTTAATAAAAGGGGTTATATTCCGTCCAAAAACACTTTAGAAGTACAGCCTGATTTAGTGAATAAAGTTACGTATTCTAGCAAACAAATTCTCATGCTAGAAGGATATAATTTAATAATTTGTTAAAAAATTGTTTTTGTTTTCAAATTTTTTTAATAACCTCAAAAAATAGATTTTAATTTTGACATCTGTCATCTGTCACAAACCTTAAATCATGATGTATACTAGACCTTTAGAGTTTCATTAGAACTATTTTGCAATGACGTAAAAATTGTGGATCTACAAAGATGACGTCACATAAGGGCATAAATATTTGTTTCAAGTTTTATTCAAAGGTTTTATAAGGGTTTTATTACCGATTTTCTCTTTTTATAAATTACTTTGATGCCTTTTTTCCTGATCACACGGTATTTTATGGAATCACCAATAGATTTCGACATAATTGGTCATCAAGAATATTACAATAATTTTAAAAACTGCGATCATTCAACCTGCTCAACCTTCAGATCAGAGGGAATTTTATTCTATGTTAGCTACAGATTGTCAACTAAGGATATAGGTATCTATCTAAGCACTATCATCTCAGCTAAGGTTTTATTTAAAAGAAAGAGGATTTGTCAACTTTTTAAAATTATTTAATTAAACATAATAATATTTAACAACTATTTCGTAGAGCAGATTGAGGTAAAATGGCCTGAAAAAATAAAGTGTATAATATCGATAAATATTTAAAATAATGGAAAAAATAAAAAAATAGTGCCAATGCAGCGACGTTAAAAATTTTTACACAAAATTTGTTTCAGAAAAAAAAAGATTGGCGTTATTTCACTTTTAAATACTCTGATTTAAAAAAAAATACGTTTTAATATAAGCGTCAATCTTTCTTTTTCAATGAAACATGTTTAAAAAGTTATCACAGTGCCTGAACTGAATGTTTTATACTCTGGTTCATTCTAAAAAAAAACGTAATGCTCCTTCCATAAACCCTTTCTTCTCTTCAGATATACAATATTTTAGGATGTCATACGGCCAAAAAAAAAACGGCGTCACAGTGACCTTTAAAATGCCAATCAATGACAATTGTCGGGTCACCCTGAAGTTATCAAAAATTAATATATAAACAAAAAAAAAGTGACTAGACATGCAACAACACACACTTTTTTTTTAAAACACATTTGGAAGCCTTTAATTTTTTTTTAATTAAATACTAATTTTTAACAAACCTTTAAGTCATTTTTTTTTAAAAGTTTTCATGTATAATCATTGAGATCGTAGACCACTAAGACGGCGTTTTTTTCGATCGTATGACATTTGGATACATATGGGAAAAATATTTTAAGTGTCTCAGAGATTTGAATTCTTGATACAGTACGTCTGCTGGATCTGTGTCTATGAAAGGAATGCGGACAAAAAACATTTAAATAAACAACAATATATTTTATACGTCGATTTGAGGAGTTCGTCACCGCAAATCGCTCCGCCCACTCATTTTATTGGCTACTTGCAAATTTGTCGAATTTTTATTGATGGGACGCGTCGTCTAATTTTTTACGAAAAACATGGAGAGAATATCGTTTCCCCTCTCACGGATACCCCGTAGCTACAGAACGGACAGACGTGCTGTACAAGTCCTATCCCGTATAACCACGCGATATAGTAAAATCAAGCCTATATAGATTAGTTTCTTTGCTATAAAGATGTTTCGATAAAGCCTTCATATATAAAGCATATTTAAAGAATCTATATAGTATCTATATAGAGAAAATCTATATAGTATCGATAACGCATACAGATTCGATACAGTTTTTCGAAGACAATATTCACTGTTACGAAAACTTTACTTATCCTTTATTAACTCTATACAAATTTGTATAGTTATACATAGTAAATATACGCTGATCCTTTACAACTTCATGTATTTTATAAATGTAATAAATTTAATCTACAATGTAGAGAATATGTTTATAAAAATTACAAAACAGTCTTTCAACACATTTTTGAGTAGAAACACAATGTATGCCTGTCATATTTTTAGTTATATTTTTCGATTTATAAACCTTATGTTATTTACATTTTAAACATTACAAAAAAAAAAAAAAAAGATGAACCAGCTTGGATAACTGACAGCATAAAGGCCTTAATCAATGACAAACAAAAATTCTATCAAAGATGGCTCTCAGACCGAACAGATACTAACTGGAGTCATTACAAGCAAAAAAAATAGAGAGGTACGAGCCGCCATTAAGGTAGGAAAAACAGATATTTGGGAAAGAAGGTGCCAGCAAGTGGAAAGCCTAATAGGGGGCGCACGGAGTACTGAGGTATGGAGAACAATCCGACAAATGAAAACCAATCAAACGGACAAGCTCTTGAATAGAATGGATATAGAAAAATGGCGCAACTACTATGCAGAATTACTGACAGAAAACCGACCAGAATTCCAAGCAGTAGAAGATGAGAACAACCTTGCAGGCACTTTAATGATAAGCGAAAGAGAAGTATATCAAACTCTCAAAAGAATGAAAAATGGACGGTCACCAGGTCCTGGTAATATTGTAGCCGAATTGTTAAAGTGTGAAACCCAAAGACTGCGCTGGCGTCTGGCAGAGCTATTTAACCAGTGCTGCCTGCAAAGTAAACTACCCCGAGAATGGCGAGTGGCTCACATAGTGTCCATCTTTAAAAAGGGAAATCGTAACGACCCCACTTGTTATAGAGCATTAACAGTTCGGTCAGCAGACTTTTTGGAAAGGTGCTACAGGGTAGGCTCAGGGACAGTATTGGTGACAAATCTCGGAAGACCAAAGCGGATTCACACCGGGGAAATCTTTCACAGATAACCTTTTTGTCCTGCAGCAGGTGATGGAAAAAAAGATAGCAGTAGATCAAGAAGTCCATCTAGCATTTATTGATTTGGAGAAAGCGTACGACTCTATTCCCCGCAGCAAGATATGGGAAGTATTGAATATCTTAGAAGTAGATAGACCTTTGCTTAAGATAATAAAATAGCTATATAAAGAAAATGAATCGTACGTTAAGATAGGACACAGGCTATCTAATCCAATTAACACCACAAAAGGGTTGCGACAAGGATGCAGCTTATCTCCTCTGATCTTCAACGCTTACGTCGAATTAGCCCTTAGGGAATGGAAGACGAAATATCAAGGTATGGGAATACCCATTGGGGACAACACACTATTTACCCTGAGCTTTGCAGACGATCAGGTCGTGATTGCGCAGGACTCATACGATCTAGAGTTCATGACTAAGAGGCTTTATCAAGTATACAACAAATGGGGACTTCAGGTTAGTCTAAAGAAGACCGAATACTTAGCTGTCAATTCCAACACTTGTTTTGAAGTCTTCATTAATGATAACGTCCAGATTCAACAAGTAGACAAATTTAAATACCTGGGTGCTACTATCAACAACGAGGGTTTGGGCAAAGAAGAAATACAAACCCGAATTCAGAAGAGCAAACAAGTTATTGGATGTCTTAACAGCCTCTGGTGGGACCGAAACTTATCTGCAACAACTAAAAAGAGACTTGGAAGAACATTGGTGGAGTCAGTTCTTTGCTATGGTTCAGAGCTGTGGACTCTGAGTGCAGACGCGAAGCGCAAAATCCAAGTTGTTGAAATGGACTACCTTAGAAGAAGTGCAGGTATATCTAGGATGGAAAAAAAGACAAACATCGAGGTCAGGCGTATCATGAATGCATCGGAGGAGACAGTACTGGATCGAATCGAAAAATCCAGCTTAAAATGGTTTGGACATGTTCTGCGTATGCCGGAGAACAGGTGGCCAAAAAGAGTTTTTCAAGGGGCTCCCCAGGGCAGAAGAAAGAGAGGTAGACTTAGAAAATATTGGAACGGAACGGTTCGGAAGGAATGGAAGCTCGTAACCTAGAAGCTGATGACGCTCTAAATCGAGATGTGTGGCGTAGGGTAACGGGAAGGCAGCAATAGGCTGTAGTTGGAAATAAGTATTAAATACTTAAACCAAATCCCGTTTATATATATAATATGTTATTTACATTTCCTTTATTTACGCTATTTTTTATCCTAGTTATTAAGTTAATTATAGCTAGATTCATTTTTATTGGTTATTAAGTTTAATTAAGCAAATCTTTACTTAGATGTAAGACAATTAAATATATCAATTTTATATTCTAAGAAAAAGCTAAACAATGAGACGCACACAGGTTTCACATAGAAACCTAGATGTCTCAATATTTATTTAAAATTTAATATCTGTATAATAGTAGTAATAGAGAGTTAAAATATCAAAAATATTAAATAGTAATAAGTTAATTAAAACAAAAATTGTAACAGGTAAAATCAATACACCACTTCTTTTTTAAATGAATATTACATTATATAAACACATTATTACAATGACCTACAATTAAAAATATTGCAGTGATCGTCAAATTCCGATGGTGTAAATTTTCTAAGCAAATTACGTAAGGCTATTTTTGTAAATATTTATATTGATATCTATTATGAATTCACGTACTTGTATGAATTATATTATTGATTAGGTAACTAGGTTACTACTATTTATATTTTATTATAATTTGTAAAACTATGTACCACTGTAGAAATAAAGATTTTGAATTTGAATTTGAATTTATATATCTATAATGATATTCCGCTGGTGCATCATTTCTGGGGCTAGAATCATTTTAATATGCCAGATACAAATGTGCTTCTCCGTGTTTCTTCAACATTCTACTCTAACATAAGGGAAGAAAAATCTAAAATTTGAAATCTGTGTATGTTGAGTTATTGAAGGGCAGGTCATACCTAATACCGTATGATCGAGAAAAAACGGCGTCAACGATGGCTATGAAATGAAGATCGCTGTCATTTTATATGTAAATTTATATGGGAAATGTCATCGATCGTCATTTCCCAGTCAACTGGACGCCATTTTTTTTCGATCATACGGTATATCTAAACAATAGAAGAAACTTCCGCGGGGTAATTATAATAACGGTACTGATGGTTACATGGTCACATTGGGGTAACAAGTAACAAGATGAAATTTTCCCATGAACACCCTTGATGAAGTTACAAGACTTGATGAAACTTTTAAAACTGATGAAAATACTAGTGTACACGAATTTGTAAGTAAAAATATAATAAAAGAGTAATCAAATTTTCAGTAATTTTACTTAAATCGGCCTAATACAAATTTCATCTAACCTATAGGTTTGATAGGCGTCCTTTACAAAATATGTATTAAAATATATCTAGAAAAATTTTCTTAGTGTTACCTGATTTAGAAAGTTATGTTTAAGTAAATACTTAAACATATCGTTTGTAGTATTTTATGCCTTTTGAATATTTATATTAATATTTGGAATATTAATACTACCAAGGATATGTTTAAGAATTTACTTAAACATAACTTTTCTAATTCAGGTAACAAGAAAAACTTTCTATAGATTTTAATACATATATTTTATAAAGGACGCCGTCAAACGAATCGACAAATTAACTTTATTCAATCTAAATCCAGAATGTATAGTGGCGGTAAAGTATCAATACAGGCCAACTTTATTCAGTACAGGCTAGACTGTATTCAAACACGTATCGTCGCTGTACCAAAAGAATAAAGGCTGCCTTTATCGACTAAAGATTTTAATATAGGCTCGATAGAGGTTCTATACTGTTTGGTTATACGGGATAATCCTATCAAACTACTAAAAACATATATTGAAAGTACATAAGATCTTTGAGTGTGTTTCAACTGTGTTCAATATCAGTTTATGGACTTATCCTTATTATGAGTAGAATCTCACAAAAGTAGATTAATGTTAAACAATTAGAACTTTACATTATTCAGCTTTTATTCAGAAAACTAGCTACTAACTTCATTTCATTAGAATTTGTGTAATAATCATGGACAAAGTAATAATATAGATACAATATGTATAATGATGAGTTCATACTTCGAGTATTAAGCTTGATTTTTATGCATCCGTTATCCGGTGATACGATATTAATTTTATTGATCATTGATCGAATTTAAATACTTTGATTGGTTAGAAAATTACGCAGTTTTTAAATTTATTGCATTTTCATGCCTCCGTTCATCGGATGTACGATGTAAGCTTGTGATTGGTGTCATTTTATATCCAATGTAAAAGTAAAAGTGTTTTGGTGTATTGTAGTGATTTAGTGTTTATTTTGCTAACCTAACTTCACAAATATTTTTAGAATTTCGAATACTAGAGACACTAATTGTTACATTAATAATTTCTAGACCAAAAAATAAATAATTTATTAACATTTATAAACCGTCAAATTCAACATGTCAAATATTATTTCGAGAATTCTTAAAACCTCTAGTTTTGAGCATGTATGTCTTAGGACCCGTTAGAACTAGGGCTACTGTTAAGATCAATACGTTGCAAGCATGAATACTACCGCTTGTTAACGTTGATTCATATGCTTCTTGAGGTTAAGACTAATGGTAGCATTAGAGCTTCATCATAAGCAGTATTAAAATTTCTGAGACATTTAAAATTAATTTTCTCCCATACGTACCCTAATATCTAAAACGAAACTATATACAATAAAATCTCTTTTCTTTTCATTTTGTTAAAGTGTTTTTCTTTCCTCGATAAAGCGATTTGGTTCTATACAAATTCGACTAAAGCAGGTCCCCGTTTACGTTCTGGCCAGGCTGAATTTGGGCAGGCACAGGCCGAATTTAGTCTCGATCCCCGAGAAAATGGGAACGGAGACTGAATAGCCCCCCACGTGGTCGGGATTGGATGGGGCGCGGTCGCCACCTATCGACGTCACTTTCAGTTCGGAGCCGGTTGGTCGACTGCAAGGAAAAACTGTATTAGTAGAAGAAAAATCAATAAAATACAATTGAAGAGTCGGCTCAAAGAACGTTGTAAGTAACAATTATCAAATTTTTCAGAAGCAAAAAACGATTTCGTTCTTTCATTGAAATCGCGCAAAAAAAAAACTGTTATTAGAGACCAAATTAAAAAATAGATATTTACGATACAAGTGATATAGCACGTCCAAATAAAATTACGTTTCTACAAGGGAGACACATGAGGAACAAAATATGTTAAAATGAACCTAAGTGTTCATCTAGTTCTAACATATACATATGAGATACACGCAGGTTTATATTGATAGAATTGTGTGATACAGTGTTTACTAGTTGTATACCGTATGCACTCAAGATCCTAAAGAGTTTTTTGTAACGTAACAAATAATTATTAAAATGATGAAATCTGACGTCGGTATATAAGACATACAATGTATAAGTCATATGTATGTGTGATACTTCGTATCACAGTTGTGCCTATAGTACACACCTTGTAAAAATGTGACGTATACACATAATATAAATATCTATAATTTAATAATTACTAAAACCGAAAGTTCCAAAATAATTTAAAAATAATAATTATCTATTAACATGGATTTGGACGATAGGTAAGAATACTGAATTTATTTCTATATTCGGTATAAAATTGTTTATTAGGTTTTTAGTTTGCGATGTTTATGGTAAATAATTTTCATTTTCATTGCCTCTGAATTCACATGAGGACAGAGTTGAGGATATCTATGGAAAAGTAACCACAAGAGGAATTGTTACATCATTTAAAAAATATTGGGAAGTTTATTGTTTCCCATCGAAAAGTAGAAAATGCCAATGCAGATGAACGTATTGTAATTGTGATAGAAGTAATTCTAAGGGTGAAGTTTATTATAATTAGTGGAAGTAATACCAAGGGTGAAGTTTATTATAATTAGTGACCTCTGCTTCTTTTTATATGTAGAAGTTTCTGGTTTTGAGAATAAATCGGTTGAACGACACCCAAAATTTAAAGGAAGTATTTGCATACCCAGAATTGACCATCAAGGATTATATAGCTCAAATTTCCTTTAATGGTAGGCAATTATTCAATGCAAATTAACTTTTTAAGTGACTGAAATATTAAATAGTTTACAATATGGTATATCACTAAAAATATATTACTTTTAGGTACAATTAGTGCCCGATACATTTCAAAAAGTAGAATATTATTTTATATTAAATGAGGTGTTGTACCAACAATCAATTTATATTAATACCGGAGATTAAAAAATAACAGAATAAATAGTTCTTTTTTTTATACTACAAAAATAAACTATAGAATACAACAGTATTTAAAAAATAAATAAAAAGTTATGTCCCGGCCGAGATTCGAACTCAGGTCTCTCGCTTCCTAGCCCGACTCCTTACGCACTGCTCCACAGTAACTTGCTTAGCGATAATTCAATGACGGTATATAAACAAAAAAACAGGTTTATAACAATATCTTGACGATTTGAACTGACGCGCGGAGCGTGCTGACCAATAGCGCCTGTTATCACCTGTGACGTAGCGACCAACCTGCGCAATATCATACCTTGTATTCTTTGTACCATGGTGTTTACTAGTTGTATACCGTATGCACTCAAGATCCTAAAGAGTTTTTTGTAACGTAACAAATAATTATTAAAATGATGAAATCTGACGTCGGTATATAAGACATACAATGTATAAGTCATATGTATGTGTGATACTTAAGTATCACAGTTGTGCCTATAGTACACACCTTGTAAAAAATGTGACGTATACACACATAATATAAATATCTATATAGACACTTTGTAATAGTTTACTGTTGTGTCTACATTCTAGCATGAAATGAAGGTGTGCGCACGCGCGGATAGCCTCAGCGTAGATACACCGACCAAGTGTATCTTATGTGTCCTCTCTCCTTTCTCCTTTCTAGGAGTGGTATATGTGTTAGCAGCCATTATTGTTTAATCATTCGGAAGCTCTATATAAATGTTCTGTTTGTGTGTAGTTTAAAAGAGATTTTAAGGTAAGCACAAGTTTTTAATTACCTTGTTATACCTTCCTAAGAGTATTATCAATATTATAGCGGCGACTCCTCCCTTACTCGATACCCAATTTACCAAATTTTGACTACAATGAATGAAAACTCCAAATATTCTCGTATAATGATAAAGAGGTTAGCTCTGCAATATAATTTTTTTTTAATTTGGATATAATAAAAATCTAAATGAACCAGAGAAAGAAAGATTTAAACACTTCAAAGAACTTCTTACACTGATATTCGGTAAGTTATTGATGGATCAATATACAGATATGTTTAATATTCAATAATCAGTTTCATATAAAATTTAAGGGTGAGATTGTTAATCTGGAAATAAATACAACAAAGTCCAACAGAGTGCTCGTTGAATGAGTATGCTAACAAACCAACTGCTTGGAGAGGAAAAGGAGAACAAAATGACTAAACGAGGTCCACCAAATCGTGGCGACATACCAGTGTTTACCATTTTGAGTATGTTGTTATACTAGGTACTTATATTTTAATACATTTTATACAAATTCTGTTCTTTTACAGTGTTTTCTTACTTGGTTTCTGCAGTGTAAATAATTATTATTATTATGTTATTTGCGATATTGCGTTTCATGATATATATAATGAAATATAAGAATTTTATTTTTTAACCACTTAATCCATTTTATGGAAGAAAAGTGGTACATTTAATACAAAATAAAAATGGAACAATTTTAAGGCTACTTCTCTTGAACTTACGATCGAGATACTTTTGGAAAATACAAAGTTTTGCCTTCCTAATTTTCGTTCTAAAAAGATATAATTGGTGTCATTGAATAAATATTTCTTAAAAAGAACGAAAAGTTAGGCATCAAAACTTGTATTATTTCCTAAATTCGTTCATAAGAAGTAGTTTTATCTAGCACAAGATGTATATACGAAGCAAAATATATACGTATACACGCTGTAGTCACAACTGCAATGTGTAAACAGAGTTTAAACGTAATACACAAGCACTGTGTATCCTACGGCACACTGTGTATCCTTTACTTTGTGTATACGTAAATGCTATACTGTGGCTACATTGTGAGGCGGACGTTTAACCTTTGTGCATACGTGTTGAACTACAATGTGTAAACGTAGCATATTTACATCGGGGGAATTGTGTCACCCTGTGTCTACGTCTAATAATGTAAACACATCGTAAATGTGATTTGATGTGCTGTATGGCGAGTTAACAGTATCATTAAGATACGCGTATGAAAGTTGCGCAACGAGTGCGTAGTACTAGCTGTGTAACCATATATTGTACTTAACTATATATCTATCCTAAAAATCAATTACCTTAATACATTTGTTCAAATAACACCATGCATGGCAATGTCAATATGACAGTAAATAATATTGATGTCACTAGTTTAAAAAATGAGCGATTCGGAAAGTATTCCCTCTGACATTGAAGAAGAGGCATTCAGAGCCATTTCTGATGAAGATTGAAACAGAAGTATGAATATACATACTCTAATTATGAAAAATAATGCACCGAAAAAAAATACACAACTGTGGAAATGAAAAGGTACTCATAACATGTTTTTCCAATTTATCCGCTGCTTATAAGCCTTCGTCTCTTTGGGCTTTCTATTCAATGATACGTACTATGATATCTATTAAAATGAATATAATATGCTTTATCAGGCATTTACTTGAAAGGTTGTTCAAACTGTATCATTAACGTTTATAATAAATAAGTTTTCATTTTTTTATAATTATTATCAATAGAACAGTTTATTTGTATTTAGTAGGTATTTAGTGCAAAATAAATGTTTTACAAAATATTTTTTTCTCTTTGGTAGTCATCTAAACAAGGAGTGCGGTAATGAAAATGCGTGAGTTAAGAAGCTCTTCGTCCTCCTAGGTGCCGTCTCCGTTGAGGTTGACGACCACTATGGCAAAATCTTCCCTATGTTAGGCTCGATGTATTAAATTATTCCCGTTTGAAATATTTGTCCAATCTCGTATATTTCGAAGCCACGATTTCTTCTTCCTTCCTATGCTACGCTTTCCCTCGATTTTACCTTGAGTTATTAGCTGAAGCTGTTCGTATTCTTCGTGTCTCACTATATGCCCGAGGTAAGCGGTTTTCCTTATTTTTGTTGTGGTGACTAAGTGGGTACGGGTGTTCATTCTGGTCAGTACTTCCACATTTGTTGTTCTAGGGGTCCAGCTTATACGTAGCATTCGCCTATAAAGCCACATTTCGAATGCTTCCACCTTCCTGAGGTCCTCCTGTTTTAGGGTCCAAGTTTCGCACCCGTACAGCAACAAAGGCCAAACGTAGCACTTGACACTCAACCTTACCCCTATGGACAAACGCGGGTTGCAGAGTACGCTTCGCATCTTAACGAATCCTGCACGAGCGATTTCTATTCTCCTTTTAATCTCTATAGAGTGGTCGAGCTGACTGTTTATTTCCCTACCCAGGTAACAGTACTCTTGTACATTATGTAAAGTGGTGTTATTAACAACAATGTCTAATTGAGGACGATCTTGAGAGGTCCGAGAAAACACCATAGTTTTGGTCTTAGATGCGTTTACCTCCAAACCCATTCTGGTACTGTGCTCTGTTAGGATGTTCATCAGAGACTGTAGCTGTTCTTTAGACTGTCCGATCACTACGGTGTCATCTGCGTAACGGAGGTTGTTAATTACTATTCCATTTAGTTTAGCTCCTTCAGCTCGATCTTCCAACGATTGTTTCATTATGTAGCCGGAGTACACATTAAATAACAATAGGGAGAGAAGGCAGCCTTGACGTACCCCTCTTTGGATATCTACGTAAGAGGTGTTTCCAGTTGATGTTCGGACGCATCCCTTATGGTTCCAGTATATATTACGAATTACAATGATGTCATGGTTATCTACTCCGATTTCCTGGAGGATGTCTATTAGTTTTTCATGTTGTATGCGGTCGAAAGTCTTCTTGTAGTCTACGAAGCAGACATAAAGATCCTTCTTTACCGCCAAGTATCTTTCAGCTATTAAGGTTAGGCCCAGGATGGCCTCTCTTGCTCCTATTCCTCTTCTGAAGCCATACTGCGATCGACTTAGGTAGTTGTCGCACTTGGAGCGTATCCGATTAAAAATGATCCTCATCATTATCTTAGCAGCATGGCTCATAAGGCAGATGGTCCTGTGGTCCTCGCACTTCCTTGCTTTATTTTTCTTTGGAAGAGGTACGAACGTAGAAGTCAATCCTGGGATAGGATACCGCTTTCGTAGATGCGTTCATTCAGAAGCTCTTAACTCACTCAAAATGCGTGAGTTAAGAGGTTCTTAACTCACTGACGTAGATAAAAAACTTTACATCACGTAATAGTGTACTTACATCGGTATTCCATGAAACAAACTCCATTTCGTAAAATATGTTAGTTACAACGTTTTTTTAGCCGACTCTTCAATTATTGCTTTTGGTTTTTTTTAGAGGCGAAATTGAAGACTAAGAAGCAATTTTAGAGAATTCATCCCCTTAAGGGGGAGCTAAAAGTATGTATAAAATTCGTTAATATTTGATCAAGGAATATGTGCATAGAGGTTTCTTAAATGCTGCAATTCAGCATTAAAATGCAATTTTCGAAAAAAAAAGTAAAATGGAATATAACTAGGAGCAAAATTATTTTATTGATTATACACTGGGAGCCTGAGTCTTTATAATTTACAAGTAGTCGTACAATAAAGAACTTTCTCGGTATTTTCAAATAAATTTGGAAAGGTATGCACGGTGTTCCTTAATGACATGCTAATATTTAAAAAGCTGATTCTTGGACCTATTCTAAGAAAAAAACTTAAATGTATGAATATATGTCCTAAACATCTTATCTTTTGAGATGATGCATATTTTGAGATACAAAAAAATGTTTTATTTCTTAATTTCCTTCCAGCCGATGCAGAAATGATTTCCACACACTAACAGTCACCGCATCAGATTTTCAGCGATTTGACCATGAAATAAACTGATTTTAATTATTTTAAGCAAAAACTATGCTTCGAACGAAAAAAATCAAGAGATAAAAAATGTTTTAAAATGAATGGAGATTTTGAAGATAAGTTTTATTTTAAGAGAATACAGAGGTGTACCACTTTTTTCTCCAAAATTATTCAATAAAAAACAATAAAACCTGTATATACGGCACTGGTTGTAATAAATAAAATTCTTTGTACACCAAAAAAGGTATTTTGATGCAAAGAAGACGCGTATTAAGTTTCATAAAGATATCTATAATAAAATCAGAGTTATTGAGGAAACATTTTTTTTAGAAAAGTTTACCACCCTGTATCTCAGAAATTAAGATGTTTAGGACATACCTTCATATGAAGTTTTTCTCTTAGAATAGGACCAAGAATCGCCCCCTTAAATATTAGCATGTCATTAAGGAACACCCTGTATACCCTGCTGGTCATCCAATTTATGTGGTTTGGATTTTAATGCGTGTGACAGAGAATAATATAAATGACCGGTTGACAGAGAAAGAAACAAAATCAAAAGCGGCATACAGTGTTGCCGATTTTTTACATTTGTAGGAAAATGTGTGTAGAAAAATATAATCTATTTTAAAAACTTTCATGTATACTACTGAAATGATGATACTTCCACAATAAATTAACGCACCACAAAAAAATAAACAAAAGTTTAAGTTAAGTTTTTGTCACACTTATCCGATTTGGACGATTTTTTTTGAATGATAACTTAAACTTTTGGTTATTTTTTTGTGGTGCGTTAATTTATTGGGGAAGTGTATATCTATACTAAATATAATCTATTACAGCTGTAGTAAAGTGAGTAATTAATAGTGAAAAATAAAGTTTCAACCCTGGATGCAACATTTTTCGTAAACGCCTACTTGTGCGGTTCGAAATTTTGATGCAAAATCCGGCAATATCGTATAGAAGAAATGGGTCGACCCAGTTTATATAGTCTGTGAAACGAATAACTTTGAATTTGACGGTTTCCGCGGGCTTTTCTAGTGTTAATTTTATTAGGTTAGCAACTTGCGGCCATGTTGACGCAATGCCGTCTCTAATAGAACAGCCAATATATAAAATGACAGTGATCTTTATTTCATAGCCATCACTGACGCCTTTTTTTCTATGATATTGAATTATTTGCAAATATAATTTTTCGAACATTGATACTTGCAAAATATACATATAAATTTTGTGAATGCAAATAATAATACATCACTATTAGTAGATATTGAATGTTTTGTTAAATTAGATCGATTTTCAAACCCCAAAATTTAAAATATATTTTACATTTTACCCATACCCCAGTACCGATTCATTATTTGTATATTGTAAAACATTTGATGCGTTTGTATGGTTCATAGTTTATTTGCCAAAGTATTTATTACCATAAATAGGTATATATATTGTATTTATTAACTGTATATTATGTATATTTCATGTAAACTATATCTTTTTTAAAATACAAACCAAAAATACGAAGAATAATTATTTTTTCCATGTATTCTATAACATATTTATTAATCCGTAGTATCTAACTAGCGTGACGTCATAAATCTCGCTTCGTGGCTGTTCTATTAGAGACGGCATTGGTCTGATATTTAGAAATGTCAAAAGCTGATGACATTTTACTTTTTACATTATGACATTTCGTGTTGATTTTTGCAAGAAGAGGAAGAAGTGTCACTTGTTTTATTATTTTCCTTTTCTATTTCACGAAAGTAAAAAGAGTTACCTATCTGATTCGTTCAGGGACTCAATTTAAAGAATATCAGTAACTTTTTTGATAGAGGGATTTTATATTTGGCATGTTGGTAAAAAATAACGGTCAAAATTCAAAGTTATTCATTTTATAGACTATATCTCTGTTTAATACATTTCATTTTCCATTACGCTGTCTACATCACTGTCTTACACGTTAAAATCCAGACCGCACAGTTTCGATGACCAAATCGGTATATTCGTAATGCTTGTTTTTTACTAAGTATATGTTTTGTATTTTTTTGGGAAATCACTAGGAAAATATATAAACCCTGTTTTATACTTACGTTCCTCCAAAATCGACGTAGAGCGTCCTTTGAAGAAGTTCATACGTTAATAGAGTAACACCAAATTGTGGGGAAGATCTGAACACACGGGCTATTAAAGAAATACATAATTTGTTTTATATATTATCGCAATTACCTACAAATAAAATTTTAATATAATATGACGTTAAAAATTATTTGTTATAAGCAGCAATAATATCCAAAAAAATATATAATCTATAAATAATTATAAATCCCGTGGCGTTTTACAAACAATAAAAGTTTTGGTTCTTCAATTTTTTCCTTTATTTTATTATAGTGGTGATATGCCCAAATTTTGACGTAATGGACACCCTAGAGAAATATCTACAGAAGAATAAACAATCTTTATACTTAATACTGCTTTACTATTCAATCAATTCAGTTATTGAATATTAAAAAATATAGATGTGTATTAATAAAAACTGTAATAGTTTAGAAATCAAAAATCATGATGAATGATGAAATCATGAAAAAAAATGATAACCTTGAGACCTACTTAGTATAACGTATGATAAAAAAAACGGCGTCAAAGACTGCTCGTGAATAACAATCGGTAATAATTTTGGCAAGGTCAATCACTATACGTCATTTATTAAAAATTGACATAAAATTTGTAAGAATTAACACAAATTTTAGAAAGATTAAAAAGGATAGAACGCTGCTGTCAGACACACAAATCTATTTCCAAAAAAATATTTTTTCTCGAAATTTAAACTACACCATTTAAACATCATTTTTACTCAATATAAAAACAAATCACAAGCTTCTTAAGGCCAGCTCCAGTAAGCGCCATTAAAAATAAAGAAGGGTACGAGCGATTGTGATTCCTCAGCCGTCTCCGACGCCGTTTTTTTCGAGTGCATGGTATTATAAAATAATTATCGAAGTATTCTAATTAATAACTTACCAACTGAACCTTTCCAGAACGCCCTGAAACCTTCCTCCCTATAAATCTTCCTCGTGGCATCTAAAACACCACTGTAGGTCGTTTGTCCCGCTCTAGCCACCACTTGTAGCCGCGTCTTGATGACGTCAGCCGGTGTGACCAAGGAAGCTGCGGGAATACCAGCGATCGCACCAGCGACTAAGAGCGATATGGGAGCGTTATAACCGTTTTCATCAGCTAAACTAAAATAGTTTTAGTATTATCATTAGATTTCAGGTTAATTTAGAGGTTTGATTTTTTAATAAAATTCAAAAAATAAAATAAAGTTCTTTAATTTGCAGGCTTAGATTGACAATGGTGTTTTTTTATCACAGTTAGGAGTTGGAACCTTTAGTGTTACCACAGCAAGATAAAACGCTAATTCACCACACCACAATACACCAAAACACTAAAATAAAAAAAAACGCACGTCCAGTCTTGTCCAAACATATACAGTAAAGTATTTAGGTGTATTGTGGTGAATTAGTTTTATTTTGCTGTTTTTTTCTTAAATAAAATCGCACTTAATATTTTTAAATAAAATCGCACTTATACTTTTGAAATATAATTGTACTTCCAACAGAGTGTTTAAAAAAACATGTACCATCTTTCGTGAGGAGATTTCTCACTTAAAAATAAGATTTATTTTTCATGTCTATATGAAGAGTTATAGTTATATAAGTTAAAGTTCTTGATTGTTTTTGCTGTTATAATTTCCTTCCAAGTGCCTTTGGCGATTCGAATAACATTTTGACGATAAAAGCATTGCCTGGAAACTTATATGGTGAAATTTTGATAAAATAATTTAGTACTCACTAAAAACACGGTATGTCGCTAGTGGTAGGAAAAATAATTTTTAGAGGTTACTAGTTTATTTGGTAGCCTGTGATATGCATATACAGGGTGTTTCTTAATTAATCTAAAAAATAAAAAATCGTTAGAAAACGGCTTAAGGCGGGCTCTTAATAAGTATATTAATTTTTTTCTCGGCAACCGTTAGATGAACAAGAAAAACTCAAAAGATCAATTTTGTTGAAAAAGAATAACCAGTCAAGAAAAAAATATATTTTCTTTAAAAAAGCAGTAGTGTACCATTTATGTTAAGCAAAATATCGATTTTTAAAATTTTTAACACCTTGTAGATCAGACAGGAAGTATTTTAGACCTAATGGTTATATAAAAATTGTTTTAAGAACACATGAGGAATCACACCACAATTTTTTAGTCTAATTAGAAAACACCCTGTATATTGTCAACTTGACAATGATTGTTGATAAATCAAAAAATACCTTTTCTGTGAAAAAAGCCCGATTTTCGCAGGAAAAATTTTGATTTTTATTGAATTTGGGCCTGCGTCTGCAAATACCGGTATGTTTTTTAATATTCTATCTATCTAAATTTTAAATATCATAGTCAGAAATAGTTTTATTATTTATTAACTGTAAAAATGGTATACTTATCAGTTTTATCAAATATTGTGATTTACGTTCTACCTTGTAGTCAAAATTTATATTTAATAAACTGTAATATATATATATATATATATATATATATATATATATATATATATATATATATATATATATATATATATATATATATATATATATATATATATATATGTTCTTATGTTTTATTAAAGTTACTCCGATATACTAATATATCAGTGTAACTTTAAAACTAAATCCTTTGAAATCAAATATAAACATAAAAAATATTTACAGCAGAAAAGGCGAAGGCGCTGGGTTAAACGTAGTTTCTACTAAGAACACGGAGGGGCGCTTTGATCCAAAATTTTACTATTAAGTTTCATATCTATCTTAATAGAAGATTATTTTCTTTTATCTATGGATAAAAGTTACTAAGTGCCACATATTTTAACGACAAAACAGATAGTTCGATAGATTCACCAGGGACGTACATATGGGTTATCATTAGAATATTTTTCTAAAAAAAAACTGTACGCTACTGAATTTGTCTTTAATTAGCACATTGCGTAGGCCGTTTATGCCGATTAAAAGTTATCTCTTGATATTTTGTCGATTTTGATTTCATTGACGCCATAAATGCAATTTTATTAATCTGTTGTAATCCAAGTGTAATAGCACAGATTAGGTATCCTATAAGTATACAGATAAAAATCTTGTCCCTAATTCGTGGTACGAAAGTTGTTTTTTATGACGATGTGCAAACGAGTCAAATTTCCTGTGCGCAAAAATAAACTCGCGTAAAATAACAATAAACAGCGTAATAGAGAGATATCGCTAAACCGAATAGCGTGCATGGACGTTAATAAAGCCAGGTGTTATTTCCTTTACGTGAGGTGGTATTAATTCTCTTCATTTATAGTTATCGGATCGGAAATAATTCTGATCGCGTCGCGTCCGCTATTTAAACTTAACCTAACTTTGAATTTAAAACTTTGAAATTGTTTTGTTTACTAGGTATTTTAAAACTAAAGGGCTAAGTGCTTATTTCCAGTGCTTTATTGTTCAACGTCTGCCAGTGGGTTTAGGGCAACAAGCAACAAATTCTCTTAGAAGGGCTAAGTCGTCATCTGCTGTAAACCTAAGACTCTTTATAGGTTCTTTAGTATTGGAAGAGGTGGAATCCATATTTTGGGTCATATTTATTTAATTAAAACTAATCCCAGCTACTTAAATATCAAATTACCTAATAAAACTAAAGCAATAATTCAAAATAATTCAAACATAACCTAAAATAAAATATCTCGCGGCGCGCCGGCCGGCTCCGGTTGTCAAATACCCGTACATGCCAATTTAAGCAATTTTTAAACGTTATCAGAGGTTATTTAGAAAGAGCGCTTGGTGTAATTGATCCGCAAATTACGTCAGGCGGTAACGTTATTAGCGGGTGTTGCGTTAAAAATTGACTCGCGCATATCGTAACCATGATAAGGTACGCGTAAATACTGGATGACGCTATTCGGTTTTCCGATATCTCTCTAATAACTGTGCCGGTCAGGCGCTGTGCACAATTTTAGAGGCCATAAGTGGGCGTGCTATGTGCGCAAACTAGTCACCTAACTAATGCCCGATTCCGAAAATTGGAACCAAGAAAAACAATAAAGAAAAACAAAGATTATAATCTGTATAATCTGTGGTAATAGCAACCTCTAAAAAAATTAATGCCGTTAACTGGCCAAAGTGCTAAATGAGTTCTAGTTTATTCCTCCTCAAAAGATATGAAAAAAAATTCCTATAAACATGTATGCGGAAATACATAGTTTTAAACATACAGGATGTTAAAGTTAAAACTTTAAGAAAATAACTTGTTTGTAATTATCTTAAATACGATTATTATTTTTTCTTAAATTTGCTATATGTAGCACTGCAAACAAATTTTAATATAATTTAATATGCAATAAAATAGATTGAATAATTAATTCATTAATTTGACTTTTATTTTAATTTTATTAACTGTGTTGAAGGAACATGCAGGAGACCGAAATCGAGAAAATATCAAGATACCTACACAATTTTGCTAATAGGAGAAAAAAGTCAGCGATCCACAAGTTTTTTTTTTAATTCCAGCGAACCCATATGCACGTCCGTGGTGAATCTGTCGACATTTTCTTAATACTAAAATATGTAATACTTACAGTAACTTTTATTTTCAAAATTTCATTTTAATCGCTAAAAGTACTTGGAAGAAAATAATAAATCGAAAAAAAATAAGATTTTAAGCCCCCTGTAACTACGAAACAAAGCATAGTCGGACCTATGTTGATATAAGAAATAAATCTTATTTTTACATGAGGAATCTCCTCACATGGAATGGCACATGTTTTTGAAACACTCTGAAATTATAAGTTTTTATAAAAAACACTCACCTCGCCTTAGTATGCGCATACGACGGGAAATATATGGCACTGAAAGGTACGTCTCTGAGTAGACACGCCTTCGCGCCTTTGTACAGTCCAAACAATCCTAATTCCTTAACTACCGACCAGGCCCTCACTTTTTCACCGCTAGCTATTTCGCCGGCTACCTGAAGACGAATTTTGACAATTTCCAATGGATTTGTAAAAACTACTTGAGATCCACCAGCCTAAAATAAAAGCAGAATATAAAGTAGACCATTTTAATTTACGTAGGTTTTAACATCAGACTATCCCAGAATACTATCTCAGAATGTCAATTAATAAATTGATCAGTAATTTTTTCCATTATACAGGAATTTGTACGGAACTTGTTCCTTAAAAACGTTGACTGAAGAAATAAGATGCGCAACCTTATGGGAGATTTCGTGGTACAAAACCTGTCCGAGATGTAGCTGGCGATACCGTCGCCGCTAGTCAACCTGTCCGAGATTTGGTTTAGCTCTACGCCGCTGCGCGCTTCTAGTCGTTTACAGCGCAGCGGATAAAAATACTGTATCGTAGTTGTGCTTTCAGTCGACAGAGTGGATGGTTGCCGGAAACAGTGTTGCCAGAACTACGAATTAATCCATAGATTTACGGATGTTGGGTACAGTACGTTAATAATAAGGATTTTCTATCATTAAACAATTAAATATAATATTATATGAACAAAGAAAGTACGGCGTCAGAGTTGGCTTGGAAATGAAGATCGCTGTTATTTCACATGTAAAATATTTTGGTAAATGTCAATAATAGTCATTTTCAAGCCAACTAAACGACTTTTTTCGATCATACGACATATTCAGTACCCATAAAAGAATTCTTACTTTTGTTGTTTATTCTATGTTTAACACTAGTAAATTTTCAGTACAAAAACGCGGATTTTTCATCCAGAGATATTTTCGTCAAACGTATTACAGATGTTACACATTTTAATATGGCAACACTGTAGCTTTCAGATCCACACCGTCTTCGATGTGCCTTCGCTGGTCGAATTAGAGAAAATAAGTGTTTTATGCGTTGGCCGCAGAACGATTGGTGTCTCCACCGTACAGCACTTGAAACGTAAGGGGAAATCAAATCAGCCTTGTCACGAATTCGCCCATTAGGTTGCGTATCTTCCCTATTATTTGCGTATCTTCCCTATTTTTCGATCATACAAAATATTCAGTACCTATAAAAGAATTTTTATTTTTATTGTTTATTCTATGTTTAACACGAATAAATTTTCAAGGGTGAATTTTTACATCCAAAGATATTTTCCTCAAACGGATTACAGATATTACACATTTTAATATGGCAACACTGCCGCCGCTTTCAGCTCCACACGAATTAGAGAAAATGAGTGTTTTATGCGTTGGCCGCAGAACGAGTAGAGGCTCCACCGTACAGCACTTGAGACGTAAGGGGAAATCAAGTCAGCTTTGTCACGAATTTACCCATTAGGTTGCGTATCTTCCTAATTCTTTCAATCAACGCTAAAAGTTTTTTGAACCTAAGAAGAAGAACCTTTTTTGAACCTAAGAACTTGTTCAAATATTGAGGAGGTTGAGTAAGATCAGATAAAAAAAGGAAAACGCAAGTCATGATTATAGACCGAAATCCTACTAACATCAGGGAGATTGATGGTTTTGAGGTGGTTGAAAAGTTCAATTACCTCGGATCCCTCATCCCTACAGAATAATGCTGCGAATTTCATACACAGAACATCGGACCAACGTATCAATTCTAAGGCAGTTGAAAGTTATATATATATATATGTATATATATATATATATATATATATATATATATATATATATATATATATATATATATATATATATATATATATATATATATATATATATATAACACAAGACTTTCAACCAAAATAAACCAGTGATACCTTATGTACCGGGTGGCCAATTAAGAATGGACTACAGTCGGCATCTCAGAAACTACTTATCGTATAACTTTGGGGAAAAAAAATCTAATAAGTAAATCGACCAAGAGAAATCGCTGGAAATTATTTTCAAGTTCGAAAAATGTCCGCTAGGGGGCGTTTCGCTGATAGCCAATCAGAAAACAGGGGTTTTCTCAAAAATATGCAGGTGAACAGGTATTTTAAATATTACTATTTTAATCATCGAGAAATTTGTAATTTTTTTGATATAGATTGTTTTGCTCTATATCATAAAATAAAGTGGTGGGGGAAGGTTAAACTTGCTTTTATTAAAATAAGGATAACTCTGGTTTAGGTTAACCGATTTAAACAAACTAGGGCTCGTTTAAAAGAGCTTTTCTTCCTTAATGATCTCCAGTGTAAATTTTGTTTTCATCATTTTTTTCGTGGTAGCTAGAGGGCGCTGTTTGACATCATAACAGATATTGCGCTTTTGCATTAAAAAAATAAATAGGAGGCTATATTTCTGTTTACACAGTTCAATAGAGCACAAAATTTCCAAAATATCAGCGCAAACCGCAATTTTCTATCTTGTCTCTAACCGGGGATATTAAGAGAACAAATTATGTTAGGCTGCCGCTTAGGATTATATGGTCTAAAAATTATAGTAGTAGGCTAGCAAACAAAAAGAGGTAAATTAATTACGTCAAAATATCAAAACGTTTAAGTTCAGTTTTCATGCATCTGAATTTCGGGCGTTTTCTTAAAAAAGATGACGTCATAAATTTTTAAACGTGTTTATGTAACATTATCGTCCATCCACATAATTTTTACGAATTTCTTGGTTAATTATACGTAAGTAGTTCTCAGATTAAAATGTCCGAAAGTCGGACAACCAATAATTTTATTAAAATTTCTAGGAATTTTGTGCCGCCATATTCCTTTTAACAGAAAACGGCCAAATTTCTTATGACCGAAAACTAGGGATTTATTTCATGTAACGTTATTTAGCTATTAATCCAAGTTCGTCCTTGATTTCACTTGTTTTCATGTTTTACCTGTTGTTTCTGTTATTTATTTTTGTATTATAAAGTTTATGTCGTTGGGGTTACTTTTTATATAGCCCTGAAGGTGCGAATATTAACAATATGCACTACTGGTCCAAATCTACCCTGGATGGAAGTAGTTCAGCACCAAGACCGTTGGTCGGTACATGTTTAGGCAGGAATCCTAAGATGGCGAATGATTATCTGTATGAAATGAACTATCCATAATTTCTAAGAGATGAGTTGCCAATATTGTTAGGGGATCCATCATGATGAAAATGCATTTGTTGCAATTTCATCAACATGAATGCAGTTGGTGTAGATAATGCAGTTTGGTGCAGTTGTGTCGCATATTTTGCTATGAATGTGTGGGGCTTCTTGGATACCACTTACTTTAGTAGATAGAGACAGTGGAGCGGCATATTTGCATGGCTAGCTAGATCATCGGATTCAATATGCCTGGGTTTTAATTTATAGGGTCGAATCAAGAACGAACATGGATAAATAACAATTAAATGGTATTAAAATGAAATTAAAATATATGTTTTGATATTTTAACGTAAACAATTTACCTCTTTTTGTTTCCTAACCTACTACTATAATTTTTAAACTATATAATCCTAAGCGGCAGCCTAACATAATTTGTTCTCTTAATATCTCCGGTTAGAGACAAGATGGAAAATTGCGGTTTGCGCTGATATTTTGGAAATTTTGTGCTCTATTTAACTGTTTAAAGAGAAATATAGCCTCCTATTTAATTTTTTATGCAAAAGCGCAATATCTGTTATGATGTTAAACAGCGCCCTCTAGCTACCACGAAAAAAATGATGGAAACAAAATTTACACTGGAGATCATTAAGGAAGAAAAGCTCTTTTAAACGAGCCCTAGTTTGTTTAAATCGGTTAACCTAAACCAGAGTTATCCTTATTTTAATTAAAGCAAGTTTAACCTCCCCCCACCACTTTATTTTATGAGATAGAGCAAAACACTCTATATCAAAAAAATTACAAATTTCTCGATGATTACAATAGTAATATTTAAAATACCTGTTCACCTGCATATTTTTGACAAAAACCATGTTTTCTGATTGGCTATCAGCGAAACGCCCCCTAGCGGACATTTTTCGAACTTGAAAATAATTTCCCGCGATTTCTCTTTGTAGATTTACTTACAAGAATTTTTTTTCCCAAAGTTATACGATAAGTAGTTTCTGAGATACAGCCGGCGTCCATTCTTAGTTGGCCACCCGGTACTTCGGGCACATTTCGAGAAGAACAGATGGACTGGAAAAAATCATAATCGAAGGGAAGATTAATGGCAAACGACCAAGAGAAAGATCTCCGACGCGCTGGGTGGACGAAACCAAAGAAATTATTGGTCACGGCCTGCAATAGGCTTCTATAGCCGCTCAAGATAGAGATGGATGGCGACCAACTATCCGAGCAATTGAGACATGATGTCACCATACTCTTTCGAGAGTTAAAGGAGGAGAAGAAGAAAATACCGGATAATATGAATCGCTTGTGATTGATATTTTTAAATGTTATTTTTGATTTCATTATTTAAGGTACCACAAAAAAAGAAAGTGCCACAAAAATGAAATGAAATAAAAGCATTCAAATTTGTTTCTAATCCTAAAAAACTGTAAACTGAATTTGTAAAATATAATAGGTAATTATCAAAACAGTTACTTACACAAGCACCTGAGATAACTTCTCCATACACAGGGATATTACCATTTTTATCAGTGAATTTGTCTCTAACAAAATCATTTACCTAAAAAACAGATAATAAAAATAATTATTGATCAAATTTAAAAAGAAATCTTACTGTTAATTTTATAGCCTTTTCTGGAGCCACGCCCATCAGCTGCGGTACCAACCCTCGGTACAGTCCGAACACGCCCTCGTGCCTTATGACCTTTTTGAAACAGTCGAAACTGTTCCTGTACATCAATTCACCAATGAAGGAACCGGTTCTTTGATTCTGCATGCGAGTTTTCACCAAATCTATCGGGTATACCGCTGTGGCACCGACGGCTGTAATATTTACAAATTTTGAATGAAATCCTTTTTATATTACCTAAAATCATATAACAAACCCATGAAAATGGCACTGGGATAAGGATTATGGTGATGATTCTGGTTGGAGTCGTGGGAGGAAACATGCACTGATACTGGGAGCTGTTAAATGAAGGACAAACGAACTACAACTGATCACTGTTAATTACAAATAATACGATATGCATACGATCGAAAAAAAAACCAGTGTGAGAGTTGTTTGGGAAATAAAGATCGCTGTAATTTTATATACCCCGCTGGCAAGCGAACCTTTAGGCCGGCGTCTACATGTATAGGAGTGAGTGGTTATGGCAATCTAGTACATAACTACTTAATCTGACGCTAGATTCCATGCGCTTGGAAAAATACTCGCCTTCTGTCTTTGCAGTGCGCCCCCAGTGCAGTTATGACATTCATGTTGAAATTGCAAAAATTTTTAGAAAGCTGCGACCATTGAAAATAGTTAGCCTTAGTAACCCTTATTAACATACTAAAAGTCCCCATTTGTCCGATGTGTGCGTCATCAAAAAAAATCGGCCGCCATCTTGAATTTTGGTAACTTTTGGGAAAAAATGTAAATAACTCGAAAACGGTTTGTTATAGCGAAAAACTTCAAGAGGTAAAAATTAAAGAGAATAAAAAACTCTATTAGAATCAATAAAAATAGTTTATTAACCTAACGCAATGACGTACAAAAAAAAAATTCAAAATCGAGTAATTTTTAAAAGGAATCACCGAAATGCAAATTACTAATTTTTTAAGCTTATTAACAAATAACATGGATATTTAGCATCAATTCAACTGAAATACAATCCTTGTGACATTTTCAAGAAATAGTTTTTATTGGTGGGTTAATAATATTTCAAAATTAACAAAAATTGTAAAAGCAATCCTTTACTAAATACATGTGTACTAATAATGTGCGAAAGCAGTCCCCAACTTGTCCCGGTCGGGGCTTTTTGCACTTAAACCAAGGTCTTATTGTTACCATTTTGTAAACAACTTGTTTTTAAAAATACAGTGACAGTTTGAAAAATTTGGCTACAGGTTGGAAGAAAAAAATAAAATGTAATGTAAACTGGCGACTTCCAGAACGTTGCAAAAAGATCCTCATCTGCGACAAATTACATCCGTTGTTTTTAGATCCTGCAGCACAAATATCTGAGCTAGTCGAAGCTGGAAATACATTCTTATTTTCATTATATGGTCGACATAGGCTAGCAAAAGATTTAGATCAGTTGAGGTATTTTAAATATAAAGCCCTTACATCTCTTCAGGTACTTATAGTAAAAATTTTGATTTAGCTATCTTACCTCCAACAACTAACGCAGCTGAAAATCATTATTATAGGGCCTATTTATAAATGCAGTATTGGCTAAATAACGGTAAAGAGGCAACAGAAAGTGGATGGCGTAAAAAAACGAATACCTTAGTTCCAAAAACAATGTCAAACGCAGTGGCACCAGAATTTGTATTGAAAATGATTTACTGTAATTGCAAATCTGGATGTAATAAACTATGTACCATTGCGATAAGAAGAAAGTAGTACAAGAATTAGTAGTCCCAGATGGAACTCCTGGTCTATAAGAATATTTGAATTATATTGAATTTTTTTTTGGATTTAGCCAACAACACTGTTTTTTTTTTGTTTATCCCTAATGCATCTGCAATGTCCCTTATGGGAACCCCATCTCTTAATCGCGTAAATATAATCGATTTTTGTTCTGAAGTTAAAGGCATTTTTTAAAAATTACGTGACACTGACACAAGAATATAGACCAGCAGATTAAATCATATTTTGTTGTACTATTTTTTTTAATCGGAATGGTACATGTCTAAAATCCAATATGTCATATTCATGCTTGTGTGGTAACTGTAATGGTATTTCTTGCTAGAACAAACAAATATCGGTCGATGAAGAACAAATCGAATAAAATTGTAAATTTCATTTTTTTTTCTAAAGATGACAGTTTGAAAAGTTAGGTTACAAGTTGGTAACATTTTTATTAAAATGGTCATAATTTGAATTATTGTTATTCGATTTGTAGGAGTATGTTTATAATGTATTTTTCATAATGAAAAAGTGTTAAGATCTTAGGTTAAGATCGTAGATGATATTTACGTCAAAAAGACATTCGCAAGTAGTTTATATTACATTTTATTTTTTTCTTCCAACCTGTCACTTTCAAACTGTCACTGTAATTTTAAAAACAAGTTCTTTACAAAATTGTAACAAAAAGACCTTGGTTTAAGTGCAAATAGCCCCGACCGGAACAAGGTGGAGGCTGCTTTCGCACGTTATTAGTACACATGCATTTAGTAAAGGATAGCTTTGACAATTTTTGTCAATTTTGAAATATTATTAAACCACCAATAAATATTTCTTGAAAATGTCACAAGGACTGTATTTTAGTTGAATTGATGCTAAATCTCCATGTTATTTGTTAATAAGCTTAAAAAAATAGTAATTTGCATTTCGGTGATTCCTTTTAAAAATTGCTCGATTTAAAAAAAAATTTGTACGTCACTGCGTTAGGATAATAAACTATTCTTTATTGATTCTGATAGAGTTTTTTATTCTCTTTAATTTTTACCTCTTGAAGTTTTTCGCTATAACGCACCGTTTTCGAGTTATTTACATTTTTTCCCAAAAAGTATCAAAATTCAAGATGGCGGCCGATTTTTTTTGATGACGCACACATCTGACAAATGGGGACTTTTAGTATGTTAATAAGGGTTACTAAGGCTAACTATTTTCAATGGTCGCAGCTTTCTAAACATTTTTGCAAATTCAAAATTATTTGCACTGGCCTAGTATATTTATATTAGACCTAAAATAGCCGAATAGAAGAAAACATTTATAAAGTTTTGATATGTTGAGATTAGACGCACCAAAAGGAGACTTTTCAAAATCAAAAGAGTTCTTAACTTTAAAGTGTGAGCTTCACCCCAAAAAAAACACCCCCAATACGCTCTTCGATGGTTTTTCGCTTTTTTCTCAGAACCCGTTGGTCCCACTAAAAATTTTATACTTACCGAAAATATTCCTTATAAAATTTGCTACAAAAAAGATTCTATTCATTATTTACATTTATCCAATGCATTTCGAGCAATAACCGTTTGAAATATGGAGTACAAAAAAATACAGATCGCCTTTCAAATTAGTCTCCCAAGGTATTTTAACGTGATAAATATACACGCAACAGATATAATACTGTATAATATAAACAAAAACATTGCCTATTCCACTAAACTAACATTCATACTTTCATCTACAGATTGTCATCGTCTATAGTTTCTAGAATGTGCTCATTCGAACAACTTTACCCACGACAGGTTCCGCACATAGTTGTACATTTCATGCCGGCTTTAATGCAACTGCATCGTCTTACACAATCTTGTTTGCAGTTGCACGTTATTAATGACATAATTGAAGCAGGGACGGGCGATTCAGATATGTTCTCCGTGAATGTTACCTCTGCAGCAGATGTGGGAGGCAATTTTGATAAAAGTACCGTGCTGTTTGCTTGACCAACTAACTTATTGAAACAAGTGTATCTTTGCTCACCAAGGCTCTCTTCAGATGATTGAAGTTTGTATAGTTTCAGTATAAACGTCTCTCCAGCTTTTTCAATTTCTTCAGGTGTTGACTTTGCGTTGTTAAAAATATCGACGTTACTATCAAGGTCTTTTTCTTTATTAAATATTTGTACGTGTTGTTGTTTTCCTTTTCCAAAAAATCCTGATGTTGTGTCACGCTCGCTAATAGCGTGAATAAATAAAATTGTTTTTTTTAAATTACGTATAATACTGGATGATTGCAAGTCTCTCGAACTATACATTCGTTGTTTCACATTACCTATGTCTTGCTTCTTTCAGAAAAAGAATGTCTTTTTCATCGGGGAAAGTGCTGCTAATAAAACAACAAGATCGACATCTTGTGGTGTCGTGGGCAAAGTTGTTCGAACACTGAGTACATTTTAGAAACTATAGACGATGATGCGTATGAATGTTGATGACGTGCGTATGATGACGTATGAATGTTAGTTTAGTGGAATAGGCAATGTTTTTGTTTATATTATACAGTATTTTATCTGTTGCGTATATATTTAGCACGTATACCTGGGGAGTCTATAATTTGAAAGGCGACCTGTATTTTTTTTTGTACTCCATTTTTTAAACGGTTATTGCTTGAAATGCATTGGATAAATATAAATAATGAATATAACCTTTTTTGTAGCAAATTTTATAAGGAATATTTTTGACAAGAATAAAACAAATTTTCTGTGCGATTAGTGGTTTTCGAGAAAAACGAGAAAAACCACCGCAGTGCGTGTTGGGGGTGGTTTTTGGGGGTGAAGCTGACACTTTACAGTTAGGAACTCTTTTGATTTTAAAAATTCTCCTTTTAGTACGTATAACCTCAACATATCAAAACTTTATAAATTTTTTTTCTAAATCTAATATCAACGTACAATTATTCAGTACATCTTATTTTACTAAGCGTGTTGGCCGTACTCTTCGTACACATGAAAACCGGCACCCACGACCAGAAATGCCGACCCTTAGTATAAAATTATATGTTAAACGTCATCGATCGTCATTTCTAAGCCAACTTGACGCCGTTTTTTTTTCGATTATACGGTATACTCAAGTACACTGTAGCTTACCTCCAGCAATTGAACCCAAAGTAAATCTGTAAGTGCTTTCGAGGATTTGAATAACAATACCTCTTTCTTCGGGACTCTGAAATTATAATTTTGATCTCAAAAATTATACAAATAAACAGTAATATTGTATAATATTCAAAAGATACAACTACTAGTTAGGTGCAAAAAAATTGGGAAGTGGCCCAATTTGTCTTATTTATATTGAATCTACAAATGGTTGTCAGTTATTAAAATTGCAAAAAATATATTTCTAATAAAAATAAATAAATTAATCTAATGTTTTTATAAAAAAATATAGAGACGCTACTGAAACAACTTAAGTAAAATTCATAAAATTGACGCATCCTATTTTTGGCAAGTAGTAGATAAATACGAGTACGAGAATGCCATTATAACAATATAATTGGTTAAATCGAAACAAATTTCATAATTAATTGGTTTATTAATTACATTAATTGAAATTAATTTGTATACTATTTTTCATGTTTATTTTTGTCTGGAAACATTAACAGATTTTATAACATTGACAATAATCTCAATGTCCTGATAGTATAGGTGAAACCAATTATAAAATTAAACAGGAAATAAAAAAATAGAACCAGAAAAGTGCAATAAATACTAAAAATTGAAATGCATCAAGTGAAATGTCAAACAAAACTGACAAAAGAAGGCAGTTCAATGACGTCGTTTCTACCAATAAGGCATGCATATAAAAATATAGTATTGGGCTCTTTAATTAGGCTTTTTATTCAATAGATTTTTGAAAAATATTTTTTTTTATATAAAATCTCTCGGTTCGGCACCTCTCCAAAATATGGCAATTGTATTATTAAATTTATAGGTCAACTGAAGTGGAAAATATTGTCTGTTTTTCTATTTATATTATTACTGAAAATACTCTACGACACGCAATTTTCACCTTTTCAATAAGTTATAAGATATCCACGATACGAAGGGGGTCAAAATATGCAACATTTTAATATTTGCCCTGTATTTCAAAAACAAAGGGGCCTAGGATAAATTTGTGTGTAGCATCTTTAGTTTCATAAAAAATAGCACAGTGACGTGAAAACCGTATTTTTGTATCTCATTGTATTTGTAATAATCATAAACGAGAAATCCCATAAAATAGTCGAAAATGGGACACCCTGTACAGTAATTATACTTAAAAATACATTTATTATTTTTTAAACATTAAGCACCTTCCCAATTTTTTCGCATTTATTTATTTACACTAATCTATATATCAAAATATTGACAAATTATTAGCTTGAAAAAGGAAATTTATCAAAAAGTAGTTCAAATGAACTACTACCTATACGTACCGATACTGCGTGAATTTCCGCCAACCGGTTGGTGATCTGTTTGAAATATTGTTCGGGAGCTATAGCGTAGAGGTCGTTGTACACTATCCGCCTAAAATATAAACGAAAATACTTAATTATTACTCTATATCTTCATATGAAAAATGTATCTAACAAACCCTTCCCAACTTCCATACTCCTCCTTGACTAAATAACTACAGATTTCCAAATTTGGCAGCAAGCAAAGAGAATATTTTCAAATTATTAGTAAAAGAGTAAAAAGTAATGATATACATTAACAAAATACATGATTTATATTGAGCATATGGTAGAAAAAGTATTATGAAGTTGCGGTTGATTTAAAATTTCTCTAAGTTATAGTCTGTAAAACGAATAACTTTGAATTTGACAGTTCCCGCGGGCTTTTCTAGTGTTAATTTTATTAGGTTAGCAACTTGCGGCCATGCTGACGCAATGCCGTCTCTAATAGAACAGCCTCGGAGCGAGATTTATGACGTCACGCTAGTTAGATACTACAGATTAATAAATATGTTGTAGAATACATGGAAAACATAATTATTCCTCGTATTTTTGGTTTGTATTTTAAAAATGATATAGTTTACATGAAATATACATAATAAATACAATATACATATATACCTATTTATAGTAATAAATACTTTGGCAGATAAACTATGAACCATACAAATGCAGCAAATGTTTTACAATATGGCTGAAATCGTACTCTATAGTCAATGTAGATAGTTTTTGTGTTAAGAATAACAATTTAAAAAAATATGTGGTCATCTTTTGACAAGTTTATATTAGTTTATTAATTGCAATAAACATTATAATATATAAATAAATTTTGTGAATGCAAATAATAATACATCACTATTAATAGATATTGAATGTTTTTTGTTAAATTAGATCGATTTTCGAACCCCAAAATTTAAAATATATTTTGCATTTTACCCATTATCTTATGTACCACCTATTCATTATTTGTATATTGTAAAACATTTGCTGCATTTGTGTGGTTCATAGTTTATTTGCCAAAGTATTTATTACTATAAATATGTATATATTATATTGTATTTATTAACTGTGTATTATGTATATTTTAAGTATATAATTCTTATAAAATTGAATAAGTTATAATAATTATTTAATAACAAAATTATCAGATACGCCACTGAAGCAGATAAACCAAATTGACGATCTTAATAATTAATTTTGGCAAGTAGTAAATAAAACTGAAAATGCAAAAAAATATATGATTAGATCTTGATTAGATAGTTAATTTTAATTGAATTTCAGAAATGATCGGTTTACTACACGTATGTATATTATATAAACCGGGTGCGTCTCAAAAGTTGTTCACCCCTGTAACTTTTTTATTTTTTCAGATAAAAAAAATTGGTATGTTAAAGCGTTTTCAGATGGCGCAGAGCGTCCGCGACTTCGAGCACGTACCATAAGCTTATGTGAACAATTTCACATGGGTCGCGTATGCTCCGTCCGGATGAGGTATATTGAAAAAACATCCGCGCGTACGGTCCGCTCCATCTGAAAGCGCTGTTAGTATATGACATAAATTAGGATTGATTGACGTGTACGATTGTTTTTGGTCACTTCCTGTTTCACCGGAAATGGCTACAACTTTCGATTTTTAAATAAATGACACCCTCGGTATATTTTTACTTTATTCGATAGAAAATGACATTCTGAACAGAATGACGTATCATATATTAACTTTTGACATTCTCGCTTAATAAAAAATCGTATTTTAATTTTCAATCTAGAGTGCGATGGCTGTGTTAAAAACGCCAATTTTTAATCAAGGCGCCTTGGAAAAATAGATTTGATCGCCTAATCTTTTTAGTGTCTTGTCCTGGCTGGTTAAAAGATGCCCAAATCGTATTTTTAGTCATATCTTAATTTTTTCAAATGGGACGAGGGTGGCTCATTAGCATATTTGGAAAAAGCATTTTTTTGCGAATAATTTGATACCACACACTTGGTATTTCGTGTCAAATTTTCGTTATGAACCACATGTTATAATTTCAAATTAACCATATGCAAAAATGTCAAAAGTTGACATATGATATGTCATTCCATTCAGAATGTCATTTCTATCGAATAAAGTAAAAAAATAACCAGGGTGCCATTTAAAAATCAAAAGTTGAAGTAATTTTCGGTGAAACAGGAAGTGGCCGAAAACAATTGAATACGTCAATCGATCCTAATTTATGTCATATACCAATATACCAAATCACGTTATTTTAACTGAAAAAATAAAAAAGTTATAGGGGGTGAGCCACTTTTGAGACGCACCCGGTATAGGCACATACCAGTACAAAGTTATTCCATTATTTCCTTCAATTTTTGACCGAGATCTACCGCACGCTACACAATCAACTACACCTTACAATTTTTTTCGATAAATCGCAGTAGTGTCATTTTCAATTTATAAGTTCTGACACAATTTCTTTCTAGATTTACTACCTCTAAACAACTACGAATTGTAAAATCCGCAGAATAAACAATAAATAACATAAAATAAAAAGTTAGTAAAGACAAGCAAATGTGTCAAATAAAAAGTCAACAGAGGATCTGCCAAGGATCCTCAACATAGGTCCCCACCTATTATGTCGATTCTTTCTACCATTCATGAATACATTAGAGAACAACAGCACAGATTACAAACACGTAAACGTTTACGTACGCACGCGCATTTCTTATATTTTTACATGTATAAGATGCTTTACGTCTACGTATACGTATCAGCAGCTCGGCCGTAAGCCGTTTTTCTCTATTGATAGCATTACGAGTATACTCCTTCCTCAATCTTTTTTTTTCAAAGGTTGCGTCAAAATAAATTAATGTATGTCTTTTATATTGTTTTAGTCTATCTTTCGTACTTTTCTATGCAGATATCAAATGTAGACGTAGAGGGCGTTTAAAATCTATCCTCTAAGAATATGTTAAGCGACTACTACAAAAAAAAATAAGCAGAATTACCCCGTCTGATGTAGGACGTCGACTAAATGAAATAAAATATCCACTTCAAGCGGCGTCATTTGGGACATGGCTTGTGCCGAGTGCATGAACTCGTCTTTGCTGACTTCTTGCATCCTGTGACCGTTGGTGACGTTTAAGTATATCCTCTTGACCAATTCCATATTGTTTAGGAGTGAATTGAAGGCGATGAAGTATGGAAAACTGACTTTTCGACTTTGCGTTTCACCTTGTACAGCCTAAAATAGTTGATTGAAATAAATATAATTGAAAGTATAAGCTTATATGTCGTCCCCTATCTCATGTAAAGACGTACAGTAGAACATATCGGAACAGCTACCGCCGAATTAATAAAGTATCCGGATTACTGGAGGAATATTTTTATAATGTTGTTTCATAATTTTATTATTTCTAACCTGAACTCAAAATTTAAACACATTTTTATTTAAACCAAAAAACAATGCTAACTTTATAAAACATATAACTTTTTTTTGTTCTTATAAATGGGCTCTTTCACAAAAAATAAAATACCCAATTCAAGGACAAAATCTGAAATAGAAGACTATTTTCAATATATTTATCCAAAAAAAATAGTTCCATGACATTCAATAATCTTTTTATAGGCCCTCAAAATTGCTTTAATTTGAAATAATTTTACAGTGCCAATTGATGACGTATGAAAAATACGCCCAATCACATTGCAAAACAGTGCTCGTGCGCCAGCCAACAACTGGCAACATTGCGATTTGATTTGACCAGCACCACCTCAACTCAAGGCCAATCAACATGATATGGGCAAGACAAATATGGCGGCGAAGGCAGCGCATTATTAAATTGTTTACCTTTAACCTGAAAAGCCAGTAGTGGTTTTTCGTTCCGATTGCATACCAGAAATAATTAATTATCTCTACTTTGTTGTGCTTCTGCAACACGTGTGTTTAGTTCTTAGTGTTCAGTGCATGGTGTGATTAGAAAATTGTGATAAAATAACAGTGTAATAAAAATCCAAACCAGACATTCCACATAGGGAACTTCAAACTTTTGTGCTTGTCGTACTCCTCTATTATTAATTATTTTAAGGTAAGAACTAGAAGTATTTATCAAGATATTACACCTAAATGAGTAAAAATCCTTCGCCGTCAGTCTGCATAGTACTTTATAATGGTTACTTACAATAATCAAAAGATAGGTATTAAAGGGTAGGTATTAACATTTTATTGGTAGCATGCCTTTTACATGCTCTGTTCCAAATTGTCACGGGAATTATAGAAGTGGTCCCAAGGTTTCTGCTTTTATATTCCCCAAAAATGGCGAGCTTCGTAAAAATGGTTGACAGCTATTAAAAGAGATAATTTCACTCCTACTAGAAGTTCTCGGGTTAGAAGTGCATTAAGAATGCCTCAAAAACGCCAAAGGCCTCCCAAAGCCTTTGTTATCCTAGTGAGGATGTAGTTATGGCTTACAGTTTCCTCACTATAAGTAAAATATTGGAAGAAGAACCAAGCTTTTTACATCAAAAAGATCACAGAAAGATATTGACAACATTGACATTTGAAAATATAAATGGCCTGGATGTAAGTCTTTTTTTAGGTCACAATTGCCCCTCACATACATCAGAATTTATTATTAAATCCATCTTGTTCAGAATATCCAATATTTTATTGAAGAACTATGCAAAAAAAGGAATGACGTCTTTACCACAAAGATAATGCCCTATGTAAAGAGAAAGAGTAAAGAAAGCTAAGCATAAGTTTTACTTACGAACCCCCAAAAAGGTATTTAGTTTTTTTTCTATATAAAATCTTGAAACATATTATATTTTTTATTTATCCTCACCTATTATAGTTTAAATTTATTCCCATTTGTGTGATGCTGCAAAACATAGAAAAAATATTCCATATTTTTTGACCCAAGCCAGTGTAGTTTATAACTCCAAGAGCATTTACCAAGGCTTTTACTAAGACAAGTAACTTCCTATACTGTCCATAATAGTATATATTTATCAAACCTTCAGTAAATTCTAAACTATGGTAGGTAAGTGTTTGCAATTGAATATTTAGTTTATATTGCTATTTTCTGTCATATATTTCTGGTTATTTCTTTTTCCGATGATTTTGAACACCCTATATATGCTACCTCAAGTCTGAATATTTTAACACTACCTATTTTCTGAGAAAGCAGACCTTTTTATCAAGTAACTAACTGATGTTTTCATAAAAGTAATAATACAAAAAATTCCATACTTATGTGGAGAACTTTAGACTCCCTGTATATTAAAAAATTAGTGAAATATTACGTAATCTAACCCGACATTTGTGTGAAAAATGTCTATTTGAAAATAAAACAGGTTTTAAAATACGCGCCAAATAAAGCACTTCTATCTCCGCCATATTGGAAAAGGTTGAATGGCCTTATGTGGAGGCGGTGGTGGGTCAGCATGGTGGCCCGGCCGCGGCAGTGTTGTCGCTTTTCAACATGCCAGGTGTGACCTTTTAAAAATAAAGTGTGGATTTTTATTCTGGGCTTTTTTGTTTTTATTTATTTTCTTAAGAACGACTTCAAATTTTTCGAAAGTGAGATAGCAGAAAATTCTAGAATTAATTGCTTTACTCAATTATGCTAATTCCAAAATATAGTGAAAGAGCCCATTAGAGAAGTTCTACTGTAACTAAAAAATCAAAAAAATAAGTTACGCCCTACCGGCACAAATTTTATCTATCAAGAAGTGCTGTAACTGTATACCACGGTATCAAGGCAGTGATAGTATTTGGATTTGACGTATCTTACAAAAATTATATTATTATTATTCTAATATAGGTATTTTTTTATTTTGTTCTCTCCCGACAAATTTACTAAAATGCGAGTTACACTAGTACGTGAGATAGGAGACAATGTCCATATATTGTGTGAACAATTCTTACCTCGATCAAATGAGATTGGACTTCTTTGGTTAGCAGATGGCTCTTAATACTGATCATGATGTCTTGGAAGTCCAGGAGGGAAATGAACCCTGAACCGTCCTTGTCCGCCCTTCTGAATCCTTCGATTGCGTACTCTTCATGGAAGTCGTGCAAGAACTGGCTGAACTCGTGGTAGCTGACCAGCCGTTGCTTGTTCTTGCCAAAGTACAGCTGGACGAAGGGCGAGTCCATGTTGAAAGGGATACGTTTGTGGAGTTCGGTCTTTTTCATCACCTCAACGAACTCCGCTAGAAGAAATAGAAGTTTTCAGTTATTTTAGTACAAAAACTGAACCAAGAAGTGTAAAAAAGAAACTTTGCAAATAAAATTGCAACAAACTCATGGGAGATTTTTTTTGAAATATATAGTTCTCAGCACAACACTTTATTGATGATTTTAGCTACTTAGCTTGTGGAAATCGGCAAATTATGTTATTCCGAGATTTAGTTTAGCCCTGCGCCGCTGCGCGCTGATAGTCGTTTACAACGCAGCGGATAAAGAATACTGTACGGCAATTCTGCTTTCAGTCGACAGAGTCAGTGGTTGCCAGAACTACGGATTAATCCGTAGATTTACGGATTTTGGGTACAGTACATTAAAATTGAAAATATCAAAGTTGGAAATGAAGATCGCTGTTATTTCACATGTAAAATATTATGGTAAATGTCAATAATCGTCATTCTCAAGCCAACTAAACGACGAACTTTTTTCGATCATACGACATATTCAGTAACTATAAAAGAATTTTTATTTTTGTTGATTATTCCATGTTTAAAGACGGTCCTACACGATGTGGCGAACACCTTCAAACGTTGGACGCACGGCATTCGCCACATCGTGTGGGAGCGCAGAAATCCATGTGTCGAACGTTCGAAGCAAGTTCGGGCTCTTGTCGGTAAATTTTACGCGAGTCAAAGGACCTTCCAACGTTCGAAGTAATGTTTGCTGCGCTCCTACACGAGAGTCTTCACGTGGCTGATATTTTACTAGGGATCAGTAGCGGCATCGCTTTTAATGCTAAAACGTGGTCTCCTCAGGCTAAAAATTTTTCGTGATTTGTTCTTTGCCAGAAATATGTAAGTACATACATAGGTATATAGAAAGATTAATTCTTGGTTTTCTTTGTGTTAATAAATATCTGACAGAATTTTTGGTTATTACGTTACTTTAGTGAAAACACTGAAATTTCCTTTTATTCATTCGCTTAAGATTTTCTTCTTATATTAGATATGTGAATAAGTTTTTACTTTTTACTAAAATTACTTTTAAAATTTTCCGTTTTTAGTTAAAGAGTGGATAATCATATGATAATGGAATTTATTTCGATTTACGAGAAATATCCAATTATATGGAATCCCAGGCATTCCGAGCATAAAAACCGGAATGCCTTAAATGATGCTTGGCGTGATATTTCTCAAAAAATGAGTATAGACTTCTCAGTAGCAGAATTAAATAAAAAAAAAGAATCTGTAATGGCAACTTATAGAACGTTGAGGAGGAAAGTTATAAAGTTATAGATTCTTATACAACCGGATCTGGGAGTGCAGATATTTACAAACCATCTAGGTTTGCTTATGATGCTATAGACAGATTCATAAGAGTAACAAGAAATACAATCATGTTACGACTTCTTTTTCTTTTGCTTCTGTTGCTTAGTTCTTTTGCTTCTTAACAGTTTAGCGCAACTTAAAACTATCATACCAGCGGCAATCCCAGCACTTAATATATTATCCATATCTGCTCAAGCCAAGAAGTACGTACGACACTGAGTTAATTTCACAAATGTAGCCCCAGGTTTGCGTCCAACGTTGGAACGAATGTTCGAAGCATCGTGTAGGAGACACATTCGCCAATTGTAATATTGTCGAAAAAAATGTTGGTTCGAACGTTCGTTCGAACGTTGGACGCATCGTGTAGGACCGTCTTAACACGAATACATTTTCAATACATAAACGGATTTTTCATCCAGAGATATATTTTGATATGGCAACACTGTAGCATTCAGATCCACACCGTCTTTGATATGCCTTCGCTGGTCGAATTAGAGAAAATAAGTGTTTTATGCGTTGGCCGCAGAACGATTGGTGTCTCCACCGTACAGCACTTGAAACGTAAGGGACAATCAAATCAGCCTCGTCACTAATTCGCCCATTAGGTTGCGTATCTTCCTAATTATTTCAATCAACGTTAGAACGTTTCCAGATACCCAGGTCTATTTCCAAAAAAATATTTTTTCTCAAATTTTAAACTACGCCCGAGGGGTGTCTCACTCGGGTAAAAAATGTACACGTACTGCCAAAATAATCTTCCACTGTCAAGCGACTGCCAATGACTACGAAGAAGATTGCCTATGACTGCCATGTAATTATTATAGGCGACTGCCATAAGACTGCCAATGACTGCCAGCGACTGCCAAGAAAATGTACATGTAATTCCAATAGTGAGACACCCCTCGACTACGCCATTTAAAAATCGTTTTTACTCAATATAAAAATAAATTACAACCCTCTTGAGGCCCGTTGGCAGTAAATACCATTAAAAAATAAAGAAGAATGCGGACCAAATAATCGCGTTAATAAATACTGGTGTGGTAAATGGAGTAAGTAAAATCTCCAACCCCGACTACACGATAACGTCGTTATTTCCATGTTTTTCAAATCCGCGATGCCTGCTATTCCATCAGTCGTTTCATAACAGAATAGTCTACATCCTACATCTATGTAATTTAATATGTGTAGAGTGAGACATGTAACTCGTGAGATTTTCAGCATTATATCAATACAGGACAAAAACAGTATTGTTCCTAAAGGTGCGTCCGGACTTGAGTATTTTAGCCCAAACGAACCGAGCGCGCACGAACAAGCAGAACAAATAGGCCGAACAAAAAGCATTGTGTACGCGCGACCGACAAAAAGGGAGATATTCTGTTTTTTTTTCTACTGATATGGACTTCTACTGATGGCTCTTATTATATACGACTTTAGAAGTGTTAGAAGTAAATATATTAGAGCCATCGTAAAAAAAGGTCGTCAGACACTGGCTCTAAATATAAGCAGGTAAAAAGTTTAGCTTCCAGTTATTTCAATGTTTACAATATAAATTCCTCTTTTTTATTGTTACTTAAAATCTACAACAGTAATTACTTCTATTTTTATGAATGTTTAAGTTACTTTTACTCTTATTTTTTTTTAATAATGTGCCTAGTAGAAATTAGTCTAATAATCCCTGTTTGAAAAACGTTAAATTAAATATAATATTTAAAATACAGTTGTCCTCCTTGTACATGACTACAATACAACTAAAAAAACTAATTTAATAAAAAAACAAGTTGTTGTAGAAAAACTTTAAATATGATTTTTTTATTTTTTAACCATCGAAACTCAAAGGTATAATAACAGGTATCATACCAACCATAAATAGAGTAGGTATGTCATGTAAAAATGTTTTGAATTTTTACTAGAATCGACCCTTGATAAAAAAGGGACTAGATTTAAGTTTACCTTTGATCCAATCTGTATACTATTTCTTTGAATTTTCTGCGCGTATGCAAAAACTACACTAAAACACTATATCTTATAGAAAATAAAATATTGTGCGTTGAATTTTTGAGGGATTTTACTGGTCGCAACGACCAACAGACGGCCAGGACGTTAGTGTGCGCCGTATCATTTGATTTAATGGTTTTAGATGTAACAGCGGCCTGGCCGGTGCGACCTGGTCGTCAGTGTGTTCGAGTCCTTAGAACAAATACCTATATCAAATATTTCGTTTCTTGTATCTTTCAAGAATTAAAATTAAATATTCAATAAATAATAAGTAAAAAATACAGATATGATGCCTTTTTAAGCCAGCCAGTAGATACCATCAGTAGATACAATTAGAAAACAACACGTTACATTATTTAATCGTTGTTACGTCATACGTTATCTAACATACAGCACCCGATTACAATATCTGCATTAATCGAGTTTGGTAGATGGAACGTACATTAGTACATTAATTTGAAATTCTATCTCCAGCGAGTAATACAATATTGTCCAGTGCTAATTCTCGTTAATGTGAGATATATAATATTTCTGACCTCGAGATGTATCAAAAATTGTACGACACGTGAAATAAAAACGATAGAGTTACTTAAAAGCTATTTTTTGTTAATATTTTAGATTATTGTTAATTGAAACAAAATACCAACTAAATATTGTATAAAATATAATCAAATTTTCATACTTTTTTACAGAAACATACATTTTTTTATTTAAATAAGCGTTGTGCGCGATCAGACTATACAGGGCGTTTGTTAATGACATGCTCATATTTAAGGAAACCTACACTGAAAATAATATAAGAAAATTTATAAAAAATAATATGGATATATACAGGGTGGTCAAACTTTATTCCGGAAACTTCGGCAGCATATCCTGCAGATAAAAATAAGTAAAAAAGCTCGTATAAATCTATGTGCCTAAAATGCTTAGCTTCGGAGATACAGGGTGTAGAAGTTTCATTTTTATTTCGATTTTTTCCAAATAATTTCTGAAGTAACGTCAATATTTAGATGAAAATTGGTGTCTAGGAGTTTTTAGACATGAGGAATTTGATTTTGATGTCAATATGACTCCTATTTGTAGAGGGCGCCACCTATATATTTTTTAACTGGTTTGAAGAGTAATAATTTTTCGTCAGTACCTGTATAAAACTACAGAGTAAAAAAATACATTTACAACGTTTTTTACGTAAAAAAGGTCTCTTGGTAAAAATCGCCAAGAGTAATGGTTCTCGAGATATTTGGAATCGAAAACATGTTGACTAAATAGTTTAGTTAAATTAGACTGAAATCATAAATTTGAAATATTTTTGTACCAAAAGTCCAACAGAAACTGTTTCATCATCATTTTTTCGAAGAAAAATTTAAGATTAATTTAAAAAAAAAAATTTCTCAATAATGACATGTATTGACTATTTCCATTCTAAATATCTTGAGAACGGTTGCCAAAACGTAAAAAACGTCGTAAATGTATATTTTTTTACTTAGTAGTTCTATATAGGTACGGACGAAAAGTTATTACTCTTCAAAACAGTTAAAACACATATAGATGGCGTCCCCTTCAAGTAGGAGTCATATTGACATCAAAATCAAATTTCTCATGTCAAAAAACTCCCAGACTTCAAGTTTCATCGAAATATTGACGTTATTTCAGAAATTACTTGGAAAGAATCGAAATAAATATGAAACTTCTCTACACCCTGTATCTCCGAAACGAAGCATTTTAGGACATACATTTTTTACTTATTTTTATCTGCAGAATGAATGTTGCCGAAGTTTCCGGAATACAGTTCGGACCACCCTGTATTACAGCATCTTTAATAAGTAACTTTTAAAAATCTAATATTTTTGCATATTTTCATAAAATAAATGTAATTTTACAAAATCGTTTAGAGATATTTAAGGATTATTACGAAACCGTACTGTTTTCACAATTAGCTTTGCCTCTCTATAAAGAAAATTTAAATGAGAAATACAATTTTATAGTGTAAAATTCCATATTTTTTACTTTTTAGCTCTCAAATTTGCTGTCAAATCTTGACACACTTTCTAGATTTACCCACTTTGCATAAAACAAATTGAAAAATAAACAAATAATATAAAACAAACATAGATAAGCGTAATAAAATGGGAAAAACCCAGTGAAAAACTGATTTTTTTTGAGTGAAGTCAAACAAAACTGCAAAAAAACCTTTTAAAATGGTTACAAGGTCTTTAATAGATGAATAAAAAAAAGAAGCTATTTAACTTATTTCTTATAGCCCTTTTATTGTATTCAATGGTACTGAACATAATACATCTATGCATTCGAAATATATTATATATTATTTTTTATAAATAAAATATTTAAAAAAATTGCAAGTACATTATTTAATTCCAAGCATTTTACGTAGATTTTTATTTGAAATTCTCATTGAAAAACATAATCGGAATCTTGGCACTTACATTGTTTTGACCGATAAAAACGTTCAGAAATTTTGAGTAGAAAAACAAAAAATAGACTGAACAGTAGTTGACAAAACAGTATGCATGCATTGAAAATAAAGAGTTCGATATATTATGTATTTTTTAAGCTCTGCCATTTACATCTTTTTTTCTTTTTTCACATCCTGTTTGTGTGATTTGAATATGTTGATAAAATTTAGAAAATTAACAATTTTTTAGCTTTCACTGCCTTTACTAACTAAAAGCCTAAAACGACTATTTCGCGAGTACCTAGTGTAGAGGTTTTTTAATAGTGTTTATAAAATAAATCATTTCTTTTTAAATGCTCATAAAAAATCTTGTTTATTATATCAAACTTCGAGGAATATTAGTAGTTAAACAATTACAGGAAAGTAAAAAAAAATAGGGATCAGAATATTTGTTTAATGTAAAAATCAATAAGGGGGAAATCCATGTAGACTAATTTCTTCGTCATTGTTTACTTCACTACGAAATTTCAACAAAAGTGCAAACGTTTTCTCTTAAGACACTTGATAATATTTTATAATCTAGGACGTGTATATAAAGTGTCATTAGATAGATAATTAAACACGTATAGTGACAGTAATAATTATCATCTAATAAGATAAAACAAAAAGGATTTAAAGTGTTTATGCATATACAGGGTGGCCCATCGAAAACGTTCCGCAAGGCATAACAGCCAGGGTATTTTTTTTTCAAAAAATCCAAAAACATGTCAATTTTGTTTGTGAGGGGGACAACTTTTGCCCCAAAAATGATTGCAAAGTCTTCAACCTTCTAAGCGGGGGTGTCATCCCCCAACTTTTTTCAAATGGGAAGGGCGGTCAAGTGGCGTCTCAATGAAAAGGGCTTTCTATTCTCTATATTTCCCCACTTCATTTTTAAAAATCGGTCGAGTCATTTTGAAAATATAAAAGATTGAAATTTGAAAAGTACTTTTTGCAAAAACCGCAAAAATTGAATTAATTAAAAAAAAACTTATCTTATTAATGAAGCAAATGCTGAAAATGTTGCCCGTCAACCCCCATACTGTAAAACAAATTATTTTCAATCCGTTCTAGAACATTCTGAAGAACTTGCGGGGTCACTTCGCAATAAACATCGTGAGTGCTATACACTTTACTTTTAATGTGTCCCCATAGAAAAAAGTCTAAAGGAGTCAAGTCGGGTGACCGGGGAGGCTACTCAATTACACTCCTTCGTCTTATCCACCGAACGGGAAAGTTATTGTTTAAATAATTACGCACATTTTGAGAGTAATGTGGAGGTGCACCGTCTTATTGAAATATTAGTTCTGCTTCAACGTATCCAGGCTTGTTCTCTATGATGTCAGTTAGGGCTGGGTCGATGGTATTTTCCAGTAAATCCAAGTACATATCACCTGTTAGATTTCCAGGAAGAAAAAAAGGACTCACAATAGAATTTCTAAAAATACCAGCCCACACTTTCAATTTCTGAGGGTTTTGTGTGTGCACCTCGTGAAAAACCCTGGGGTTGTCCTCAGCCCAGTACCGACAGTTGTGCCGATTAACTACACCGTTCAAAAAGAAAGTACACTCTACCTAACCTGATCGTTCAACCTTGTGGCAAGTGAAAAAATGCGTAAACATCTAGAAATAATAAGAAAAAACAGCAAATTGGTCGCAGGAATTTATCCATATCATTTACTCTGCTAAATGTTTAAATAAACTTTTCAAATTTCAATCCGTCATATTTTCTCAACGACTCGACCGATTTTCAAAAACGAAGCGGGACAGTATAGAGAATAGAAAGCCCTTTTCATTACGGTACCACTTGACCCCCCTTCCCATTTGAAAAAAATTGGGGGATGACACCCCCGCTTAGAGGGTTGAAGATTTTGCAATCATTTTTGGGGCAAAAGTTGTCCCCCTCACAAACAAAATAGATGTGTTTTTGAATTTTCTGAGAAAAAAATTACCCTGGCCGTTATGCCTTGCGGAACGTGATCGATAACAAAAACAATAAATACTATTTTATAAGTGTGTTGATGAGGACCCAAAATTAATGCTAAAATAATTGCTGCAAATCGTTACTGTCTTATTTAAAAGCGAATATCTCCAATAAAAATAAAGCTATTGAGATGCATCAAAACACAAACTATCGAGAAAAGACGTACCTAGATGATAAAATGATTTCTAAATTCCTTGCTTTGTTAATATATTCCACAGGGTGTTTCAAACTTTAACCAAAATATCAACATTTTGTTTTCCCTCGCATGATAGACAGACGAAAACTTTCATTTTTAATTTAGAAAGAAATTACCAAAAAGGCAAACAATTTAGCTACAAATTGCTTTAAAAATCATCAAAATAGACCTACTAGAACAAAAATATATTAAACTTTAAAGTACATCAAAATTTTAAGGTGCCCGTTTTTCGTACCGGTGAGTGTATCAAATAAAAAACATTGCATTGCATCATCTATTGTTGTCTATCAATTTCAAACAGATATCGGTTAAATATTAATTCATAATACAAACATTATGCATCTGACACATTTCAGTGACCTCACCTGAAGGTCAAAAATATAAAAAAAACTTACCAAAACTGACCATTCCATTTCCGTTCGTGTCGAACAGCTGAAACGCTGTCTTGTACAGAGCGTCTGGAAAGCACAATAGTCCTTCAAAAGCCTGGAATTCTGGATAAGATATAAGTCCATCTTTGCTGGTATCCACAATTCCTGCTAACAATTTCACTGTATCCGCGTTGTGATCTTTTTCGTCTAGTATTTTCAGATATTTGATGATAAAGTCTTCGGGACTCATGTATTTTTCTCCATCCTTCTCGATACTTGCGTATTTGTGGTAGATTTCTTGAAGCTGATTTGCGTGGGCTCTTTTGAGGTATCCCCCACCCTGAAACGAAGAAAACAAAAATATAGTTGAGAAAAAGAATGATAGAATCAAAGAGCTCCGACCTCCAGAAACGTAACGGATTTCGCGGTCATCTCGGAAAAAAATTCAATGCTTGACCAACACAATGCGATTTCGCAAAACTAGAAATTCTTTCTGAATAGGTGTTTAGGTGCCGATGCTGGCGAGCTCGTGCTGATGACGTTGCGTCATTTTTTCGGCGGTGTGCCGCGTGTCTCGTATTAAAAATAGCGGTTCAAAACAACGCTAAGGTTGTTCGCAACTGCTCGAAAAATAGATTTAGTAAGTAGCGGCGGAGGTTTTGCGCGTAGTGCGCGTACAGATAAACAAAAATTATGTAATTGTGGAAAGACATGACGGACCGTAAACAAAAATAGATATTTTTTGACAGGCGATGTGTCAAGATGTCAGTGACATCGGAAAAAATTAGGTACGTTTTTTTTTCAGATTTTATAGAAACAACTTTGTTCTAAGGTGACGGGTGGGACAGAATTCTACATAAACGTTAATTGCAGAAATTATTACAAATATACCACAAAACATTCCCCTTTAGAACATTTTCTTTAATGGCTATAAGCGGGAGTAAAAGCCCAACCGCCCGAACAAACACTAGAAGCGCCACCGGTCATCAAATGATGTAAAAATTGCGAAAATTTAATCATCTAATTTTGACACAAGGGGTCGCGCTTAACTTTTTCAATTTTAATTCAATATTCATTGTTTTCAAACTATATTATTATAGACTTTATTGTATTTTGAGAATGTACAAATGTTTTCTTAGTATAAAGTTGCATTATAGTAATTTAAATTATATTACATACATATTTAAGATTCAAATATTATGACATATATGTCAGTTGCCGTCTAAAATGTCATCATAAATGTCATCTTGATAACAAAAAGTTAGTTATTGTCAAAAGTATTTAAATCATGTTAAAATATTAAAATTTACAAGTTATAATTAGATATTTTATATTATTTCAACAACAAACACATAATAGTACAGCGTAATGTTGATATGCAGGTCCAAAACAAAAAGTGCCGTTATATTTTTCAGTTTTCGTTGTCAGCCGCGAAAGTTTCAGTGTTTTTAGTGTTGTCGGATATTTTTATTTGTGAAATAGAAATATTGCGTTTGGATTGCAAAACTAAAAGTGGAAGTTTTATTGCAATGTAAGTAAGCATTTATCCATTTTATATTTTACTTTTTTCATACCTACGACAAATATACATATATTGAAATTTTATAATTCGTTTTATTTAAAAAATGTTAGAAAACAAGCTTGTAATCCTGTAATTGACATAATTGTTATGTAATATATTCCATTTAAATGTAATATATTACTTTACAATTAAAAAAATGTAAATTTAAAAAATATATTAAAAATATATACAGGCATTAATTGAAATTTTTTGAGTGCGAACAAACACGAGAGGCGCTTTATTATTTACTTTCTTTTCTTAACATGACAGATGAAATTCTAATGGGGGATATTTTGTGAAATATACAAGATTTATTGTTTACTTTACAGACTTATTGGTCACTGTCAGTATTCTTTTTTTGTTTGGTTTGTTCTTTGTTATAAGACTTATTATTAAAATTATTAAAAGTGTCAGAAGTTATCTTTATATCACTTAAGTCATTTCTTTGAACATGACTTTTTCTTAAGAGTCTATTACTGTTCGGGTCGCTCTCGGGGGCCGGGTAAAGCGGGTGTGTGGCCGAAGGAAATATACAGGTATCCAAAAATATCCCTATGGGTTTTTCGCTACTGCACTGCAAGAAAAATCTACAAAATAAAATAGTTATTTTTTGTAAACACTTCTCCGTTAAACCTAAACGGACGCTGCTTGTCAGAAGTTGTGTTACAGTAATAAAAATTTGCCTAACAAAGAAAAAAATGGAATATTTTTTTTTTTTTGAAATATACAGGGTTGTTCACCACATACGACGCGGAGTATTGTAGATAAACTCTTAGATTTTTGCAAATTTTAAGTTTTGGGTTCGTCGAAGGACTATTAGAGTTACAATTTAAAAATATTTTTACAAGATACAGAGTGGCCCAAATAAATAAAAAATATCAAATTTGTATTTTTTTAAATGGAACACCCTGTATATTATTACATTTTTAGTTTCTACGATTAAAATAAAAGTAAATTTGATTAAAGTTTACCGCATTTTAATCTTACCGTTTTTGAAATATTTAGGTTTTTGTCAAAATACAGTAATAATTTTTATGCTTTATTTCTCCAGGCGTATTTAAGTTTTTAAAACCAAATATTGTATTGAAGTATTTCTATTTACTAAATTTTGTGTTGCAATAATAAAAATGATACTACCTTATACAGAGTGTCTAAAAATTTATTTTAAATAATAACTAGCTATAAACGGCAATAACTTCTTTAATTTAAGTAGAACACCCTGTATATTTTATGATAATCAGCTGCGCAATTTAATTCTATATCAAATTGTATTATATCATTTTTTACCTATGTCTTCAGGTTTTCGTAGAAAATTCATTTTCTTATAATTTAGACCTCAATTATCAATATACCCATGGAATATTGACATTTTTGATTATTTTTAAAGATATAGCAAATGTTTAAAAGATACAGATACTAATATTGTCGATATAGTTCATTTATGTCATTTATATTATTAGTTCATTAAAAAATATTTTTTTTTAAATATTTGTAAAAGAGGACCAATTAATATGATTCCAGTATTCAAACTACATTAATTAACTGTTTGCGTTGATTAATAATAATTGCTCCAAATACTAAAAAACTTAATTTTGTATGTGTATTAGACAGTGTGGTAAAAAGTAACACCTTAAAAATTTTATTTCATTTTTTGCCGGATGCTTATTTATAACAACAGAGCCGTTAATTTTCATAACTTATTATTATATTGATTTCTGATTCCAAATCCAGATTTATTTAGAATAATTTATTATCTAACACAATTAAATATGTAATTAATTAATATTTGGGCGGAAATAATGGTGGTATATTTAATTAATGGTATACTCTTTTATAAAGATTTAAATAGTTTTATTCTTGTAAACAAATAGGCTGGTAATATTATTGTTTTTAGCACCTGTGCATTGATTGCTTTAAAAACAATCTAAAATGTCAATATTCCATAGGTATATTGACAAATGAGGTCTAAATTATAAAAAAATGCATTTTTCAAATGCAACTTGAAGGAATAGGTAAAAGTGGTATAATACAACTCCTAAAATATACAGGGTGTTCCATTTCAATTAAACTAGTTAATGCCGTTTAAAGCTAGAAATTATTTAAAATAAATTTTTAGACACTCTGTATGAGGTAGTATTATTTTTATTATTGCAACACAATAACTGACCAATAATTAAACTTCAGTAAATATTTAGTATTAAAAACTTTGATACCCTTGGAGAAATGAAGCCTTAAAATTTTTACTGAAATTTCACAAAATTGAAAATATTTCAAAAACGGTAAGGTTTAAGGGTGATAAACCTTAATTAAATTTACCTTTATTTTGATCATAGAAACTAAAAATGTAATAATATACAGAGTGTTCCATTTAAAAAAATACAACTTTGATATTTTTTATTTATTTGGGACAATCTGTATCTTGTAAAAATATTTTTAAATTGTAGCTCTAATAGTCTTTCAACGAATCCAAAACTTACAATTTGTAAAAATCGCCGTGTATATTATATTTCAGAAATCTGCCTAAAAAGGTACATTCAGGCTAAGAGCGTCGAGCGTCGCATCGCGTTAGCGTCGCGTCCGCGTCGTCACGAAATGGAATCAATTGATTTAACTTAAATTAGACCGTTCAGGCAGAAAGCGTCGCGTCGGCGTTGCGCGAGCGTCCGCTGTGCGTCGAGCGTCGAGTTCAATCTGAATTGTTTTTCGGTGGCGCTAATCGCCGAAATACAGGCAAGATCTGCACTGTGGAATGCAAAATTGCCTAAATATGAAAATAGAAATCTGCGTGATCGGCTACTTGAAGAAATACCTACAATTCTAGGTATTTCTAGTAAGTATTTTTTCACAGTATGGGTAAATATATGAGTGCTTTCGAAATTTCTTTGTATGGATTTTGTATACCCGCTAAAACTATCACAATTGAAAAGGATCAATTAGTCGTTTTTAATTCTCCCTTGGCTGGTATTATCTAATGGATTTGTTTTTACTTATTGTAATATATTAAAATATTAATTTGGATTAAATCTTAAAATGAAATATATTAGTTTGTAAAATGTCAATGTTTTTGTAGATTAAAGTCATTTGGTCTGGCTAGTTTTTATCTAAGGTTTTTATATGTACTATCTATTTTTTATATATATATATATATATATATATATATATATATATATATATATATATATATATATATATATATATATATATATATATATATATATACAAGGTGTTCCATTAAGGGAGGTCACCGGCCATATCTCGGAAACTACTGGGTATAGGAAGTCAGGAAAAAAAATTCTTAAGACTAAAATGACCATGAGAAAATCCTGGAAATTATTTTAAGTTCCGCATTTTACCGCAAGAGGCGCAATTGGTAGGGTGAATAACAAAATTCAAGTTTTCTTGAAAATTCTCATATTGAGCTATAACTTTAATAACAGCATTAGAAAACCTGAAAAATTCCGCATAAATTCTGTCTGAGGCTCATTGGCGTACCGACCTTAATAAGGGTGGGGAAGCTCTTGAACGTCTCAGTATTTAAAACTCTGTATCTTCTAAACGACTTATCCGATTTCAGCAAACTTAGGTTTGTTTGAAAGAGAAATGTAAGCGTTTTCAAATACTCAATCCACTGCTACCCAATAGTTACAAATTAAATTGCTAGAGGGCGCAATTTCCAATAATAACAGTTTTTTTGATTTTGTCACGAAAATTTAAATCATACGGTATAATTTTGATGTCATATTCGTAAAGTAAATTAAATTTGCAACAAAAAACGTTTA